AATACAAGCTGTGTGCTGTAGCCCCCCTTCCCACCTACATATCCTCTGCTGAAGAAACTTGCTGCCATGATGTCAGCATTCTGCAGTTACAGAAGGCTGTGTCCTCACTGATGAGCTGCCGGTGACTCATTACATATTGAATTGCTGGTGAATCGCCATATCAGGGTGAGCCTGCTCAGGGGCGGACTGACAACTCATGGGGCCCCCAGGCAATAGGGGATCATGGGGCCCCTGTGTCCTTGCCCACACTCAAAGCACACCCAAAAAAGCTTATAAAAGGTACCAGGGGCGTTTCATGGGGCCCCTACTGACCCCGGGCCCTTTGGCAGTGCCCAAGTGCTCGAATGGTCAGTCCACCCCTGAGCCTGCTGCCATCCAGCTTTTGGAAGAGACTTTCCAGGAACGCATGGCAGCTATCACCAATTCTTGAACCTTGATTTTCATATTTCATCAACCAATGAAGACCTAATGCAGGCTAGGCAAGCTCAGTTCCCAAGCCGTGGTGAAACTACAAATCCCATCATGTCTCTGGGAGTCTTGCCTATAGCTATCAGTCTTACAATGCCTCATCGGACTTGTAGATCCAAAACAGCTGGAGTGCCAAAGTTGCCTACCCATGACCTAATGTAACAATCAGCAAATCGGTATTATTATTATACAGGATTTATATAGCGCCAACAGTTTGCTCAGCGCTTTACAATATAAAGGGAGGCAATACAGTTCAATACAAGAGGGTTAGGAGGGCCCTGCTCCTTGGAGCTTACAATCTAAGAGTATCGATGTAAACGGCTTATTGATGAACAGCGTTTGATAGTACCAAATGGGCTGTTGGTGTTAAACTTGAATGGACTTTCTGATGTAAAGCAGACCTCCAACAAACCTGGTCACTTCATGCTGAGCCTATATCTGAATTAACAAATTGTTTTGACGTGCTGTTTTCACCGAAGGTAGCCTTGGATTATGGTTTTTTTTTTTTTTCCATTTTATGCTCGGTATGGATTGCTCACGACTGTGACGGATTTACTTAAAGTGCACTTTTAGTGCAATTATTGCTCTTAGGTCCCCTCCCCCCAGCATGTCTATAATGTAAATTGCCGAAAATGCAGCTCCCTGATGATCTTCACTTAATTTTAAAGAGAAACCTTATGGCCAGTAAATTGCCTTCTAGGTGAGGATGGTATATTCTGAAGACTGGGTGCTTCTGAAGACATAGTACACTTTTCCTTTAAAACACAAAATGTTCTGTATTTTCTTGACTGTACTTTGCTTGTTTGCTGAGAGTCTCTCTTTATTAGTTTTATTATTTCTAAGCAATATTAATTAATATGTCCTAAGTGTGACTTGTAAGTCTTGTTATTGCGATGCACATTCCCTACATTTGTGGGTGAAAGGGCCTGTGTGTACTGTAGTTGTTGGCTTTAGAGCTGTTTTTTTCTCTAAGTCAAAAGAATTGCAAAAGCCGGTCCGAAACATCTTAAATTCAATTTCGGATGCAAGCTGGTTGCTGTAAAAGCATATTGCATTTGTCCAATTATGCAAGCCCTAAACCTGGCCACGCCGAACCCCATAAAACAAATAATGTAACTTGAACAGTTCTTTATAACACAATGAGCTTTCTACCATGTTGGGATAATCTTTTTGCAGCTCCTGGTTGATTGTCCTAGACCAGCCATTCTCAAGTATGGGTTCCTCCACAGCTTTTTAGGGGTTCCTTTGGCTGTTGTTAATTGATCTCCCTTCTGATAGTGCCTGCATGATTCCTGGTCCAACGCCACTTACGAAGCCAGAGGGGACACATTCTTTCCACTGCCCACCAATGTAAGGGACATTCTTCCCACTGATCAACATAAGGAACATTCTTCCCACTGATCACCACTGTAGGGAACATTCTTCCCACTGCCCACCAACGTAAGGGACATTCTTCCCACTGACCACCAATTTAAGGGACATTCTTCCCACTGACCACCAATGTAAGGGACATTCTTCCCACTGACCACCAACGCAAGGAACATTCTTCCCACTGATCACCAATGCAAGGAACATTCTTCCCACTGATCACCAACGCAAGGAACATTCTTCCCACTGATCAACAACGCAAGGAACATTCTTCCCACTGATCACCAACGCAAGGAACATTCTTCTCACTGATCACCAACGCAATGAACGTTCTTCCCACTGATCACCAACGCAAGGAACGTTCTTCCCACTGATCACCAACGTAAGGAACGTTCTTCCCACTGATCACCAACGTAAGGAACATTCTTCCCACTGATCAGTGCCATCTTAATAGCATCATGTCCCCCTGGGCAAAGTAATGCTCTGAGGACCCAAGCAGCCTACATCAGGTGTCCCATCTCTGCACCCATATACTGTTCATCAGGTGTCCTTATCACAGCACCCAAATACATCAGGTTTCCCCATCACAGTATCCATGTTACTGTACATTAGGTTTCCCCATCAGTGTTCCCATACATCAGGTGTCCCCATACATCAGGTTCCCCCATCACAGTGTCCCCATACATCAGGTTCCCCCATCAGTGTCCCCATCCCACATCAGGTCCCCATACATCAGGTTCCCCCATCACATGGCCCATATACATCAGATGTACCCATAACTGTGTTCCTCCATACAGTGGATAAAAAAAAGTCTACACACCCTTGTTAAAATGTCAGGTTTCTGTGATGTAAAAAAATGAGACATATAGAAATCATTTCAGAACTTTTTCCACCTTTTTAATGTGACCTATAAACTGTACAACACGATTAAAAAACAAACTGAAATCTTTTAGGGGGGGTGGGAGTAAACCTAAAAAACTAAAATAATGTGGTTGCATAAGTGTGCACACCCTCTTATAACTGGAGATGTAGTTGTGTTCAGAATTAAGTAATCACATTCAAAATCATGTTGAATAGGAGTCAGTACACATCTGCCATCCTTTAAAGTGCCTCTGATTAACCCCAAATAAAGTTCAGTTGTTCTAATAGGTCTTTCCTGACCTTTTTTTAGTCGCATCCTAAAGCAAAAGCCATGGTCCACAGAGAGCTTCCAAAGCATCAGAGGGATCTCATTGTTAAAAGGTATCAGTCAGGAGAAGGGTACAAAAGATTTTCCAATGCATTAGATATACCATGGAACACAGTGAAGACCGTCGTCATCAAGTGGAGAAAATATGACGCAACAGTGACATTACCAAGAACTGGACGTCCCTCCAAAATGGATGAAAAGACGAGAAGAAAACTGGTCTGGGAGGCTGCCAAGAGGCCTACAGCAACATTAAAGGAGCTGCAGAAATATCTGGCAAGTACTGGCTGTGTGGTCCATGTGACAACAATCTCCCGTATTCTTCATATGTCTCGGCTATGGGGTAGAGTGGCAAGACTGAAGCCTTTTCTTATGAAGAAAAACATCCAAGCCTGGCTAAAGTTTGCAAAAACACATCTGAAGTCTACCAAAAGCATGAGGGAAAATGTGTTTTGGTCTGATGAAACCATGGTTGAACTTTTTGGCTATAATTCCAAAAAAGATATGTTTGGTGCAAAAGCAACACTGTACATCACCAAAAGAACACCATACCCACCGTGAAGCATGGTGGAGGCAGCATCATGCTTTGGGGATGTTTTTCTTCACCTGGAACTGGTGCCTTAGTCAAGGTAGGAGGAATTATGAACAGTTCCAAATACCAGTCAATATTGGCACAAAACCTTCAGGCTTCTGCTAGAAAGCTGAACATCTTTCATCATGACAACGACCCAAAGCATACATCCAAATCAACAAAGGAATGGCTTCACCAGCAGAAGATTCAAGTTTTGGAATGGCCAAATGATTTCTCTTTGTCTCATTTTTTTACATCACAGAAACCTGATATTTTAACAGGGGTGTGTAGACTTTTTATATCCACTGTACATCAAAGTTCTGCTTCAAGGAAGGCAGCTTCTTCTCCTTCCTCTCCAATGCTGCAACTAAGGCGTGTTCTCAGTCTCAGTGCCCCTCTGTAGGAAGAAGCAGAAAGCTAAATACTCTCTCCAGCAGAAGCCAGCCGCTGCTCCTTCTGACAGGAGTAACATTGCAGTGACTCCTGTAAAAGAGCACTAGTGGCCAAATCGCCAGTGCACACCCTTCCTCCATCCTGACCCCTATCACGGGCCCCCCGTGTACCTATGCCCTTGGGCAGTGCCCAGGAATGCCCATTCATTAAGATAGCCCTGCCACTTGCCACCAATGTAAGGAGTATTGCTCGCAAGGATCACTAATGTGAGGTACATTCTTCCTACTGATCAGCAATGTAAAGGGCCTTGCTTCCACTGACCATCAATGTAAGGAGCATTCTTCTCACTGACTACCAATGTAAGGAGCATTCTTCTCACTGACTACCAATGTAAGGGGCATTCTTCCCACTGACCACCAATGTAAGAGGCATTCTTCCCACTGACCACCAATGTAAGAGGCATTGTTCCCACTGACCACCAATGTAAGAGGCATTCTTCCCACTGACCACCAATGTAAGGGGCATTCTTCCCACCGATCACCAATGTAAGAGGCATTCTTCCCACTGACCACCAATGTAAGAGGCATTGTTCCCACTGACCACCAATGTAAGAGGCATTCTTCCCACTGGCCACCAATGTAAGGGGCATTCTTCCCACTGATCACCAATGTAGGAAGAATTCTTGCCACCGACCACCATTGTAAAGAGAATTCCTTTCCCTGACTACCAGAAGGATGCCTCCAATTGACCCCCAATTAATTCATTTTAGTAGGGGTTTCCTAAGACCTGAACATTTTCAAGATTTCCTTTTGGGGTAAAAGGTTTAAAAAGGTATTGGTAGATCATTTTGCTTATTGCATGAGGTTTCCACAAGTCCTGGTGAGTCTCATATTGTTTGTGGAAGGGCTGATGGCTACCTGACTGCTGATTTTATAGACATCTGCCAATAAATATTCTGTCTTTTATGGAATATCATTTGCCAGTCATTCACTAACTTGTCTTGTTTTCTTTCAGATAACCCTCCTGCCTACACCTCTTCTGTAAGCCCGGTAAGTGTAGATGGCCACCCTTGTACTATGTTCAAAGTTAAAGGATTTTTTTTAATTTTCTGTTGCGTTAACTCCAGAAGAACTGTTTAAAGTTAAAGTGGACCTGTAGTCTAAAATTGGTTTCAGGTCTGTCCATATCCCATCCCATGCTGGTGCTAGGAAGTAAAAAAGTACAATCCTGAGAAACCCTTTCATTGATCCTTCTGTTCTGACCAAAATATTGGCTGGTTCTTCTTTTTCTTTACACAGTTTAGAACATATTATTTACTGTGTCTCCACTGAGAATTTTGATATAGTGACTATTGTCACTGGGGCAGAAGGTGATGGGAAATGCACTGTTGTCACCGGAGCAGGACGTGAGAGGAAACCTTCCTAGGGGGATACTCATGTAATAGAATGAAAAGTGTTGGGGATATTCTCTACAATGCTGAAGAAATGTTTTAGTGGGTATGATGTAGGAGAGAGGAATATGTACAGGAGACTAGTGCAGAGGGTATGACAGTGGTGGGCAGTATGTGCAGAAGAGGAGTGCAGAGGGTATGACTGTGGCCAGTTTTGCAGAAGAAAAGAGCAAAGGGTGTGACAGGGGGCCATATATGAAGAACATGAGTCTGGAGGGTATGACATCTGCAGTTTGTGTAGGAAAGAAGGTTTGATGGTATGACAGAGTGCAGTATTTGCAGGAGAAGAGTATGACAGTGGGCAGTAAGTGAAAGAGTTCAGTGGGCATGACAGTGGAAAGTATTCGTGGGAGAGGAGTACAGAGGGTACGACAGTGGGAAGTATTTGCAGGAGAGGTGTGCAGAGGGCATGACGGTGGGCAGTATGTGTAGGAGAGAAGTGCAGAGGACATGAGAGTGGGTAGTATGTGTGGGAGAGGTGTGCAAAGGGCATGACAGTGGGAAGTATTTGCGGGAGAGGTGTGCAGAGGGCATGATGGTGGGCAGTGTGTGTAGGAGAGAAGTGCAGAGGGCATGACAGTGGCCAGTATGTTTAGGAGAGAAGTGCACAGGACATGACAGTGGGCAGTGTGTGTAGGAGAGAAGTGCAGAGGGCATGACAGTGGGCAGTATGTGTAGGAGAGAAGTGCAGAGGGCATGACAGTGGGCAGTATCTTCAGAAGAAGAGTACAGGAAGGTATGATTGTGGGTAATATCTGTGGGAGAGCAGTGCAGGAGAATGAGACAGGGCTGGATCTAGGGGGGTTCTGAGGTGGGCTGTGCCTACCCAGATTTTAGCAGTGGCCCCCCCTGGTCTCTAAAAGTGCATCTACTAATCTATGAGCCAGTCTGATGCAGAAAGGTGATATAAGAAGGCACACTGATGGGGACAATTCATGTAGGGCAGTATATGCAGGAGAGAGAGATGACAGTGGGCAGTATGTGCAGGAGGGTATGTGGGCAGTATGTGGGCAGTATGTGCGGGAGGGTATGTCAGTGGGCAGTATGTGTCAGTGGGCAGTATGTGCGGGAGGGTATGTCAGTGGGCAGTATGTGCAGGAGGGCATGACAGTTGGCAGTATGTGCGGGAGGGTATATGACAGTGGACAGTATGTGCTGGAGGGTATGACAGTGGGCAGTATGTGCGGGAGGGTATGACAGTGGGCAATATGTGCTGGAGGGCATGACAGTGGGCAGTATGTGCTGGAGGGTATGACAGTGAGCAATATGTGCTGGAGGGCATGACAGTGGGCAGTATGTGTGGGAGAGGCATGCAGAGGGTATGACGGTGGGCATTATGTGTAGGAGAGAAGTGCAGAGGGTATGACAGGTGGAAGTATGTACAGAAATACATAGGGTATGGTGCACGCACTCCCACTTTTGAAATCTGTGCAGTGAACCTGCTGTACGTATTTCCAGTAGAAACATTTGGAAAATGCAGCTAGAATATAGAAGTCACCCCAGATAGTATTCCTGGTCGGAGTTGAACTCGGCACCCCAGAGTTGCAAGGCAAACCTGCGTCCCAGGAAGTGGCGTTGGTCATTGTTGGAGTAATGAGAATGCTGGCACATTCATTCTTGGCAGTGTTAGCAGAAGAGACTTTGATTTCCACGTCTTGGCCACAGAAACTTGGCAGCCCTGGCTGTGTATGTTTGTAATTTACTGTGTCGTATGATGTGTTCAGGGGATTTCCAGCCTCATGATTATATTGTAATGGAATCCACAAAGCCAAGGCAGTGTTGCTGGGGATCTGCAGGCTTGATATCTGGGCTTTAACCCGCTCTTGACAAGTCGTAGGAGCTCTGAGGCTCCCAGTGGGTTTGAAGAAGCTGTTGGTGGTCTTCTGCTACAGTGAGGGGCCTAAGAAGCAAGCATTTCATTTCTCAGTCTATCTTCACTGGTCATTGTACTGCAGACACTGCATAGACCAGAGTAGGGGCATATAAATTCCATACCTATACCTGTCTGATTCCTCCTGGGCGTACCCGATGTGCAAATACTGACTTTGCAGAGGTGCCCAAGCTGCATTGTGTGTAAATTGTAAGCTCCCAGGATCAGGGCCCTCCTAACCCTCTTGTTTTGAACTGTACTGTCTCCCGTTATATCGTAAAGCGTTGAGCAAACTGTTGGCGCAATATAAATCCTGTATAATAATAATAATAATAATAATAAAAGGTGTTTTTTTTTGTTTGAGGTTATATTTCAGTTTTCTGAAGAACAACCATTAAAAAAAAAACCAAACAAAAAACAAACAGACAAAGGTATTGTAAAATAAAATTAGAAATCTGAGATCATATGTTCAGGCACAATCTGAATTCCCTAAAGAGACTGCTGTGTTAGAGAGAGAGAGACAGCCCTGGTTGTGAATTATTACTGTGAAATACTGATCAGAGACTGCTATGTGAGAGACTGCCCTGGTAGACTGAGACTGCTATGCAAGATACGGCCCTGGTACACAGAGACTGCTATGCAAGAGACTGCCCTGGTACACAGAGACTGCTATGCGAGAGACTGCCCTGGTAAACAGACTGCTATGCGAGAGACTGCCCTGGCACACAGAGACTGCTATGCGAGAGACTGCCCTGGTAGACAGACTGCTATGCGAGAGACTGCCCTGGCACACAGAGACGGCAATGCGAGAGACTGCTGACTGCCCTGCTGCTATGCGAGAGTACACAGAGACTGCTATGCGAGAGACTGCCCTGGTAGACAGACTTCTATGCGAGAGACTACCCCGGTACACAGAGACTGCTATGCGAGAGACTGCCCTGGTAGACAGACTGCTATGCGAGAGACTGCTCTGGCACACAGAGACTGCTATGCGAGAGATTGCCCTGGTACACTGAGACGTCTATGCGAGAGTCTGCCCTGTTGCGCAGAGACTACTATGTTAGAGACCAACATGTTGCACAGAGACTGCTATATGAGAGACTGCCCTGGCTCAGAATAAGTTGCTGTGAGAGAGTGCCCTGGTACACAGAGATTGCTTTTCAAGAGACTGCCCTGGCTCAGAATAACTTGTTGTAAGAGATGGCCCTGGTAGAAGAGACTATGTGAGAGACTGCCCTGTTACGCAGACTGCTACTGTATGGGCAGCATGGTGGCTAAATGGTTAGCACTTCTGCCTGGCAGTACTGGGGTCATCGGTTCGAATCCCAACCATTGCACTACTTGCCTGGAGTTTGCATGTTCTCCCAGTGCCTGCATGGATTTCCTCCGGGTACTCCAGTTTCCTCCTACACTCCAAAGACATTAGGTAGGTTAATTGGCTCCTGTCTAAACTGACCCTAGTCAGTGTATGTATGAATGTATGTGTGTGTATGTAAAGCACTGCGGAAATTGACATCACTATATAAGTACCTGGACTAAATAAATGTGAGGAACTGCCCTGATGCACAGAGACTGCTATGTGAGAGACTGATCTGGTATACAGAATCCTTGATGTGAGAGACTGCCTTGTTAAACAGAGACTTCTATGTGAGAGACCACCCTGTTGCACAGAGACTATGTAAGAGACCATCCCGGTGCACATACTATGTGAGAGACCACCCTGTTACGCAGAGACTTCTATGTGAGAGACCACCCTGTTGCGCACACACTGCTATGTGAGAGACCACCCTGTTATGCAGAGACTGCTATGTGAGAGACCGCCCTGTTGCGCAATGACTGCTATGTGAGAGACCACCCTGTTGCGCATTGACTGCTATGTGAGAGACCGCCCTGTTGCGCAATGACTGCTATGTGAGAGACCGCCCTGTTGCGCAATGACTGCTATGTGAGAGACTACCCTGTTGCACAGATACTGCTATGTGAGAGACCACCCTGTTGCACAGAGACTGCTATGTGAGAGACCACCCTGTTTGCGCACCCTGTTGTGCAGAGACTGCTATGTGAGAGACCACCCTGTTGCGCAGAGACTGCTATGTGAGAGACTACCCTGTTGCGCAGAGACTGCTATGTGAGAGACTACCCTGTTGCGCAGAGACTGCTATGTGAGAGACCACCCTGTTGCACACACACACTGCTATGTGAGAGACCACCCTGTTGCACAGATACTGCTATGTGAGAGACCACCCTTTTGTACAGATACTGCTATGTGAGAGACCACCCTGTTGTGCAAAGACTGCTATGTGAGAGACCACCCTTTGTGCAGAGACTGCTATGTGAGAGACCACCCTGTTGCGCACACACACTGCTATGTGAGAGAGACCACCCTGTTGTTGCGCAGAGACTGCTATGTGAGAGACCACCCTGTTGCGCAGAGACTGCTATGTGAGAGACCGCCCTGTTGCGCAGAGACTGATATGTGAGAGACCGCCCTGTTGTGTGCAGAGACTGATATGTGAGAGACCACCCTGTTGTGCAGAGACTGATATATGTGAGAGACTGCCCTGTTACAGAGAGACTGCATTACTCTGCTGTACAGGGACTGTTTGTAGAACATCCAGTTGTTCTGGGGCAGCTGTGTCGGGTCCTGCCCATCTAGTTAGACTGCCTGATCAATATCGTGGTGTATAGGGTCTCATTGGCATTGTCACACAGCAATATTTTCTTACATGCAGAGCTGCTCAGGGAAGATACTTCTTTTCTCCCTACCATGCATACTACTGACTTTGCTTTTGGAAGTGACATCATAAGTTACATGACTATAATAGAGGGGATACTTGTGTGGGCTGAGCCGAGTATGAGAGGGAATGCCTTCATTTTCATCATTTCATGGCAGGTGTAGAGTGATTTTGGTGTGGAAGAATTTGATAAGGGGTAAAAGGATTGGGGGGGGGGGGGGGGGGGGGGGGTGGGCGGGGCGGTACAAAAGGGGGTATATGTACTGGAGGGGGAGATGGATGTGGCTTGGATAATTTTTCCTTTTCCTGCTCAGAAATTCCCTGCTTTCCCTGCTCAGAAATATCTATCTGGATGTAGAAGGTGTTAAGATAGGCTGTGAGCTCCCCAGACAAAAAGGCCAAAATGCACAGTACTTCAGAGGCATGAGTTGCAGGTTCTGACCCTTCGCCTGCTGAAGAGCCAAAGGTGGTCGCCTCTCCTGTCTCCCCCTCAGTCCAGCCCTATAAATAAGTATTTTTTTTATTGCAATGGTACTACCCTCTTATGCAGAGTGTGTATGTTTTGATTACAGAATTCGAAAGGTGCATCAGAGACTCCCGCTTTGGAGGATGAACTGATGATGATGAGATGAGAGTGAGCCAGACCCACCGCCAGCAGTTGCTCCACGTCCTGAGTACACAAAATCGGTACATGAACTAAGCTTTTCTCAGGTCATCTCCATGTCAGAACAAGATGACCAGGAGGGAGGTCATCTCCAGATCAGAGGATCTGAGATGACCAGGAAGGTGGTCATCTTCAGATAGAAGGACTATGAGAAAACCAGGAAGGATGTCCTTTTCAGATGACAAGAGCTATGAGATGATCAGGAAGGAGGTCATCTCCAGATGACAAGAGCTATGATGGCTATTACCTGGTCATCTTCAGGTCAGAAGATCTATGAGATGAGTGGGAAGGAGGTCATTTCCAGATTACAAGAACTAGGAGAGCTATTCCCTAATCATCTCTAAGTCAAAAGAACTATGAGATGACCAGGAAGGGAGGTCATCTCCAGATCTGATCTGGAGATAACCTCCTTTCTGGTTATCACATAGATCTGATCTGGAGACGACCTGCCTTCTGGTTATCTCATAGATCTGAAAAGCTATGAGATAACCAGAAGGGAGGTCATTTCCATATCACAAGAGCTATGAGTTGACCAGGAGGGAGAAGGTCATGTCTAGATTAGAGGTTCTATGACATGACCGGGAGGAGGCCATGTCCAGATTAGGTCTGACACAACTTGCATGTTGTTTTCTGATCAGAATATTAGAACATTTTGAAATGCTGCCCTAAGTTTTGATGTCTGCCTTTCCCTCCAATGCAGCTATCCAGGCATTGTGCTAGAATAGCTGCATCCATGACTACACGACCCGAGTAACCTGTGATCTCAGAAATGATGTAATGCACGTCGCTTCTGGGGTCATTAGTCACAGGAGGGATCAGGGAAATGATGTTCCCAGAGTTCCTCCTTGCTCTTACTGATCAAGCAGTTCCCAGTGTTTCCCAGCTGGCAGAACCCATGGTAGTTCCCGGGTTCTCCCTTTCCTCTGGAAAATCAGCAAACCACCACTGGTGCTTCCAGCTGGGAAGCACTTTGAGAGCACCATGAAAGGGATCTTTAGAGCCGCCTGGATCACTTTTATCGGAATGCACTTTGCTGCCTCTTAAAGCAGCAGTAAACTTTATTTAACCACTTGTGTTTTATAAACGTTCCTTGGTTGACAAGTCGTTAAACTACACTGCTATGCAAGGCATCCCATAGATGATTCAATTTTTTTTTTCCTTCCACCACAGATGGAAAAAGAAAGAAGAGAGAGAAAATCGCTTGATTCCCCCATCAATATCCGTGTTGATGGGGGAATGCCTCCCGCAGTGCTGTTGTGTTCTTCTGGAGGGGAATCTTTCCAGCCAGCAAAACACAACGACTACTCCTAGTAGCTGCTGGCAGTAATCCAACAGGCTGGTTTCACCCAAGCCGATTAATGGATGGACTTGGTACAACCAGCTTGCCCATACATGGATGGAAACTCAACCGGTCCCTTCTGAATCAGCCAAATTTTAATCCATGTATGGCTGGCTTAATAATCTTTACACCTTGAAGAAATTAGCCCCGTTGTGTACACCAGACCGGAGTGTGCTGTGAAACTGCTCATTGTTTGCCTGGTTCACTGTTATAACTTCTCCTAAGTCCGGAAAGGTTTCTTCACAGTAAGAGCTGTGAAAATGTGGAACAGATTCCCTCAACGTTCTGGCGAGCTCAGTGGATTGCTTCAAAAAAGTCCTGGATTCTTTCTTAGATAAACAGAATATAACTGGATACTAACATTTATAGGTAAAATTGATCCAGGGAACATCCGATTGCCTCTCGGGGGATCAGGAAGAAATTTTTTCCCAGCAGAAGCAAATTGGATCATGCTTTGCTGGGTTTTTTTTTTTTGCCTTCCTCTGGATCCACTGTGGGTGTAGGATTATAACTTTTTTTTTTTTTTTATGGTTGAACTGGATGGACTTTTGTCTTTTTTTCAGCCAGACTAACTATGTAACTAAGTGCCTGAGGCCAGGAGGGCCACACAGACAAACAATTATTATCTGTCTTCACAAGCAGGTTTAATTATGTCTGCTGGAGTATCATTGTGGAGGGAGAAAACGAGCAGCCCAGCCCTGGCTCCTTTCCATGCCAATTTATAAACCGTGATTAGCAGGAAGCGGACTGAAAATTGTAGATGTGAACTCAGCGGGTTCTCTGTACTTATTTTTTAATCTCGTTTCATGGCTAAAGGTCTGGCATTGTATGTTTGTTTTCAATCGGCAAAAAAAAAAATGTCAAGAAAGGAGATAGAGGAGTTAAAGCAGTATTAAACCCAAGAGCAAACATTTTTATTATATTGCGGCTTACCAATACTTAGATTTGATGGCTGCATTAGTTTACTTTTTTTGGCCTTTTTTTCCTTTTCACCTGGTGATCTGGCCAGTAAGTCTGCGGTTTCTCAACAGAACAAGCTGTTCTGCGGATGTAGCAGGTATAGGTTTGAGACAAACCATTTACCACTGACGGGGGTGCTTACACTGATCATCTTCTAGTTTATTTATGTGAAACTTTTAGGCTCCATGCACACTAGCATGTTTTTAAGCTCCTAGAAGCTGTTATTAGCATTTTTTTTCTCTGCTCCTAGAAGCTAAATAGTTAGGCTATTAGCATTTTGTGAGCTTCAGCGTCTAGGAGCAGAAAAAAAAATTGTTTTCGTAGAGTTTTTCAGTTCTCACTGAAGAGCAATTCGAACACCGATTGCTCTTACCAAGAAATTGCCTTCAAAAGCATTTCTGGCCATGGCCATCTTGAGTAAGGGCAGGTGCAGGGGCGGACTGACAACTCATGGGGCCCCCGGGCAATAGGGGATCATGGGGCCCCTGTGTCCTTGCCCAAACTCAAAAAAGCCTATGAAAAAGGTACCAGGGGCATCTCATGGGGCCCCCTACTGACCCCGGGACCTCGGCCAGTGCCGGAGTTCCAAATGGTCAGTCTGCCACTGGGCAGGTGATTCATGTAACATTTACTTCCTGGAATTCATCTGCCTTTAGCTCAGGTATACAGGCTGGAGGGTGTGTATAATTAATTAGAAGTGCAATAGGCTACACATATTTAGTGCAAGACTCCAAGCGAATACAAAAACTAAAATGTACCTCTGTTCACATTTAGGGCCCTGTATGTCCCGAGACACATTCCCAGCATTCCCGGCATATATCCCTGGATCATCATGATATGATTTAGAACAACAGAAGAAAACTTCAGTAAAACAATGCAGATAAATTCCAAATAAACTTGAGCCCATCAGAGTCCCCCTTACTTTAGAGTCCCCAACACATCAGTGTATCATCTTACGTCAGGTTTCCCAACAAACTCCACAAATATGTGAAAGGCACCATTAGACCATTAGAGCACCCCCCTTACATCAGGGTCCCCAAAAAAACCCCTTCCCCAAATATGTGAGAGGCTCCATTAGAACACCCCCTCTTGCATCAAGGTCCCCAACAAACTCCAATATGTGAGAGGTCCCTTTACGGCAACCCCCTTACATCAGGGTCCCCAACAACCCCTCCCCCCTCAATATGTGAGAGGCCCAATTAGAACACCCCTCTTACATCAGGGTCCCCAAAAACCCCTCCCCCAATTTGTGAGAGGCTCCATTAGAGCACCCCCTCTTACATCAGGGTCCCCAACAACCTCCAATATGTGAGAGGCCCCATTACAACACCCCCCTTACATCTGGGTCTCCAACAAACTCCCCTAATATGTGAGAGGCCCCATTAGAGCACCCCCTCTTACATCAGGTTCCCCAACAACCCCCCCCCAATATGCGAGAGGCTCCATTAGAGCACCCCCTCCTACATCAGGGTCCCCAACAACCTCCAATATGTGAGAGGCCCAATTACAACACCCCCCTTACATCAGGGTCTCCAACAGCCTCCAATATGTGAGAGGCCCCATTACAACACCCCTCTTACATCAGGGTCTCCAACAAACTCCCCTAATATGTGAGAGGCCCCATTAGAGCACCCCTCCCCCTTTACATTAGGGTCCCCAACAAACTCCCATAATATGTGAGAGGCCCCATTAGAGCACCTCCTCTTACATCAGGTTCCCCAACAACCCCCCCCCCCCCCAATATGTGAGAGGCTCCATTAGAGCATCCCCTCTTACATCAGGGTCCCCAACAACCTCCAATATGTGAGAGGCCCCATTACAACACCCCCTTACATCAGGGTCTCCAACAACCTCCAATATGTGAGAGGCCCCATTACAACAACCCTCTTACATCAGGGTCCCCAACAACCCCTCCCCCAATATGTGAGAGGTCCAATTAGAGCACCTCCTCTTACATCAGGGTCCCCAACAACCCCCCCAATATGCGAGAGGCTCCATTAGAGCACCCCTTCTTACATCAGGGTCCCCAACAACCTCCAATATGTAAGAGGCCCCATTACAACAGCCCCCTTACATCTGGGTCTCCAACAATCCCTCCCCCCAATATGTGAGAGGCCCCAATAGAGCACCCCTCTTTACATCAGGGTCCCCAGCAAACTCCCCCCATATGTGAGAGGCCCCATTAGAGCACCCCTCTTTACATCAGGGTCCCCAGCAAACTCCCCCAATATGTGAGAGGCCCCATTAGAGCACCCCCCCCTTTACATCAGGGTCCCCAACAGCCCCCCCAATATGTGAGAGGCTCCATTAGAGCACCCCATCTTTTACATCAGGGTCCCCAACACACTACAATATGTGATGGGTCTCATTAGAGCACCCCCTCCCCCCTGTTACATCCACGTCGCCATCAGGGTCCCCTCAAGAGGCACAATAAAACCTTGCAGGGGGCCAGATTTGGCCTGCAGGCCATAGTTTGGAGACACCTGCACTAGATAGATATCTGAGGCCCCATAAAAAGTGAGCATTCTACTTCTGCCGCCGGCTTACAAAAATGCTTACTTCAGGTACACTTCAGTCAATGCATAACTGGACCGAAGGTCGTTTTTGTATTTAGCTTTGAGTTTTGCTTAAAATGAGCCCAATTTACTTCTAATTCTATGTACATAACCTCTCATTGTTTACCAGTTGGTTTCGCTCAGGGTTTATCTCCATTGTATGTATATAGCAGTTGTCCATTGGAAGTTTCACCTAGCACATGGATTGTAGACTTAAACATAGGCTGAAGATTGGTGGACCTGAAGCCTCGTTTTCCTACTATCTTCTACTATCTTGGTGACTGTAGGTTTGTGTTGTAGATACTCACTCGCTCAGTGGTCATACCCACACCATCGTCCACGGATGAGGCTCGTTCAGAACCAACAGAAAACAGCGTGCCATCAGTAGACAATGCGGCCAAAGGAGCAGATAGATTGAAGAAGAAACCCAAGATGACAGACGAGGAGATCCTGGAGAAACTGAGTACGTATTTTTTTATTTTAGTTCTACAAAATCTTTATTGATTTGAAATGAAAATTTGAGAGATATAGAATGGCCAGTTTAGGGTAAGGTAACAAGTACTGGAAAACACTGTTCTAGATTTTGGAGAATCGAGATATTGTAAAAGCTAAAATCTATATCCAAAGGTATTGTCCAAGCCAAGATCAAGACTGCTCAATGTAATGATGTTGGAAAGATCTTAGTGACGGAAGACTACATATCCAGTAGCTTACCCAAGCTTAAGAAGTACATATTGTGTGGTGTTAGAGTATGTTTTATAGTTCTAATGTAAGAGAGATAGTGGTGGGAAAGGGGAGGGAAGGGCAAGGTGGATAGATGGAGAAAGAGAAGGAAAAGATGGGGGTTGGGTTTAGTCAGGGGTAGAATTTATTTTACTTTTGGGTTACATGTAGTAGGGAGGGGGAATGATTTATTTTACCTTCGGGTTATTCAGGGGTAGGATTTTACTTTTACTTTTGGGTTAGATGTAGTAGGTGGGGGTAGGATTTTACTTTTACTTTTGGGTTAGATGTAGTAGGTGGGGGTAGGATTTTACTTTTGGGTTAGGTATAGGCAGGGGTAGGATTCATTTTACTTTTGGGTAAGGTATAGTTGTTGTCTTTTTGTTTTTATGGGGGTTAGGCATTAGGCATGGTTGGGGGGATAGGATTTATTTTACTTTGGGATTAGGTGTAGTTGGGGGGGGGTTAGGGTAGGATTTATTTTACTTTGGGATTAGGTGTAGTTGGGGGGGTAGGATTTATTTTACTTTGGGTTAGGTATGGTTGGGAGGGGTGGGGGGGGGTACGACTTATTTTTCTTTTGGGTTAGGTGTAGTCAGGGGGGGTAGGAGTTTCTTTTTTTCGGCGTTAGGTATAGTCAGGGGTAGGATTTATTCTGCTTTTGGGTAAGGTATAATTGGGGGTAGGATTTCTTCTTCTTTGGATAAGGTATAGTTGGGGGTAGGATTTATTCTTTGGGTTAGGTATAGTTGGGGGTAGGATTTATTCTTCTTTTGGGTTAGGTATAGTTGGGTGTAGGATATATTCTTCTTTTGGGTAAGGTATAGTTGGGTGTAGGATTTATTCTTCTTTTGGGTAAGGTATAGTTGGGGGGTAGGATTTATTCTTCTTTTGGGTAAGGTATAGTTGGGGGTAGGATTTATTCTTCTTTGGGTAAGGTATAATTGGGGGGGTAGGATTTATTCTTCTTTTGGGTTAGGTATAGTTGGGGGTAGGATTTATTCTTCTTTGGGTAAGGTATAGTTGGGGGTAGGATTTATTCTTCTTTGGGTAAGGTATAGTTGGGGGTAGGACTTATTCTTCTTTTGGGTAAGGTATAGTTGGGGGTAGGATTTATTCTTCTTTGGGTAAGGTATAGTTGGGGGTAGGATTTATTCTTCTTTGGGTAAGGTATAATTGGGGGTAGGATTTATTCTTCTTTTGGGTTAGGTATAGTTGGGGGTAGGATTTATTCTTCTTTTTTTGGGTTAGGTATAGTTGGGGGTAGGATTTATTCTTCTTTTGGGTTAGGTATAGTTGGGGGTAGGATTTATTCTTCTTTGGGTTAGGTATAGTTGGGTGTAGGATTTATTCTTCTTTTTGGGTTAGGTATAGTTGGGGGTAGGATTTATTCTTCTTTTTGGGTTAGGTATAGTTGGGGGTAGGATTTATTCTTCTTTTGGGTTAGGTATAGTTGGGGGTAGGATTTATTCTTCTTTGGGTTAGGTATAATTGGGGGTAGGATTTATTCTTCTTTTGGGTTAGGTATAGTTGGGGGTAGGATTTATTCTTCTTTTAGTTTAGGATTTAGGTATAGTTGGGGTAGGATTTATTCTTCTTTTTGGGTTAGGTATAGTTGGGGGTAGGATTTATTCTTCTTTGGGTTAGGTATAGTTGGGGGTAGGATTTATTCTTCATTGAGTAAGGTATAGTTGGGGGTAGGATTTATTCTTCTTTTGGGTTAGGTATAGTTGGGGTAGGATTTATTCTTCTTTTGGGTTAGGTATAGTTGGGGTAGGATTTATTCATCTTTGGGTAAGGTATAGTTGGGGGTAGGATTTATTCTTCTTTTGGGTAAGGTATCGTTGGGGGTAGGATTTATTCTTCTTTTGGGTAAGGTATAGTTGGGGGTAGGATTTATTCTTCTTTTGGGTTAGGTATAGTTGGGGTAGGATTTATTCATCTTTGGGTAAGGTATAGTTGGGGGTAGGATTTATTCTTCTTTTGGGTAAGGTATCGTTGGGGGTAGGATTTATTCTTCTTTGGGTAAGGTATAGTTGGGGGTAGGATTAATTTTTCTTTTGGGTTAGGTTTATTTGGGGGTAGGTTCTATTTTACTGCTGAGTTGGTTATAGTCGGAGGATAGGATTTACTTTTCCTTTGGGTTAGGTGAATTTGGAGGAGGTAGGATTTATTTTAATACGAGGTCCTAAAAGGACCAAATAACATAAATGGTGCCCCAAGTAATCCAATGGGATCCAATAGTGCTCCAAATCAAACAAGTAAGTCACAACAGGACTCAATGTGCTAGAAAAACCTCCCACCAGAACTAAAAATCAGTTCCCACCCATATAACACAAAACACACGTGCATCCCAATAAACGCATAAACTAAGAACTGATCATGCAAACAAACATGAATAAATGAATGAATATATAAAGTCCCGTGAGGTGTAAAACACCTGAGAATATACAAAAAACCATATATAAAGTCCACAGAAATTCTTGAAGAAGTAAAAAAAAAATGTGCTGATAAATGTGCAGAGATATCCAAAAATGGGCTGAATTGCCCGCTCACCTCCCTCTTGCGACCCGCACAGGGTCATAAGGCCTTCAGGATCACTAACGCATAGACCCTTAATAGTAGGTAATCCTCCACAGCTCTCCACACTGACCTCCCCTCATGTACAGATTCCAGCACAGGCTCACAGGGCAGCAGATCTCCTCTTCAGGCACATAAGGTGGCTGCAGCCACTTGATCCCTCAGATCAGATGTACTTGCATGGGTGTCCAATGTAAATAAAGAAGGAGTCCGACCGGAAGTGCGTCACCGCCAACGCGTATCGTCACGCTTAACACGTGGCACTATTTAATATTGTGTGTTTATGTTATATGGGGGAGCCATGAAAAGCATTCCCTTTGTCCCATTGGTCAACTTCATATTTAGAACCCCTGGTGTATGTCCTGAAATGAGGAATAATTCTTTTATTTTAGGTTTCCTAGCAGTAATATGGCAGGTGGGCGGCTTGCAACACCCATCATGCTTACATTATATTTTTAAGCTGTGGGTATATCCAGAGAAGTTTTGGTGAGGCAGGACAATAGGGCACAGAGAAGTTTTGGTGAGGCAGGACAATAGGGCACAGAGAAGTTTTGGTGAGGCAGGACAATAGGGCACAGAGAAGTTTTGGTGAGGCAGGACAATAGGGCACAGAGATGTTTTGGTGAGGCATGACAATAGGGCACAGAGAAGTTTTGGTGAGGCAGGACAATAGGGCACAGAGAAGATTTGGTGAGGCAGGACAATAGGGCACAGAGAAGTTTTGGTGAGGCATGACAATAGGGCACAGAGAAGTTTTGGTGAGGCAGGACAATAGGGCACAGAGAAGTTTTGGTGAGGCAGGACAATAGGGCACAGAGATGTTTTGGTGAGGCATGACAATAGGGCACAGAGAAGTTTTGGTGAGGCAGGACAATAGGGCACAGAGAAGATTTGGTGAGGCAGGACAATAGGGCACAGAGAAGTTTTGTGTGAGGCATGACAATAGGGCACAGAGAAGATTTGGTGAGGCAGGACAATAGGGCAACAGAGAAGTTTTGGTGAGGCAGGACAATAGGGCACAGAGAAGTTTTGGTGAGGCAGGACAATAGGGCACAGAGATGTTTTGGTGAGGCATGACAATAGGGCACAGAGAAGTTTTGGTGAGGCAGGACAATAGGGCACAGAGAAGATTTGGTGAGGCAGGACAATAGGGCACAGAGAAGTTTTGGTGAGGCATGACAATAGGGCACAGAGAAGTTTTGGTGAGGCAGGACAATAGGGCACAGAGATGTTTTGGTGAGGCATGACAATAGGGCACAGAGAAGTTTTGGTGAGGCAGGACAATAGGGCACAGAGAAGATTTGGTGAGGCAGGACAATAGGGCACAGAGAAGTTTTGGTGAGGCATGACAATAGGGCACAGAGAAGTTTTGGTGAGGCAGGACAATAGGGCACAGAGAAGTTTTGGTGAGGCAGGACAATAGGGCACAGAGATGTTTTGGTGAGGCATGACAATAGGGCACAGAGAAGTTTTGGTGAGGCAGGACAATAGGGCACAGAGAAGATTTGGTGAGGCAGGACAATAGGGCACAGAGAAGTTTTGGTGAGGCATGACAATAGGGCACAGAGAAGATTTGGTGAGGCAGGACAATAGGGCACAGAGAAGTTTTGGTGAGGCAGGACAATAGGGCACAGAGAAGTTTTGGTGAGGCAGGACAATAGGGCACAGAGATGTTTTGGTGAGGCATGACAATAGGGCACAGAGAAGTTTTGGTGAGGCAGGACAATAGGGCACAGAGAAGATTTGGTGAGGCAGGACAATAGGGCACAGAGAAGTTTTGGTGAGGCATGACAATAGGGCACAGAGATTTTTGGTGAGGCAGGACAATAGGGCACAGAGAAGTTTTGGTGAGGCAGGACAATAGGGCACAGAGAAGTTTTTGGTGAGGCAGGACAATAGGGCACAGAGAAGTTTTGGTGAGGCAGGACAATAGGGCGCAGAGACGTTTTGGTGAGGCAGGACAATAGGGCGCAGAGAAGATTTGGTGAGGCAGGACAATAGGGCACAGAGAAGTTTTGGTGAGGCAGGACAATAGGGCACAGAGAAGTTTTGGTGAGGCAGGACAATAGGGCGCAGAGAAGTTTTGGTGAGGCAGGACAATAGGGCACAGAGAAGTTTTGGTGAGGCGGGACCTCCAGCAGATGGAGCTGAAGAGTCTGCCATGCGCATTTAGCTGTCCTTTAACATTGTTTAATCTGGTTTTACAGGAACCATTGTAAGTGTGGGAGACCCAAAGAAAAAATACACGAGGTTCGAGAAGATTGGGCAAGGGTTAGTATATTCATTTTTTTTTTTTTTTTTTTTTTTTTTTAATATAATACAAGTGCCTTCAACCTTCAGTTCTGGATTGAACATTGGTGGGTTACCTGGCAGCTTTTATGTCTCTCAAAGACCTTAGGGGTGAGATGTATGCACAGCGGTGATCCCAGTGGTGATTGTACTCCTCCTCCTGTGCTGCTTCCATCCAACCTCTGTTGATTGTACTCCTCCTGTGCTCCTTCCACCCATCCTCAGCTGATTGTACTCCTCCTGTACTCCTTCCATCCACCCTCTGTTGATTGTACGCCTCCTGTGCTGCTTCCTCCCATCCTCTGCTGATTGTACTCCTCCTGTGCTGCTTCCTCCCATCCTCTGCTGATTGTACTCCTCCTGTGCTGCTTCCTCCCATTCTGTGCTGATTGTACTACTCCTGTGCTCCTTCCACCCATCCTCAGCTGATTGTGTTTCTCCTGTGCTCCTTCCACCCGTCCTCTGCTGATTGTACTCCTCCTGTGGTGCTTCCTCCCCATCTCTGCTGATTGTACTCCTCCTGTGCTGCTTTATTTTATGCTCTGGTGATTGTACTCTTCCTGTGCTGCTTCATCCCCGTCCTCTGTTGATTGTACTCCTCCTGTGCCCCTTCAATCCGCCCTCTGCTGATTGTACTCCTCCTGTGCCCCTTCAATCCTCCCTCTGCTGATTGTACTCCTCCTGTGCCCCTTCCATCCACCCTCTGCTGATTGTACTCCTCCTTCCACCCATCCTCTGCTGGTTATACTCCTCCTGTGCCCCTTCCATCCACCCTCTGTTGATTGTACTCCTCCTGTGCCCTTTCCATCCATCTTCTGCTGATTGTACTCCTCCTGTACTCCTTCTACCCATTCTATGCTGATTGTACTCCTCCTGTGCTGCTTCCTCCCATTCTGACTGCAACGTCCGGGGGTAGACCAGATATAGTGAATGCAGGGTGCTGGGAGATCATATATAGTGAATGCAGGGTCCAGGGAGATCAGATATAGTGAATGCAGGATCCCGGAAGACCAGATATAGTGAATGCGGGGTCCTGGGAGACCAGATATAGTGAATGCGGGGTCCTGGGAGATCAGATATAGTGCATGCAGGGTCCTGGGAGATCAGATATAGTGCATGCAGGGTCCTGGGGGACCAGATATAGTGAATGCAGGGTCCTGGGAGACCAGATATAGTGAATGCAGGGTCCTGGGAGTCCAGAGTGAATGCGGGGTCCTGGGAGATCAGATATAGTGAATGTGGGGTCCTGGAGATCAGATATAGTGAATGTGGGGTCCTGGGAGATCAGATATAGTGAATGTGGGGTCAGGGGAGACCAGATATACTGAATGCAGGATCCTGGGAGATCAGATATTGTGAATGCAGGATCCTGGGAGATCAGATATAGTGAATGCAGGATCCGGAAGACCAGATATAGTGAATGCGGGGTCCTGGGAGACCAGATATAGTGCATGCGGGGTCCTGGGAGATCAGATATAGTGAATGCGGGGTCCTGGGAGATCAGATATAGTGCATGCAGGGTCCTGGGAGATCAGATATAGTGCATGCAGGGTCCTGGGAGACCAGATATAGTGAATGCGGGGTCCTGGGAGACCAGATATAGTGAATGCGGGGTCCTGGGAGATCAGATATAGTGAATGTGGGGTCCTGGGAGATCAGATATAGTGAATGTGGGGTCCTGGGAGATCAGATATAGTGAATGTGGGGTCAGGGGGAGACCAGATATACTGAATGCGGGGATCCTGGGAGATCAGATATTGTGAATGCAGGTCCTGGGAGATCAGATATTGTGAATGCGGGGTCCTGGGAGATCAGATATTGTGAATGCAGGATCCTGGGAGATCAGATATAGTGAATGCGGGGTCCGGGGAGACCAGATATAGTGAATGCGGGGTCCTGGGAGACCAGATATAGTGAATGCAGGGTCCTGGGAGACCAGATATAGTGAATGCAGGGTCCGGGGAGACCAGATATAGTGAATGCAGGGTCCTGGGAGATCAGATATAGTGAATGCAGGGTCCTGGAGATCAGATATTGTGAATGTGGGGTCCTGGGAGACCAGATATTGTGAATGCGGGGTCCTGGGAGACCAGATATAGTGAATGCGGGGTCCTGGGAGACCAGATATAGTGAATGCGGGGTCCTGGGAGATCAGATATAGTGAATGTGGGGTCCTGGGAGACCAGATATTGTGAATGCAGGGTCCTGGGAGAGCAGATATAGTGAATGTGGGGTCCTGGGTTTATTAACACTTTAATTTTAAAAAAATTATATGATTGGTATTCATGTATGAGCAAAGCAAATTCTGTGCACAGAGATTCACCTGTAAGAGCCTCCCTTGTGTAGACCTGCAAAAGCCATGAGACTGCTGCTGGGTGCCACCACCTTGGATGGCACTCAGGTGACACTCAAAAGCAGTGTTTCCCAGACTCATTCCCCAAACACCCCCAATAAGCCATGTTTTGGGATTTTTTTCTCATTCAAAAAAATACCAAGCCATTGATGTTGTGCAAGGTGAAAGGAATCCTGAAAACATGACCTGTTGAAGGTACTTGAGCACCGAAATTGGAAACCACTGCTCTGTAGTAGTTCCCTGGCTGCTTCTGGAAAGGTTGTGTATGGCAGGGGAGGGGCGGAGGAGCTGGGCCAGTACAGACAGACACTCCCAGAAGAGAAGAGGGCTGTGACATGCAAGGAGGGAGGGGGGCTGTTCTTAGGGTATCGACTCTTCTGGAGAAGTCCTATTTCAAGCAAGTTCGGAGGTACAATGTAAGTGAGCAAAAACATAATTTATGGAAAAGTGGAACACCGCAAGTGAACATTTGAAATTCTGGATTTTTTTTGTGTGTTTTTACCCATTTCTAAGTTGCTGACAGGGACTCTTTAAGGCAGCCTGGCCTCGGTGAATGAGTAATGTCTGGCCCTGTATTCACCCCGAAACTCCTCTCCATCTGCCCCAGGCATATCAGATATCCCCATACAAAGTCCATATTCAGTCCCAGCCACACCTGGGATGAACCTGGCCGCCTCTCACATTACACCTCTTAGTAAATCCGGTGATTGTCATTGTGTGACTTGTAAACCCGTTTGGTGTGGATTCCACTTCCTGCTGTGAGTGCAGACTGGAATCACTGACACAATACTTACAGCCAAACAATCGGCTCTTTAAAGTGGATTTCCACCTCTGAAGCCAAATTTGAGGTTTCCCCCTCCGCTGTTTGCCTTCATTTGGTGATCAATGATAAAGGATATTTCCTAATATCTTCACATTATGAGAGGGGCTCCCACCATCCATGGTGTCTGTACACCTGCTGTGTCCATTATGAGGGGTTCCCACCATCCCTGTGCTGAGTTCCCAGGTCTGTACACCTGCTGTGCCCATTATGAGGGGTTCCCACCATCCCTGTGCTGTGCCTCCGGCTCTGTACACCTGCTGTGTCCATTATAAGGGTTCCCACCATCCTTGTATGCTGTCCTGGGTCTGTACACCTCTGTACCCATTATAAGGGGGTTCCCACCATCCTTGTGCTGAGTTCCTGGGTCTGTACACCTTGCTGTGCCCATTATAGGGGTTCCCACCATCCATGTACGCTGAGTTCCTGGGTCTGTACACCTCTGTGCCCATTATGAGGGGTTCCCACCATCCCTGTGTACTGAGTTCCCGGGTCTGTACACCTGCTGTGCCCATTATGAGGGATTCCCACCATCCCTGTGCTGTGCCCCGACTCTATACACCTTCTGTACCCATTTTAAGGGATTCCCACCATTCCTTGCACCGAGTTTCCAGGCCTGTACACCTGCTGTGCCCATTATGAGGGGTTCCCACCATCCTTGTACAGAGTTCCCGGGTCTGTACACCTGCTGTGCTGATTATGAAGGGTTCCCACCATTCCTGTGCTGCGGTCCCGGGTCTGTACACCCGCTGTGCCCATTATGAGGGGTTCCCACCATCCCTGTGCTGAGTTCCAGGTCTGTACACCTGCTGTGCCCATTATGAGGGATTCCCACCATCCCTGTGCTGTGCCCCGACTCTATACACCTTCTGTACCCATTTTAAGGGATTCCCACCATTCCTTGCACCGAGTTTCCAGGCCTGTACACCTGCTGTGCCCATTATGAGGGGTTCCCACCATCCTTGTACAGAGTTCCCGGGTCTGTACACCTGCTGTGCTGATTATGAAGGGTTCCCACCATTCCTGTGCTGCGGTCCCGGGTCTGTACACCCGCTGTGCCCATTATGAGGGGTTCCCACCATCCCTGTGCTGATTCCCGGGTCTGCACACCTTCTGTGCCCATTATGAGGGGTTCCCACCATCCCTGTGCTGAGGTCCCAGGTCTGTACCCTGCTGTGCCCATTGAGGGATTCCCACCATCCCTGTGCTGTTCCCAGGTCTGTACACTTTCTGTGCCCATTATGAGGGGTTCCCACCATCCCTGCGCGGAGGTCCCAGGTCTGTACACCTTCTGTGCCCATTATAAGGGATTCCCACCATCCCTGTGCTGAGTTCCCAGGTCTGTACACTTTCTGTGCCCATTATGAGGGGTTCCCACCATCCCTGTGCTGAGTTCCCAGGTCTGTACACTTTCTGTGCCCATTATGAGGGGTTCCCACCATCCCTGTGCTGAGGTCCCAGGTCCCACCATCCCTACTGTATTTTTTAAAATTGATTTTCTATTATGGAGATAACGGAGCCGGAACACCCAGAGGTGGGCGGGAGCATTGAAACTTCTTAGGTGGGCTGGAGAAGAATACCGCTGGGGTATTGAAGACACATTCTCAGCTGACTCCACCTATAACTGAATCATCACCTTTGGGTGGACTGACCGTATGGTGTAAATATTACAAAAAGGTGGAACATTTGTGTGATGAGAATGCAGAATACTTTCCCTTTCAGTGAGCGCGGCTTCTATAATCCAGCAGCAGACTTTCCTGGCGGAGGGGCCGGTGTTGATCCTCTCACTCAATTAGCACGACCCATAACGAGGTGTGACTTCCCACTCTGAACACTCTGCTAATGTGCACATGCAGAGTGTTCAGAGGACGCATCCAGCGCGATCTTCCCTACCAGGATTCGCAGCGTCTGGTGTCACCGGGAAGGAGGGGGCTCATTCATTGTTCCGCTCCCCTTGGCACAGAGCCTGCACACAGATTCCTGCGAGCCGGTCACGGGCCGGTGGACATGCTGCATTCTCTCACAGCCCGGGAATGCCGCTGCTTACACTCTCGGCATGAATGTTCCTTTGTGTTCCTGTTGGGCAGCGCTCGGCCTGGGCACATATGGCATCTGTCCGGAATGCCGCAGCGCTGTCCGATCTGCCCAGAAGTGCGTTGTAGAACTACCGGAGATAACTACGGACCTTTTAGTCTCTTTTACTCTCTAGCTCCCTTGTTTCCTCCTCCCATGCTTGTCTCCAGGACTTCTCCAGTGCTTCCCCCATCCTCTGGAACTCTCTACCCCATCTATCAGATTATTGCCTACTCTGCTCACTTTTAGGCGATCTCTGAAAACCTATCTCTTTAGGGAAGCCTATCCTGCCCTCAGCTAATAATGGAATCTTCTACTCCTCCAACCAGTCCATCCCCACAGTTATTACCTTTTGTACCATCAGCCCCTCCCTCTTAGATTGTAAACTCCAAGGATCAGGGCCCTCCTATCCCTCTTGTATTGAACTGTATCGTTACTGTATTGTCTCCCGTTATATTGTAAAGCGCTGAGCAAACTCTTGGCACTATATAAATCCTGTATTATAATAATAATATATACAGTTGCAAGAAAAAGTATGTGAACCCCTTGGGATTACGTGGAGTTTTGCATGAATTGGGCATAAAATGTGCTCTGAACGTCATCTAAGTCACAACAATAGAAGAACACAGTCTGCTGAACATAATACTACACAAACATTAGATGTTGCCATGGTTTAATTGCACATAACATGTAAACATTCACAGTGCAGGGAGGAAAAAGTATGTGAACCTTTGGACCTAATAACTGGTTGACCCTCCTTTGGCAGCAATAACCTCAACCAAACGTTTCCTGTAGTTGCAGATCAGACCTGCACAACGATCTGGAGTCATTTTGGACCACTCCTCTTCACAAAACTGTTTCAGTGTAGCAATATTCTTGGGATGTCTGGTGTGAATCGCTCTCTTAAGGTCATGCCACAGCATTTCAATCGGGTTGAGGTCAGGACTCTGACTGGGCCACTCCAGAAGGCGTATTCTGTGCTGTTGCAGCCATTGTTTTGTTGAATTACTTGTATGCTTTGGGTCATTGTCCTGTTGCATCCCCCATCCTCTGCGGAGCTTCAGTTGGCGGACAGATGGTCGTACGTTTTCCTGCAAAATGCACATTTTATGCCCAATTCATGCAAAACTCCACGTAATCCCAAGGGGTTCACATACTTTTTCTTGCAACTGTAAATCCTGTATAATAATAATATATAAATCCTGACTAATAATAATAATTTTAGTAACTTGCAATATTATTATTATTATTATTATACAGGATTTATATAGTGCCAACAGTTTGCTCAGCGCTTTACATTATGGAGGGAGACAATACAGCAACAATACAGTTCAATACAAGAGGGATAGGAGGGCCCTGATCCTGGGAGCTTACAATCTAGGAGGGAGGGGCTAGTGGTACAGAAGGGAGTAACTGTGTGGGATGGACTGGTTGGAAGAGTAGAAGATTCCATTATTAGCTGAGGGCAGGATAGGCTTCCCTGAAGAGATAGGTTTTCAGAGATCGCCTAAAAGTGAGCAGAGTAGGTGATAGTCTGATATATTGGGGTAGAGAGTTCCAGAGAATGGGGGAAGCTCTGGAGAAGTCCTGGAGACGAGCATGGGAGGAGGAGACAAGGGAGCTAGAGATCAGGAGGTCGTGCGAGGAGCGGAGAGCACGGTTTGGGTGATATTTGGAGACAAGATTGGTGATGTAATACATTTTTTTTTATTACAGGTATTTATACTCATTATCGCAGTGGGAGATATTCTTTTTGCTGCAGAATCTGCTTGCAAGCTGGCTAACAACTAAAAAAAAAAAAAAAAAAAAAAGTGGTCCACACCAGGGGCGGACTGACAGCTCATGGGGCCCCCGGGCAATAGGGGATCATGGGGCCCTTTTGTCCTCGCCCACACTCATACCACACCCAAAAAAGCCTATGAAAGGTATCAGGGACATCTCATGGGGCCCCCTACTGACCCCGGGTCCTCAGGCAGTGCCCAAGTTTCCGAATGGTCAGTCCACCCCTGGTTCACACTGTGATTCAATTCCTACCAATCCCAATATCCACATGGAGTTTGTATGTGTCGGGTTTTACAGGCTTCCTCTGGATGATCCAGTTTTATGTCATTGCTAAAAGAGAACTGCTGCTGGTTTCCTGATCATTTATCCAGAATCATCCAAAGTGTACCTGTTTGTATGAGATGAGACATGGAGCTGTGAGAAGTGATATGGATGCTGAATATATAAACTGGAATAACGTGGAGTGTTGTCTCTCACACACAGGGCATCCGGAACCGTATACATTGCCGTGGAAGTGGCCACTGGTCAGGAGGTAATGCTTTCTTCATTGACACAGAGCGCGCTTGTCCTATGCCGCCGTGTTTGCTGGTCTCTCTGAAAATGAAAGTGGTTGTCAACCTCAGACATGAAATCTGAACAAAGCACATATTTTTATGAGGTTTACTTGCCTCTGTCCAAAGCACTGTCATTTCTCTCTGCTGTCAGCAGTGGTGTATTTAGGTTTTGTGCTGCCCTAGGCAACACAAAAATAGTCTGCCCCCCCAGACATGGGCCAACACCCCCCCCCCCCCTTCCCCCTCCTGTGGAGAGAGCCTGACATTGACCAACAACACCCCTGCCCCTTACCCGGGAAAGTGTTCCACTAACCCCCCCCCCCCGGGAAGGAGAGTCAGGCTCTTCCTACACCATCAAACAGCCCACACCCTCTCTTGTATCCCACCTGATTCCCATGGCGTACGTGTCCCTTCTTCCATTCCTTCTTCTAGTGCAGGGGTAGGCAACCTGCGGCATTGCAAAGATTAAAAAACTGACAGTTACAGCTGTGACTTGCAGAGGCTTGATGGAACTTGTAGTCCTGCGGATCTCAGGTTGCCTACCCCTGGCCTAGTGAGAGGTGCTGCCCCCCCTGAAAAATGCCACCCTACGCAATTGCCTTGTGGTAAATACGCCCCTGGCTGTCAGCATGAATCACTTCTAACAAGTTTTCCTAACACCAAGAAATAAATGGTGACAGGGGAGGGAGCTTCAGCACACAGCCTGTGATTGACAGCCTTAGCTCTGTTCCTGTGTGCTGTATAAAGGGGGTGTATCCCTTCCCTCTAGTCAGCTCTCAGAGCTCTTGTACAGCGTGTAACTGCAGCTCACCGCCCCCTGCTTTGTGAGTCTGTGGAAAATCCTTTTCACCTCTGAGATTTACAGGGAGGTACAGGACAAGTGTCTGCAAATAAAAAGGTACAACTTATGTAGGAGTATTTTTTTTACCTATGGGTAAGGGTTTACAACCACTTTCAAGTATTCTGCAGGCAACAAAAAATGTATATTTATTGATATTTAGTCATGGATATAGTTTCAAGTATTCTACAGGTATATATATATATATATATGTTACATGATATAAAAAGTCTACACACCCCTGTTAAAATGTCAGGTTTCTGTGATGTAAAAAGATGAGTCAAAGATAAATTTCAGAACTTTTTCCACCTTTTAATGTGACCTATAAACTGTACAACTCAATTGAGAAAAAAAAAAAACTGAAATCTTTTAGGGGGGAAAGCTAAGCATAAAAATCTAAAATAATGTGGTTGCATAAGTGTGCACACCCTCTTATAACTGGGGATGTAGCTGTGTTCAGAATTAAGCAATCACATTCAAAATCATGTTAAATAGGAGTCAGTACACACCTGCCATCATTTATAGTGCCTCTGATTAACCCCAAATAAAGTTCAACAGTTCTAGTAGGTCTTTACTGACATTTTCTTAGTCGCATCCTACAGCAAAAAACATGGTCTGCAGGGAACTTCCAAACCATCAGAGGGATCCCATTGTTAAAAGGTATGAGTCAGGAGAAGGATACAAAAGAATTTCCAAGGCATTAGATATACCATGGAACACAATGAAGACAGTCATAAAGTGGAGAAAATATGGTGCAACAATGACATTACCAAGAACTAGATGTCCCTCCAAAATTGATGAAAAGACGAGAAGAAAACTGGTCTGGGAAGGTGCGAAGAGGGCTACAGCAACATGAAAGGAGCTGCAGGAATATCTGGCAAGTCCTGGCTGTGTGGTCCATGTGACAACAATCTCCCGTATTCTTCATATGTCTGGGCTATGGGGTAGAGTGGCAAGACGGAAGCCTTTTCTTATGAAGTAAAACATCCAAGTCCGGCTAAATTTTGCAAAAACACATCTGAAGTCTCCCAAAAGCATGTGGGAAAATGTGTTATGGTCTGATGAAACCAAGGTTGAACTTTTTGGCCATAATTCCAAAAGATATGTTTGGCGCAAAAATAACACTGCACGCCACTAAAAGAACACCATACACACCGTGAAGCATGGTGGTGGCAGCATCATGCTTTGGGGCTGTTTTTCTTCAGCTGGAACTGAGGCCTTAGTCAAGGTAGAGGGAATTATTAACAGTTCCAAATACCAGCCAATATCGGCACAAAACCTTCAGGCTTCTGCTAGAAAGCTGAACATGAAGAGGAACTTCATCTTTCAGCATGACAACCACCCAAAGCATACATCCAAATCAACAAAGGAATGGATTCACTAGAAGAAGATGAAAGTTTTGGAATGGCCCAGCCAGAGCCCAGACCTGAATCCGATGGAAAATCTGAAGAGGGCTGTGCACAGGAGATGCCCTCACAATCTGACAGAATTGGAGTGTTTTTGCAAGGAAGAGCGGGCAAACATTGCCAAGTCAAGATGTGCCATGCTGATAGACTCATACCCAAAAAGACTGAGTGCTGGAATCACATCAAAAGGGGCTTCAACAAAGTATTAGTGTAAGGGTGTGCACACTTATGCAACCAGATTATTTTAGTTTTTTATTTTTATGTCCCTCCACCTAAAAGATTTCAGTTTGTTGTTCAGTTTATAGGCCACATTAAAGGTGCAAAAAGTTCTGAAAAAAAATGATCTTTGTCTCATTTCTTTTACATCACAGGAACCTGACATTTTAAAAGGGGTGTGTAGACTTTTTATATCCACTGTATATATTTATTGGTATATAGTTATGGATATAGTTTAAAGTATTCTAGTGTGTGTGTGTGTGTGTGCGCGTGCGTGCGTGCGTGCGTGCGTGCGTGCGTGCTTTTATGGATTTAATTTTAGTTTGTTTTTTCTACTGCCTTCTGTGACCCCCACTGGGGAGATTATCTCTCACTTCCCATTGGTCACTGACAGCCGGAACCTTAAAGCAGTATTAAACCCAAAAGCAAACATATTGCAGCTTACCAATTCAAAAACTTGAAAATCCTACCTTGATCAGGAAAGTAAAACTGCTTTGACTTTCCCCTACATGTGCTCCTCCGACAGACGGTGCTCCCCTCTGCTTCTTGGTGTTCCCTGACAGACGGTGCTCCCCTAGGCTTCTTGGTGCTCCTCCGACAGACGGTGCTCCCCTATGCTTCTTGTTGTTCCCTGACAGACTGCTCCCCTAGGCTTCTTGGTGCTCCTCCGACAGACGGTGCTCCCCTATGCTACTTGGTGTTCCCTGACAGACTGCTCCCCTAGGCTTCTTGGTGCTCCTCCGACAGACGGTGCTCCCCTATGCTTCTTGGTGTTCCCCGACAGATGGTGCTCCCCTGTGCTTCTTTGTGTTCCCTGACAGACAGTGCTCCCCTATGCTTCTTGGTGCTCCCCAACAGATGGTGCTCCCCTATTGCTCCTTGGTAGATTGTACCTCGGCATCATGATGTCCATTGTAGGGCTATAGATCCTGCATCGGTCTTGATGACGTCGGGACCTTAGACCACTGGAGCTTATGGGAAAAGATGCTGCGAAGACCAGAGGAACGGGTAAGTAATTTATCTTTTCTATGTCTCCTAGACCTAAATGAGAAGTCAATCCTTGCAGCCCCTACACAAGGAGGAATTTTCAAGTTTTCCAGAGTTGAGATTTAAAAAAAAAAAAAAATTGATCAAATATCCATTGTACTGGAAACAGCTGAGGTTCTGATCATGGTTTGGAACTAGTAAAGGAGCCTGGCACCATTAGCAAAAAAATCTTTACAAACATAATTCTTTAATAAAATGCACAATTGTGTCAAGTTTAGCCATATATGGCCAGATCCAAAGGGACCCTTGTGGGAGGAGAGCTTTAGGTGACTCTTAAGAAGACTTGTAGCTTCAACTAAGCTTGGAGCTTTTCATAGATCCTTGTGTTCTCCTTGTAGGTGGCTATTAAACAGATGAATCTTCAGCAGCAGCCGAAGAAAGAGCTAATTATCAATGAGATCCTTGTGATGAGGGAAAACAAGAACCCGAACATTGTCAACTATCTGGACAGGTGAGTCCAGGGGGAACGAGAGGAGCTGGAGCACCACACATCCGGGATGCAGCCATTTAAAGGGACACTGGGGAAAGGTGGCCCTCATACCTGCAATGGCCTTCTTAACCTTCCTGTCCGCTAAAAGCCGAGCCGTTTGGACAAGCGTAGGTCCACAGGTTCTGGGTAGAGTCAGTGCTTGCTGGTAAGCCTCAGCCTCATACATTCCTATTGGCCTTTCTCTGCGATGGGCAGCTTCTGTGGCCAATAGGAATGGTTAGAACAGCAATGGGCAAACTACGGCCCGCGGGCCGTATACGGCCCGGCAGACCTTTTAATCCGGCCCGCGGAGCTAGGCTCCCGCAAGGCCAGTGGTCGGCAAGCCGCGGCTCTTTACAAATTTAGATGCGGCTCTCCTGTGTGCCGGGCCCCGCTCCCCTCCCTCCTCTCCTCCTCCTCTCCCCTCCCCTCCCCTCCCTCTCCTCCTCTCCTCCCTCCCCTCCTCTCCTCTCGGATGGCCGCCCCCCCCTCTCGGATGGCCGCCCCCCCTCCCTCCTCTCGGACGTCAGGACTCTGCAGCTGTCAGGATGTAGGCGGGGCAGCCAGGATGTAGGCGGGGCAGCGTGACGAACTCCTCTCACAGTCCTCCCTGAAGACCAGAACGGCGCGGGAATACGAGAGGAACGCGCGGACCAAAGGTAAGTGAATTGACACAGGGGGGGGACTTACTATATGGGGGATGAATTACTATATGGGGGACTTACTATATGGGGAATTAATTACTATATGGAGGACTTACTATATGGGGAATGAATTACTATATGGGGGACTTACTATATGGGGAATGAATTACTATATGGAGGACTTACTATATGGGGAATGAATTACTATATGGAGGACTTACTATATGGGGAATGAATTACTATATGGAGGACTTACTATATGGGGAATGAATTACTATATGGGGGACTTACTATATGGGGGATGAATTACTATATGGGGGATGAATTAATATGGGGGATGAATTAATATGGGGGATGAATTACTATGTGGGGGATGAATTACTATGTGGAGGATGAATTACTATGGGGGATGAATTACTATATGGGGGATTAATTACTATATGGGGGATGAATTACTATGGGGGATTAATTACTATGGGGGATGAATTACTATATGGGGGATGAATTACTATGTGGGGGATGAATTACTATGGGGGATGAATTACTATATGGGGGATGAATTACTATGGGGGATGAATTACTATAGGGGGGATGAATTACTATGGGGGACGAATTACTATATGGGGGACGAATTACTATATGGGGGACGAATTACTATATGGGGGACGAATTACTATATGGGGGATGAATTACTATGGGGGATGAATTACTATATGGGGGATGAATTACTATATGGGGGATGAATTACTATATGGGGGATTAATTACTATGGGGGATTAATTACTATGCTTACTATGGGGGAATATTACTATACTTACTATGGATGACACATACACATCATTCATCTACTCTTGGTCCGGCCCCCGGGTCCAATATATGAACCCATTGCGGCCCTCAAGTCAAAAAGTTTGCCCACCCCTGGGTTAGAAGGTAGGAAGATGCTTGTAGGCGCAGGGATTATAGTTTCATATAGGCATCACCCAAACCCGTCTCCAATCCTAAATAGGAGCTCTGATTTATTCACTTCTGAGCATTGATAATCAACATTTGTTAGAGTGGACCTGGCAGAACAATGAAGGTCTGCTTTGCTGACAACTCATCACCCCCTGGATAGAAGACTCCTAATCAAATCTGTAAAGTTAAAAAATGCATTTTTAGGGGGGAAAAGAAACACGTTTTTCTGACCTGGCTTCCATCCACATCCTAGAGGAGCCGGTAACGTCACTCGCTGCCATCCAAGGAGCTCACATTCCACAAGAACATTGTCCAGCTCATTGCAGGTCCTCTTCATCAGATTACATAAAAGTACATGTATTCAGTTTGGATGGTACAAAAGATTACATTGGATACAAAAAACATTGTCTAACTCGCTGGTGCCCTTCACTATATGATGTGTGGCCCTTGGACCTCAGCAGTCTGTAGTGGGAACACTGATTGGGTTGAAAGCGTTGATCTCTACCAGCCTCATGTAACATGTTCCCAGATTCATATTGTCTTCTGCAGCCATCCCCAGCCGAAAATGTAAGATGTCCACACTCTCTGACCCTCATTTCCTCTATTAGGTCTACCGTTTCTGACAGTCCTCTCAAGCATTACATATATGTGAGGCCCTTTTGGTAATGTCGGGGGACCACATTTGAGCTCATAATTTGACAACCACTGGTCTGCCTTCTATATTAAATACTTTTTTATAATCCTTTGTAGCCCTGATGAAGGGAGGACTTTTAGAGCTCCTGAAACATATTGGCTTTTTTAATATAAAAAGTACCTCTGGACGCAACCTGTCCCCCAGGTATTTATTCCCGTCAAGAGGCGGACTGACAACTCATGGGGCCCCCAGGCAATAGGGGATCATGGGGCCCCTGTGTCCTTACCCAAAATCAAAAAAGCCTATGAAAAAGGTACCAGGGGCATCTCATGGGGCCCCCTACTGATCCCAGGCCCTCAGGCAGTGCCCGAGTTCCCAAATGGTCCGTCCGCCCCTGTTCCCGTCTATGCCTCACTGGGGAGATTACTTATTATGAGGACAAGAAATGACGGGAAGTCTCTCCAATGGGGTAAACAAACACACTTCTGGTAGGTGACAACCCTTCCTTTTGCAGGCATCACATGAACAGGATGGGAAGAGAAAGTCTCCCCGCTGAAGACACAGTTCTGACTCTTCCTGAATTAAAAATGGCTGTAGTTGGGCTTTAAAATGGTTGCAAACTTCTACATATAACCAGTGAAGTGACTGGCCTCAGGTTACATAGTTAGTCTGGCTGAAAAAAAGACAAAAGTCCATCCAGTTCAACCATGAAAAAAAAAAAAAAAAAACAGTTATAATCCTACACCCACAGTTGATCCAGAGGAAGGCAAAAACCCAGCAAAGCATGATCCAATTTGCTCCTGCTTGGAAAAAACTTACTTCCTGTTCCCCTTCCCCCCACCTGAGAGGAGATCGGATATTCCCTGGATCAACTTTACCTATAAATGTTATATCCAGTTATATTCTGTGTATCTAAGAAAGAATCCAGGACCTTTTAAAGCAATCCACTGAACTGGCCAGAACCAACTCTTGAAGGAGTCTATTCCACATTTTCACAGCTCTGACTGTGAAGAAACCTTTCCTCGTTTGGAGATTAAATTTCTTTTCCTCCAGATGTAAAGAGTGCCCCCTTGTCCTCTGTGATGACCTCAGGGGGAATAACTCTACACCGAGTTCACTATATGAACCACTGATGTATTTATACATGGAGACCATAACCCCCTTATGTATTATACATGGAGATCATATCCCCCCTTATGTATTATACATGGTGATCATATCCCCCCTTATGTATTATACATGGTGATCATATCCCCCCTTATGTATTATACATGGAGATCATATCCCCCCTTATGTATTATACATGGAGATCATATCCCCCCTTATGTATTATACATGGAGATCATATCCCCCCTTGTGTATTATACATGGAGATCATATCCCCCCTTGTGTATTATACATGGTGATCATATCCCCCCTTGTGTATTATACATGGAGATCATATCCCCCCTTGTGTATTATACATGGAGATCATATCCCCCCTTGTGTATTATACATGGTGATCATATCCCCCCTTATGTATTATACATGGAGATCATATCCCCCCTTGTGTATTATACATGGTGATCATATCCCCCCTTGTGTATTATACATGGAGATCATATCCCCCCTTGTGTATTATACATGGAGATCATATCCCCCCTTATGTATTATACATGGTGATCATATTCCCCCTTAATCTCCTCTTCTCAAGAGAGAATAAATTCAGTTCCTCTAATCTTTCCTCATAGCTGATCTCCTCCATGCCTCTTATCAGTTTTGGTTGCCCTTCTCTGTACTTTCTCCAGTTCCCCAATGTTCTTTTTGTGAATTGGTGCCCAAAACTGAACTGCATATTCCAGATGAGGTCTTACTAATGATTTGTACAGGGTTGATACAAAGGAATTAAATAAATCCTCCTACAAAAGTTGTACCTGTTTATCTGCAGTATTCTATTCTCTACATCCATTTAAAGTCCAGAATTTATAACCCCCCCCCCCCCACACACACACACACACACACACACACAGAGGAACAGAATTGAGGCTGTCAATCTGCTGGAGATCCCTCCTCCTCGCCATTTTTCTCTAGGTGTCAGGAAAACTTGTCAGAAGTGACTCATGCAGATAGCAGAGGGAGGCAGCAGACTGAAATGACACTTAGTGTTCTGGAATGAGACAAATACACACTATAGAGGGATATACTTTGTTCATATTTCATGTCTGAGGTTTACAACCACTTTAAAGGAGGACTTCTGTTACCCAGATCCTGAATTCTTTACCAACCTATACGCATCTGCTCTTCAGGAAGCAAGGTTCCAGAGAATTCCCCATAGACCTTGGTGGAGCTAACTGGTTGCCTGCGGAACCAGACACCAAGAGTGCTGGCTGCTGGTATATGTGAAGACCCCAGGATCATGGTGAACAGAGTTCCCGTGCCCTGAGAATGTTAAAGCATTTCTAAACCCAACTGCTAAAAATCCAAAATGTTAATGTCATTTGAAAGCTGTTTTTAGTATTTGTGAGTCTTCAGGGTTCATTCAAAAATCCCTGGTGATCCAGCTCTTTGTTCAGTCACTTCCTGTAATGGGGTGATAACTGTCTATGTATAAATTTCTTGACCTTTTTTTCCTCTCAACATTTGTAATTGTGATCATAATGAACAATATTTATTTATGGAATGCATGAAATGAAGTATCAAATCTGTACGTAGTATGATTAAGGGTGGCCTTGATCCTTGCAGTTACTTGGTCGGGGATGAGTTATGGGTTGTGATGGAGTACCTGGCTGGTGGCTCACTCACCGATGTCGTGACCGAAACTCTGATGGATGAAGGACAGATTGCGGCTGTAAGCAGAGAGGTAAATAAACTGTTTTGGAAGGAGGACAGATAGCACTTGTGTGTGCAGAGAAGTATTGACCACCAAAGCACTGCAACAGGATGAAGGTCAGAGTCGAAAAGTATCATTACTTTGCTTTTACAGTCTAGCTTTTTTTCTTTTAGCGACCAAGCTTGCTATTTATTGTTTTGCTGGTAGGGTCCATTTAATTTCTAAAAATTGTCTGTCCCTTGTTGCATGGCTGACATTCCTCTTCTGTCTTTAGTGTCTGCAGGCCCTGGAGTTCCTGCACGCCAACCAAGTCATTCATCGGGATATCAAGAGCGACAACATCCTGCTGGGCATGGATGGATCTGTCAAGCTAAGTATGTGTATTTATAGGCTTTACTGCACTGGTCCAAACACGGTACTTCTGACCTACTTGGCCTTGTGGCTGCCTTTGCCATCACCTAAAGAGGTTTCAAAGAGGTGCTTGGTAACTGCATCTCCCTGGAACTCCTGCCACATTCTGCACCTATGGTGGTCAACTTTTTTTTTTTATATGGGGGGCCTCAATTGTGGCCCCTGACATCACCAAAGGGACACAAATAATAATATTGCAAAAGAAAGGTGTCAAATGCTGCAGACATGCAAAAGAATATTTTAAAGACTGCGGACACACTATAAGAGATAGTCAAAGGCTGCAGATGCACTGTTAGAGAAGGTCAAAGCAGGCAAACTGTTGGAGATAGTCAAAGGCTGTAGACATGGTACAAGAGATGGTCAGAGACTGCAGACACACCATAAGAGATAGCCAAAGACTGTAGACACACTATGGAAGATGGCCAAAGACTGTAGACACACTAAGGAAGATGGCCAAAGACTGTAGACACCCTATGGAAGGTGGCCAAAGACTGTAGACACCCTATGGAAGGTGGCCAAAGACTGTAGACACACTATGGCCATCTTCCACAGGGTGTCTACAGTCTTTGGCCACCTTCCAAAGACTGTAGACACGCTGTGGAAGATGGCCAAAGACTGTAGACACGCTGTGGAAGATGGCCAAAGACTGTAGACACGCTGTGGAAGATGGCCAAAGACTGTAGACACGCTGTGGAAGATGGTCAAAGTCTGTAGACACGCTGTGGAAGATGGTCAAAGTCTGTAGACACTCTATGGAAGATGGTCAAAGACTGTAGACACTCTATGGAAGGTGGTTACAGTCTTTGACCATCTTCCACAGCGTGTCTACAGTCTTTAGACACTCTATGGAAGGTGGTTAAAGACTGTAGACACGCTGTGGAAGATGGTCAAAGACTGTAGACACGCTGTGGAAGATGGTCAAAGACTGTAGACACTCTATGGAAGATGGTCAAAGACTGTAGACACTCTATGGAAGGTGGTCAAAGACTGTAGACACTCTATGGAAGGTGGTCAAAGACTGTAGACACTCTATGGAAGGTGGTCAAAGACTGTAGACATGCTATGGAAGGTGGTCAAAGACTGTAGACACGCTATGGAAGGTGGTCAAAGACTGTAGACACGCTATGGAAGGTGGTCAAAGACTGTAGACACGCTATGGAAGGTGGTCAAAGACTGTAGACACGCTATGGAAGGTGGTCAAAGACTGTAGACACGCTATGGAAGGTGGTCAAAGACTGTAGACACGCTATGGAAGGTGGTCAAAGACTGTAGACACGCTATGGAAGGTGGTCAAAGACTGTAGACACGCTATGGAAGGTGGTCAAAGACTGTAGACACATTATGGGAGGTGGTCAAAGACTGTAGACACGCTATGGGAGATGGTCAAAGAGTGTAGACACGCTATGGGAGATGGTCAAAGACTATATTCTGGGAGATGGTCAAACCTACGCTACTGGAGATGGCCAAAGACTAGACACGCTATGAGAGATGATCAGAGACTGTAAACATGTCATGGGAGTAAGCACACTAATGGGATATTGTCAAAGGCTGCACACATGCTATAGCATATAGTCAGGCTGCATACACACTAAGGAAGATGTCAAGATGCAGACACCCTAGGAAGGATGATAAAGGACTGCGGACACACTGGGAATGACGGTCAAACGCTCCAGATACACTATGGGAGATGTCAAGGATTGAAAACACACTACAAACGATAGTCAAAGACTAGAAACATGCTATTGGAGTTGTATCCGGTTGTCTACAGCCTAGACTCTCTTGTAGAATCTGTAGCATGTTAGGAAACTAAAGCTGCCCGTAGATTCCTCCTTCTACATAAACAAGGTTGATGGGGGGTACCTTTCCCTAGCCAGGACATTGTACTCAGACGGGGCTCTGCGCTGTCAGAATACATTCATCGGTGTATGAAAATGATCGACTTCTGTTAAGCAGGGACTGCCACACACTGATCGAAATTTGTCTGGTTCTTGCTGAACCAGCCAAATTGCAATCTATTGGCAGCTTAAAGCGATTTTAAATGTATATTAAAAAAAAAAATAAAAAATTTTGTAAAATAACAGATATGTCTATACTTATATGGTTTTGCACACAGCAGCCTGGATCCTCCTCTTCTTTGGTCCCCCGCAGCCTCTCCTGGTTCCTCCTTTCTGCCAGGTGCCCCCACAGCAAGCAGCTTGCTATGGGGGCACCCGCTGCTCCATGTGTCAAATTCACACACGGAGCTGTGACTTGGCCCCCAACCAACCCCCCCCCCCCTCATTGGCTGACTGGATGTGATTGACAACAGCAGGAGCCAATGGCTCCCGCTTGCTGTCTCAGCCAATGAGGAGGCAGAGACCCGCGATGGCCAAGGCTGTCATTCTAATCGCTGGATCGTGATGAGGCTCAGGTAAGTATTGAGGGGGCTGGGGGCACTGCTGCACACAGGTTTTTTACCTTGATGCATAGAATGAAAAAAGCCTTGAGCCTTTACAACCACTTTTAACTGTCTCTTTACAGACTGTACAACAACACACTCCAAGAGCATGGCTTCAATAACATCTTTCTGCCAACAAAAGACATTACAGCTAGCGAGCCTGTTATTCCAAAAAGATCCGATCATTAGCATATAAGCACCTAATATTGTCATCCATTTGTTAGTAATGCATATGCATTGACATTGATAACTGACGACCAAGAATCTTGGTATGATGTTTTGAATGGTATGTATTAAACCTGTTGACGTATCTTTTTCTTCTTCTTGTTTCCAGCTGACTTTGGCTTCTGTGCCCAGATCACCCCAGAGCACAATAAACGCAGCACAATGGTCGGCACACCATACTGGATGGCCCCCGAAGTGGTCACACGGAAAGCTTATGGCCCTAAAGTGGACATCTGGTCTCTTGGCATCATGGCTATAGAGATGATAGAGGGAGAGCCTCCTTATCTGAATGAGAATCCACTCCGGGTTAGTAGCCACTTCTTCAGGCTCAGTCCCAGTGTAACGTAAACCTGTGCTGGTGTGAAAATGTTAAACAGGTAAAAGAGTAAGCAATGCCTCCTCGTGTAGTTACATAGTTAGTCTGGCTGAAAAAAGACAAAAGTCCATCCAGTTCAACCATTAGAAACAAAAAGAATTGTGTAAAAAGGCTGTTTGACCCTTTCTTCTCTGCCCCTCCTCTTGTTGAAATGACCATCTGATAGAGACTGAACCCGTGGGCACATGCTCAGTTTGGTGTGTATTGCTAGAGTTTTTTTTGGCTACATGTGATCAGTACAGGGCCAATCAGCACTGTCCAGATAGAGGTCAGGGGTTTTGCATCCTCCTAGAGCAGAAAGAAAACTCCTCCTACAAGCTTTGACCAGTGCTCTGCTGAAGTCACAAAACTGCTCTAACTGCTGATGAGAAAAGGTATTTAGCAGTTTATATTTACTAAAATAATTGCATTTCCATGTTCTGTGGGACACCAGATATAGTGAATGCGGGGTCCTGGGAGATCAGATATAGTGAATGTGGGGTCCTCGGAGACCTGATATAGTGAATGCAGGGTCCTGGGAGATCAGATATAGTGAATGCAGGGTCCTGGGAGATCAGATATAGTGAATGCAGGGTCCGGGGAGACCAGATATAGTGAATGCAGGGTCCTGGGAGATCAGATATGGTGAATGCGGGGTTCTCGGAGACCAGATATAGTGAATGCGGGGTCCTGGGAGATCGGATATAGTGAATGCGGGGTCCGGGGGGGAGACCGGATATAGTGAATGCGGGGTCCTGGGAGACCGGATATAGTGAATGCGGGGTCCTGGGAGACCGGATATAGTGAATGCGGGGTCCTGGGAGACCGGATATAGTGAATGCGGGGTCCTGGGAGATCGGATATAGTGAATGCGGGGTCCTGGGAGATCGGATATAGTGAATGCGGGGTCCTGGGAGATCGGATATAGTGAAAGCGGGGTCCGGGAAGACCGGATATAGTGAATGCGGGGTCCTGGGAGACCGGATATGGTGAATGCGGGGTCCTGGGAGACCGGATATGGTGAATGCGGGGTCCTGGGAGATCGGATATGGTGAATGCGGGGTCCTGGGAGATCGGATATGGTGAATGCGGGGTCCTGGGAGATCGGATATGGTGAATGCGGGGTCCTGGGAGACCGGATATGGTGAATGCGGGATCCTGGTAGACCGGATATGGTGAATGCGGGGTCCGGGGAGACCGGATATGGTGAATGCGGGGTCCGGGGAGACCGGATATGGTGAATGCGGGGTCCGGGGAGACCGGATATGGTGAATGCGGGGTCCGGGGAGATCGGATATGGTGAATGCGGGGTCCGGGGAGATCGGATATGGTGAATGCGGGGTCCGGGGAGACCGGATATGGTGAATGCGGGGTCCTGGGAGATCGGATATGGTGAATGCGGGGTCCGGGGAGACCGGATATGGTGAATGCGGGGTCCGGGGAGACCGGATATGGTGAATGCGGGGTCCGGGGAGACCGGATATGGTGAATGCGGGGTCCGGGGAGACCGGATATGGTGAATGCGGGTTCAGAGTTCTCGGAGACCGGATATAGTGAATGCGGGGTCCGGGGAGATCGGATATAGTGAATGCGGGGTCCGGGGAGACCGGATATAGTGAATGCGGGGTCCGGGGAGACCGGATATAGTGAATGCGGGGTCCTGGGAGATCGGATATAGTGAATGCGGGGTCCTGGGAGATCGGATATAGTGAATGCGGGGTCCTGGGAGATCGGATATAGTGAATGCGGGATCCTGGGAGATCGGATATAGTGAATGCGGGGTCCTGGGAGATCGGATATAGTGAAAGCGGGGTCCGGGAAGACCGGATATAGTGAATGCGGGGTCCTGGGAGACCGGATATAGTGAATGCGGGATCCTGGGAGACCGGATATAGTGAATGCGGGGTCCGGGGAGACCGGATATAGTGAATGCGGGGTCCGGGGAGACCAGATATAGTGAATGCGGGATCCTCGGAGACCAGATATAGTGAATGCGGGGTCCTGGGAGACCAGATACAGTGAATGCGGGGTCCGGGGAGACCAGATACAGTGAATGCGGGGTCCGGGGAGACCAGATACAGTGAATGCGGGGTCCGGGGAGATCAGATATAGTGAATGCAAGATCCGGGGAGACCAGATATAGTGAATGCGGGGACCGGGGAGATCAGATTTAGTGAATGCAGGGTCCTGGGTTTAGTATCACTTTAAGCACCCTATTTTATGGGCTGTTAATATCCTGATATTTGGTGTGAAGTTGGAGCTCTACCACAGCTCAGGTACATGGAAGTCTATAAATGCAACAGTCCACTGTAAATAGATGCTTCATGTAGCTGTAAACTGTGTGTCTGTGGACCTGCAAAGATGTGGAAGTTTGTTAATGTGTACCTTACATCTCTGCATGAATACATTCCTTACATGTCAATATATAGCAACTGTATCCATTAAAAAAGCTCCACTTTTTCTCTTTAAAAAGCCTTTCTAGAGCCCCAGTCTAATGACTAGGCTGAGATGCTGCCATCAGTTTTCTGCAGGCAGGAGAATGCATTTCCTCCGTTTCCTCTCCTCCAGTCTTTAGAATGTACAATGTAACTTTGTAGCAATTCACAAGGTGAGCAGCTGCCGCAGGGGCTGACCGGTGTCAGACGTTTGTGAACACAGCAAAGAACTGCAGAGGTGTCAGGATTTACATGACTCTGCCGTCTCTGAACTGGCATCTCAGTCAAGGAAGGAGATTATTATTATTACAGGTACTTATATAGCATCTTCAAAAAACAAAACAAAAAAAAAAATATATATATAGTACATTCACATTAGTTCCTAACTCTCAAGAAGCTTACAATCTAAGGTCCCTAACTCACATTATTATTATACAGGATTTATATAGCGCCAACAGTTTGTTCAGCGCTTTACAATATAATATACATACACACAGGGGTGGACTGACAACTCATGGGGCCCCCGGGCAATAGGGGATCATGGGGTCCCTGTGTCCTTGCCCAAACTCAAAAATGCCTATGAAAAAGGTACCAGGGGCATCTCATGGGGCCCCCTACTGACCTCGGGCAGTGCCCAAGTTTCCAAATGGTCAGTCCGCCCCTGCATACACATACTAGGGCCATTTTGGACAGGAGCCAATTAACCTACCAGCATGTCTTTGGATTGTGGGAGGAAACCGGAGTACCCAGAGGAAACCCACACAGGCACAGGGAGAACATGCAAACTCCAGGCAGGTGGTGTCATGGTTGGGATTCAAACTGATGCCCTAGTGCTGCCAGGCAATAGTGCTAACCAGCCCTGGATGATGCCTGAACAAAGATGGAGCTGTCCATCTGGAGAGAAAAACAGATGAAGGCATTGTCAGGGGGAGGACGACAATCTCTATGAGAGGTAATAAGTACCCGGAAGAGTTACATGAACACGTTACTTGGCGTAGAACAGGGGTAGGCAACCTGCGGCTCTCCAGCTGTTGCAGGACTACAAGTTCCATCATGCCTCTGCAAGTCATAGCTGTAACTGTCAGTTTTGTAATGTTGCAATGTCTCATGGGAAATGTAGTTCCACAACAGCTAGAGAGCTGCAGGTTGCCTACCCCTGGCATAGAAGGACAGTTATTCAGAAAAAGGAGTGACCTCCATCCCCCTCCTGAACTCACAAGGCCTGGAAGAGTAAATTCTGTTGTTCTTCTTTTTGATAACATCTCTCTTTCCTCTAAACAGGCTTTGTATCTCATTGCAACCAACGGAACCCCGGAGCTACAGAACCCAGAGAAGATGTCTGTGACATTCCGGGATTTCCTGAACCGCTGTCTGGAGATGGATGTGGAGAAGAGGGGCTCTGCCAAAGAACTACTTCAGGTACAGTCATCTCATCCCTAGTATGGTCAGCCTACAGTGCTAATTGGGATTAGTTACAGTGAGTTTGTGTTTTTTATAATATAGTGAAGTTTACCTTAAAGAGGAACTGAACTCTGCCCTTTGCTGCCTCTTTTGGGCACAGATTGCAAAGGACTAGCCACTTATATTGTCTGTGGTCTCGCTGCGACTGATCTTTTCCCCGTTACTGACTTACCATGCCTTGTTCTGCACTGGAGGAGCAAGCAGTCAGAAGCAGGGAGATCCTTGCACTGCAGGTCCTCAGGTACAGGTTCCTCTCCAGCAAGGATAATCATAAGCAGATCAGTAATGACATCACCAAATCTTGTTTCTGCTCTTCTGAGATTTGGAGTAAGGTTTTCAGGTGCGGCTTTCTCACCAGCAAGGAGAACAGCGAGCAGCACAGTAGTGAAATCACCAAATCTCAGGAGAGCAGAAGCAGGGAGATCCTTGCAGTGCAGGTCCTCAGGTGCAGCTTCCTCTCCAGCAAGGAGGACAGTGAGCAGCACAGTAGTGAAATCACCACATCTCACTCCAAATCTCCGGAGAGTAGAAGAAGGGAGATCCTTGCAGTGCAGGTCCTCAGGTGCAGCTTCATCTCCAGCAAGGAGAACAGTGAGCAGCACAGTGGTGAAATCACCATATCTCACTCCAAAGCTCAGGAGAGCAGAAGCAGGGAGATCCTTACAGTGCAGGTCCTCAGGTGCAGCTTCCTCTCCAGCAAGGAGATCAGTGAGTAGCACAGTAGTGAAATCATCTCACTCCACATCTCATCCTCCAAATCTCAGAGAGAACATTGAAGCAGGGAGATCCTTGCAGAACTGCAAGTCCTCAAGTACGACTTCCTTTTCAGCAAAGAGGACATTGAATAGCACAATAGTGAAATCACCAAATCTCCAGAGTCTACCAGTCAAAGGCATCAGTGCCTTAGATCTCACACTGCAGCTCCAAGGCTGTAGGTACAGGAGTGCCTAGGCACACTCACATACCAGGAAGTGCACTACTGTTTTTCTGGTGGAGTTTGAGACAAAGGGTACATTTTTGGGGCTAGGTACACATAAACAGAGGTTTGCTATAACATGTTCTCTGCAGTATCAGCTATTGTATCAAAAGAATCGATCAACAAGGACACGCAAGGAGAACTTACCAAGGTTGGGTGTGGATGGAGAATGAGCCGCATCCTCTGTGGATTGTATTTGTTGTATGTGTTCTGTATCATAAAGTTGGCTCCATCCATGGCACCAGGCTGTGCATTCCTCTGCTGTCCATATTGCACGGAGCAGGTGGCCTCTCCTGCAGAACATCTTCTATTCTCCACGTGGTTGGCAGCAGATGCAGGCTGAACGCAGGTTCTGAGCTCATCCTTTTTAAATAGATTCCTGGTCTTCAAAGAGAGCTCTGCACTGAGCCCAACACGTCGCATCCGGGCCAGAATTCCTCCTCCATGAAGAACTGTGATGTGAAAATATTACACCTGGCTGTATGGCAATACTGTAATACGGCATGCAGGGGTGCTGGGTGAAGTGCTGGCATTCTGCGTGATCGTTGGCTGAACGAAAGGCTAAATACACAATGGAAGGAAAAGAAAAAAAAAAAATATATATATATATATATATATATAAAACAGTACATTCCGGGAATTAAATTGTCACACTATATATATATATATATATATATATATATATATATAAATATATATATCTATATATATTTATTTATCTATATCTATATTTATATTCTATATCTATATATATTTATCTATATATATTGAAAGTGTGACAATTTAATTCCCGGAATGGATTGTTTTTAATTTAAAAAAAAAAAAAGAAAAGTTTGCTTATCTATACACTTGTGGCCTTTAAAGTAGGTCCCCTTGTGAAGCGACTCACTTTTCTAGACTCACTTTTCTAGACAACTGTGCCGCTGCCAGAAGCATTCCTGGAATTCTTTTTCTGTAATTCTGTGCAATATCATCAATTCTGCGTCCTTTTAAGTAATTTTTTTAATTTTGGAAACAGCTTCAGATTCCTGTCGCTCTTTTTCCGCTAACAGCGCAACGCACACGCGTGTTATTTCTTCTACTACTCCGTAAAGACTGAGCCCAATGGTCTGTGACCCTGGGGTATGCAAGTTAGAACATGTCAGAACACGCTCGCATGCGAATGGCTATGTTACAAACCACCATAGTACTACACGGTGACTTTAGTACTGCTTTAAACCTGAGCTCCGGCTATAATATAGAGCCCAGCACAGTTAAATGTAGAAAAAATAATTTTGCAACTTTATTCGCCTTTAATCTAAATCTCTCCCCTGTGGTACTACTTCACCACCACTAGATGTCGCCATTCTTTCACGTTGAATGGCAGCTAGTGTATTTAAACCCGCTTCCTGTGAGCCCAGGGTGCCTTGGCCCTGCCTCCTGAGGTGGCACCACACAGCCTGGGCTCACTGTACTGGAGCACAGAATGTACCTCACATCTCAACACATTAGATGTTTTGTGCTACAGTAATGATCGTCCACCGCTGTCGCCACACAAGGAAAAAAGATGCTATATATATATATATATATATATATATATATATACATATACACACACACACTATATTGCAAAAAGTATTGGTCGGCCGGCCTTTACACGCACATGAACTTTAATGGCATCCCAGTCTTAGTCCGTAGGGTTCAATATTGAGTTGGCCCCGCCCTTTGCAGCTATAACAGCTTCAACTCTTCTGGGAAGGCCGTCCTCAAGGTTTAGGAGGGTGTCTATGGGAAGGTTGGACCATTCTTCCAGAAGCACATTTGTGAGGTCAGGCACTGATGTCGGGGGAGGAGGCCTGGCTCCCAGTCTCCACTCTAATTCATCCCAAAGGTGTTCTATGGGGTTGAGGTCAGGACTCTGTGCAGGCCAGTCAAGTTCCTCCACCCCAAACTGGTTCCTCATGTCTTTATGGACCTTGCTTTGTGCACTGGTGCGCAGTCATGTTGGAACAGGAAGGGGCCATCCCCAAACTCTTCCCACAAAGTTGGGAGCATGAAATTGTCCAAAATGTCTTGGTATGCTGACGCCTTAAGAGTTCCCTTCACTGGAACTAGGGGGCCAAGCTCAACCCCTGAAAAACAACCCCACACCATAATCCCCCCTCCACCAAACTTTACACTTGGCACAATGCAGTCAGGCAAGTACCGTTCTCCTGGCAACTGCCAAACCCAGACACATCCATCAGATTGCCAGAGAAGCGTGATTGGTCCTTCCAGAGAACACATCTCCACTGCTCTAGAGTCCAGTGGCGGCGTGCCTTATACCACTGCATCTGACGCTTTGCATTGCACTTGGTGATGTAAGGCTTGGATGCAGCTCCTCGGCCATGGAAACCCATTCCATGAAGCTTTCTACACACTGTTGTTGTGCTAATCTGAAGGCCACATGAAGTTTGGAGGTCTTTAGCTATTGACTCTGCAGACAGTTGGTGACTTCTGCGCACTGTGTGCTTCAGCATGCGCTGACCCCGCTCTGTCATTTTACGTGGCCTACCACTTGGTGGCTGAGTTGCTGTTGTTCCCAGTTGCTTCCACTTTGTTATAATCCCACTAACAGTTGAGCGTGGAATATTTAGTAGCCAGGAAATGTCACGGATGGACTTATTGCACAGGTGACAACCTATCACGGGACCACGCTTGGAGTCACTGAGCTCCTGAGAGCGACCCATTCTTTCACCAATGTTTGTAGAAGCAGTCTGCATGCCTAGGTGATGATTTTATGCACCTGTGGCCATGGAGGGGATTGGAACACTTGAATCCAATAATTTGGAGGGCTGACCCAATACATTCGGCAATATAGTGTATGTATATATTTCTATTTTTTTTAAAAAAGAAAGTGCAGGGGGTCTTGGGGGGAAGGGGTTCCGGGCAGGGAATGGGTACAGGTTGCTGTAAAGCTAGCTTGCTCACGCCTTATCATACATTTTGAATTAATAACCACTGTGCCATCATACATTATCACCTATTGATATATTTCTAATCACATTAACGCATATTGATAGGGCAATAGATTATATTTCATTTTTCATATGACTAGAACAGCCGTTTTCAACCAGGGTTCCTCCAGAGCAGGGGCGTACTGACAATTTGGAAACTCGGGCACTGCCCGGGGTCAGTAGAGAGGGCCCTAGTACCGTTTTCATAGGCTTTTTTGAGTGTGGGCAAGGACACAGGGGCCCCATGATCCCCTATTGCCTGGGGGCCCCATGAGTTGTCAGTCTGCCCCTGCTCCAGAGATTGCTAGGGGTTCCTTGAGCTGGGACTGACCGACCTCCAAGTTGATCTAGCCTGCATATTTCTGAGACCAGTACCACACCGCTAAGTCAGCGGCATGACATCAATCATCCTTTTAGCGAACTGTAAGGGTGGCATTCCAACCACTGCTGGACTTCCCAATGCCGACCAGTGAAATAGACATTTTTCCCACTGACATCCCCATGAATTGGTTTCAGTAGGGGTTCCTCAAGACCTGATAATTATTTCAAAGGTTCAGGGGTAAAAAAGGTTGAGAATGGTTGGCCTAGGACGAGCGTGAGTCTGAAAACGGAATCTTATCAATTCACCATACTGATGTTAATCTTTCATTTCTGCAGCACCCATTCTTAAAGGTGGCCAAACCTCTGTCCAGCCTGACGCCTCTAATACTGGCAGCCAAGGACGCCATAAAGAACAGCCGCTGAACGATGAAGTCACTACTATTGTTTTTGTTGGCCTGGCTCTCTGCGATGGGACTGTTGTTGGCCTCCTTTTATTGCGTCTTCAGGCCGCGGGACACCAGGCAGCTGCTCTGGAAGCACAAAACACAAGGACTCTTCCCTGGACTCACACAGGACTCTGAACTCCGTTTTATATGTGATTGACATAACATTTTGTCAGCGTCTCTTTAAATGTATTATTTTTGATCTGGAGCCTTGATTACTGATCTAAGTAAATTAAAACATCCTTGTTCTCTAATTCTGCAGAGGATGGATTATTTCTAGAACTGTGATGTGGCCCCCGACATTACCAAGAGGCCACACCTAATGCTCAGACACAATGCTACAAAAGACTGTCAGAGACTGCACTGTGGAAGACAGAAACTGGGGACAGGTTACAGGAGACAGTCGCAGGCCATGGTACGGCTTCCAGGAGATGGTCACAGGGGACAGGTTACAGTTGGCATTTGCAAGTTGTGGACAAGACAGAGAGACTGGGGACTGATTGTGGGACGCCGGGATTGGTTCTAGGAGGCAGAAACTGGTAGGCTGGTTGCCAAAAGCAGAGACAGGAGGACCGGAGGCCGCGGGAGGCAGAGACTGGGGACCGGCCGCGGGAGGCAGAGACTGGGGACCGGCCGCGGGAGGCAGAGACTGGGGACCGGCCGCGGGAGGCAGAGACTGGGGACCGGCCGCGGGAGGCAGAGACTGGGGACCGGCCGCGGGAGGCAGAGACTGGGGACCGGCCGCGGGAGGCAGAGACTGGGGACCGGCCGTGGGACAGACTGCTTGCGGGAGGCTGAGACTGAGGGGCTGCTTGCGGGAGGCAGAGACTGGGGACCGGCCATGGGACAGACTGCTTGCGGGAGGCTGAGACTGGGGGGCTGCTTGCGGGAGGCCGATACAGGAGACTGGGGTCTGGTTGCTGAAGGTGGTCGTGGATCTGGAGGGGGCTGCAGGCCTGGGAACAGGTTGTGGGGGATAGTCACAGGTCAGAGGTAAGTTTGGGGAGGTAGCTGCAGAACAGAATTGAGTTCCGGGAGACAGTCGTAGGCTGGGGCTAGGACAGGCTTCTGAAGACAGAGACTGGGGACAGGTTGCTGAAGGCAGTCATGGTTCAGTGATTAGTTGCAGGAGGTGGTCACAAGCCTGGGACCAGTTGAGGGAAGCAATTGTGGCCCAGGGAGTGGTTGCAGCAGTCAGTCCTAGGATGGTGACAGGTTGTGGGAGACAGTTGCAGGCTGTCAGCAATCACGTGTTGGGGACATGTTACTGGAGACTGTTAAGAGACTACCATTGCAGAACCTACTAATCAATGTCCCCTATTACGACAGATTGCTGGTGCCTGAAGTATGCACAATAGGAGCACAAGGGCACCAGAGTTCTACTGCTAACACTAGACTGATCCTATCACCCTATCCTCCATATTGGACTTTGCAGCCAGGTTCTTTTCAGCTTCTGTCAGTTGGGTAGAGACCACAGTTGCACCTGTGACACAGCTCCCGCTCTATGGGGAACCTGGGCTGGTCCCTGCTCCTAATTACCACTCCACACCAGAAGAGAAAAGCAGAAGCTTTCATTGTTCTCTTTTTACATGTGTATGCTACGGGACTGTCAATGTTCTCCTGGGCTACAGAGAGTCACTGGCCAAGGAAAAAGTAATGGTGTTAAATTGGACCATGTCAGAGAATCGCTATGTAACAAAGCCATGATCGGGGGTGACAAAGGGGGGTAAAATGAGCTGCAAACCCCACTGCCTTCTTCAATATCATCTCCCATAATAAAGATATACTATTATAGTTCAGTCTGCCTGCCTAGAATATTCAAACTATTTCAGTCATTTTGCAAGTTTTGTTTACCCTGAGGTCATCACAGAGGACAAGGGGGCACTCTTTACATCTGGAGGAAAAGAGATTTAATCTCCAAACACAGAAAGGTTTCTTCACAGTAAGAGCTGTGAAAATGTGGAATAGACTCCCTCAAGAGTTAGTTCTGGACAGCTCAGTGGATTGCTTTAAAAAAAAAAAAAAAAAAAAAAAAAAGTCCTGGATTGTCTCTTATATACACAGAATATAACTGGATATAACATTTATAGGTAAAGTTGATCCAGGGAATATCTGATTGCCTCTCGGGGGATCAGGAAGGATATTTTTCCCAGCAGGAGCAAATTGGATCGTGCATTGCTAGATTTTTTTTTGCCTTCCTCTGGTTCAACTGTGGTGTAGGATTATAACTTTTTTATTTTCTGTATGGTTGAACTTTTGTCTTTTTTCAGCCAGACTAACTATGTAGAAACAATGGCCTGGTTTGGTTTTTAGCTATGGGCCCAATGAGAACCAGGTTTGCCTAAAATCTACTTTTGCCTTTGATTTTACCAATTTTTGAATGTTTGCCTCACACGCCATCTAGTGTATAAAGTGCTAATTTCATTAAAGTGGAATTTCACTCTCAGAATCAGCAATGGCTATTTTTAATCCTTATACTGCTAGCATTAGTAAATAGAGAGGAAAAAATATCATATTTACTTGTTTTAGATTTTTTTTTTCACAATTCTTAATTTATTTCCTGGTTTTCAGGCCTAGGCCAAAATGTCATACATCCCAGGACTCTGGAGGAGGGGTTTTCTGAGCTAAGCACACCCTCCTGCTTGCACGCCTGAGCTAAGGGAAGCTAGATTCTAGGAGGTAAACGCTACATGGATCATCTGCCTTTACTCATGATATCCATGGCCAGAAATGCTAGGCAGGGGGGTGCAGTGATTTTCTCAGCAAAATAAAGCATGGAGACATGGATGGATGGCGGAGTTTGCCTTTGAAACTGAGCACCACAAACCAAAATCACTCATTCATTTTCAATATCCAGTGAGGTTCAGCTTTAAAACCATATTTATAGCTTTCTTGGTACACGTCACTTCTGGATTTGAAGCAGTGATGAAACATCCATGAGCTCCCATCATGCTGGCATCTTTGGCTGTTTTGATTGGCTGGCCTCGGGATGATGTACCTCCTACACGGGCACACAGAGCTTCATTCATATAAAACAGTGGTCTCCAAACTGTGGCCCTTTGCTTGCCTTATCTGGCCCTTGGGCACTATTCCTCCCACTGATACCAACAACTGGGCTCTATTCCTCCCACTACTAATGATGGGGCAGCATTCCTCCCACTGACACCCTAGTCCGGCCCCCTAAAGTCTGAAGTACAGTAAGCTGGCCCTTTGTTTAGAAAGTTTGGAGACCCCTGATATAAAACGTACATTGAGCCCACACATGCACAGCTCTGGATACATTTTAAGCACTTGACCTCTGGGAGGTTTACCGCCTTCATGACCAGGGCAATTTGCTATTCAGCACTGCACTACTTTGCATACAGTGTTACATGACTGCAATTGCCAGGTAAATTAAATTTTGTTTGATCATTTTCCTCACACAGTTTTCTTTTGTTGGTATTTAATTGCTAATGTTTTATCTTTTATTATATAAAATAAAATTTTGGAAAAAAAAAATTTTCTACTTTAAAACATATCAAAAATCAAATTTCTTCATTAATTTAGGCCAAAATATATTCTGCTACATCTTTGCAAAAAAAAAAAAAAAAAATCCCCAATGAGTGTATATTGATTGGTTTGTGTGAAAGTTATAGCTGGATACACAGCCATAGACGATATACTGGTAATGTCAATGATCAGCAACTTATATTGGGACTATAATAGTGTGGCGGGCAATCTGACGCTAACAGACCCTCACTGGGAAAACTAACACTGAAATCAATAGTGATACTTATACAGTGATCAGATAGAATACTGTCACTATACCTACACTGGCTGGGAAGGGGTTAATAGTGCTCCTGGCTGTTAGGGGTTAATAGTGCTCCTAACAAGTGTAATGTGTATCATATGTGCTGCTTTTACTAACACATCTGGCTGTTTTTTCACCTTGCTTTGTAGGAAGAAGAAACAGCCAGACTGCTGATCTGTGTACAGAACACTGTGTGTTTGTAAACACAGGACTACATGCTCTGATTGGCTACAGCCGATCAGCAGGTCTCAGCCATAAATCATTAGCCAGGACCTGCTGACAAAACCCCACTGTGGCCATCAACAGGACGGGTTAGCATAGGGCATATGTATGCTTGCCCCTAACCCTGCATGGGCTGGATGATGTACATTATCCAGACTGCCCGTGTCACCTGCAGTAAATATTCACCTAATATATATATTTTTTTTAAAACTTTATTTCCCCTTTTTTTCCCCTGGTGATCTGGTCAGTAGGTCTGTTGTCTTTCAACAGAACATGCTCTCTTTCCGTTACAGGGATGAGACAAACCAAAGACCACTGGTGCTGTGTGCATTCCTGCCAATGGCATCCCATTTTAGCCTATTGGGACATGCAGCTGCACAGACAAAGCCACTGTGTCCCCATATGATATGCAAATTACATTACTAAAAGGGACCACACCTAATGCTCTGTATTTATAATGCAACAAAAGACTGTCAGAGACTGCACTGTGGGAGACAGAGACTGGGGACAGGTTGCTGGAAACAGTCGCCCGAGACTATCATGACCCAAGGACAGGTTGCTGGAAACAGTCGCCCGAGACTATCATGACCCAATGACAGGTTGCTGGAAACAGTCGCCCGAGACTATCATGACCCAATGACAGGTTGCTGGAGGCAGTGGAGGCTGGGGATAGCAGGTTGCTGGGAAATATTTGTCGCTCAGACATCATGACAGACATTTGCTGGAGATGGTCACAGGCTGGGGTTACAGGTGGCTGTTGCAGGCTGGGGACAGGGTTACAGGTGGCTGTTGCAGGCTGGGGACGGGTTACAGGTGGCTGTTGCAGGCTGGGGACGGGTTACAGGTGGCTGTTGCAGGCTGGGGACGGGTTACAGGTGGCTGTTGCAGGCTGGGGACGGGTTACAGGTGGCTGTTGCAGGCTGGGGACGGGTTACAGGTGGCTGTTGCAGGCTGGGGACGGGTTACAGGTGGCTGTTGCAGGCTGGGGACGGGTTACAGGTGGCTGTTGCAGGCTGGGGACGGGTTACAGGTGGCTGTTGCAGGCTGGGGACGGGTTACAGGTGGCTGTTGCAGGCTGGGGACGGGTTACAGGTGGCTGTTGCAGGCTGGGGACGGGTTACAGGTGGCTGTTGCAGGCTGGGGATGGGTTGCGAGGTACAGAGACTGAGGACTGGTTGGGAGAAGCTGTTGCAGGCCAGGGACATGTTAGTGGTGACTGTTAAGAGATCTGCCATTGCAGAACCTTTACTAATCAATGTCCCCACTTACTATAGATTGCTGGGGACTGAAGGTTACACAATAAGTAACACAGAGCCCCAAGTTGGGGCGGAAGGGTTCTAGATCGGGGTCTCTGACTTGCTTTTATACAGCCCTTGGAGCACTATTCCATCCACTGACTTCCAACAATGGGGAATATGTCCTCCCAATGACACCGATAAAGGGTACAATTCCTCCAATTGACACCAAACAAGGGGCACTATTCCTCCTAATGACGCCAACAATGGGGCACAATTACTCCCACTGACACCAACAATGGGCACAATTCCTCCCACTGACACCAACAATGGGGCACATTCCTCCCACTGACACCAACAATGGGGCACAATTCCTCCCACTGACACCAACAATGGGGCACAATTCCTCCCACTGACACCAACAATGGGGCACAATTCCTCCCAATGACACCAACAATGGGGCACAATTCCTCCCAATGACACCAACAATGGGGCACAATTCCTCCCAATGACACCAACAATGGGGCACAATTCCTCCCAATGACACCAACAATGGGGCACAATTCCTCCCAATGACACCAACAATGGGGCACAATTCCTCCCAATGACACCAACAATGGGGCACAATTCCTCCCAATGACACCAACAATGGGGCACAATTCCTCCCAATGACACCAACAATGGGGCACAACTCCTCCCAATGACACCAACAATGGGGCACAACTCCTCCCAATGACACCAACAATGGGGCACAACTCCTCCCATTGACACCAACAATGGGGCACAACTCCTCCCATTGACACCAACAATGGGGCACAACTCCTCCCATTGACACCAACAATGGGCACAACTCCTCCCATTGACACCAACAATGGGGCACAACTCCTCCCATTGACACCAACAATGGGGCACAACTCCTCCCATTGACACCAACAATGGGGCACAACTCCTCCCATTGACACCAACAATGGGGCACAACTCCTCCCATTGACACCAACAATGGGGCACAACTCCTCCCATTGACACCAACAATGGGGCACAACTCCTCCCATTGACACCAACAATGGGGCACAACTCCTCCATTGACACCAATTGACAACTCCTCCCATTGACACCAACAATGGGGCACAACTCCTCCCATTGACACCAACAATGGGGCACAACTCCTCCCATTGACACCAACAATGGGGCACAACTCTTCCCATTGACACCAACAATGGGGCACAACTCTTCCCATTGACACCAACAATGGGGCACAACTCTTCCATTGACACCAACAATGGGGCACAACTCTTCCCATTGACACCAACAATGGGGCACAACTCTTCCTATTGACACCAACAATGGGGCACAATTCCTCCCACTGACACCAACGATGGGGCACTATTCTTTCTATTGACGCCAATGATGGGGCACTATTCCTCTTAATGACACCAACAATGGGGCACCATTCCTACCGCTGACATTGTTCACTCCCACTGACACCGGGACATTTACTACTCTCACTCGCCTCAGTCCAGCCCAGCCCCCTCCAAGGTCTGAAGGACAGTATGCTGGCTCTTTGTTTAGAAAGTTTGGAGACCCGTTCTAGATAATAGTAGTTCAATCATTTTGTCCTATCCTCCATATTGGACTTTGTAGCCAGGTTCTTTTCAACTTCCGTCAGTGGGGTACAGACCACAGTTGTAGCTGTGACATATCTGCTGCTCTATGGGGGACATGGGCTGGTCCCTGCTCCTATTTACCACTCCACCTCAAAAAAGAAATACAGGAGCTATGGTTGCTCTTATGGGTGTCGCTGGGTGGAGGGGAAGGAGACCAGCAAACATCCGTTTGCTGATCTCCCCTTACTATAATGAACCCAGAAGCAATGTGCATAGTGTCACTTTTAGTCTCTAGAGCCACTTAACCTGGCCCTCACAGCCATGGAAGAGGCTAATGGAGCTTCAATGGAAGACTAACAAGACCCTAAATGTCTAATCAAAGAGAACCTGTCTTAACCCCCCTGGCGGTATTTCCGAGTGTAGCTCGGGGAAAACTTTCAGTACCAAAAGCGGTAACCCCGAGCTACACTCAGGCTTACCATGCGGCGCTGCTCCGGGATCCCTTGATCACTTACCTTGTCCTGCGCTCCCATGATGTCCCTCCTGCAGGTTCCCCAGCCATCTCCTCTGGCCGATGCCGGGATCCGTCTGCCGGGATCCGTCTGCCGGGTTCCGTTCCCTGCGATGTCGAGACGTTCGGGGGATGGAACCGGCGGGAAATTAAAAATGTAAAAAGTGACATTCACTCAATACACTAAAATCACATAGTATAACATTCCTGTATCAAACCATTTCACATACATTTTGTCCCGAGTGCTTTGTCCTGCGCCCTGCCTGCATTTTTACTGTTCTTTCTGCCTGGAAACTGAGAAACGTCCATGGCGTCCAAAAAGCGTCCCTTTAGGTCAAAAGCGGTTTTTAGACCGGCTAGAGAACAGCGATAGTAAATCAGAACCACTTGCAGAATTGAGTGATGATTCGTGGGGAAATTCCTCATCAGACACTGAAAACGATTCTGCGACTTTGCTCAGTGATGTGCGAAATTTCAAATTTCAGTGTTTTTGGTTTCATTATATTATTGAATTACATTATATTATTTTTTTATGATTATTTATTAAATTATAATTTATGATTTCATGTTTCAAATTTTATCATACCCGGGATGTTTACTAGACTCTTGTTCGGACAGATTTCAGTGAGTTATTCCTAAAAATTACAGGCCTACAATAAAAAAACGACATATTTCCATGCAAAAAAATGTACCGCTTTGAGCACAGAAATATGGACATAATCAGACCGCTAGGGAGGTTAAAATAAATCACATAGGACACTTGTGTCCCTTATGTAATATAATGTTTTATTGAAAGGAAAAAAAGAAAAAATTTTGAGCCCACCCCACATATCTTGGGGGCACCTTTGTATGAAAGCCTCCCCTGTTTCCCTATAGACAGGCTGGGTCATGTGACTTCTGTATATCGAATAGTAAAATTAAAATAAAATAATGACAGTGCCATCACCGGCTGAGACAGGGAAACGGACAAGAATGACAGCAAATTACATTTTTATTAACAAAAAAAAAAAAGTTACTTCTCTGCATCGTATAAAAATAAGTTCCTTTACAACGTCATTCTTATTTTTTTGGTCCACCTACGTCATATCTAAGCAGACCTGTGCTTGGCCATACAAAAAAGAAAAAAGGTTTGCCGGAATTCCTCCCTCCCCTGCAGTGCCTGCTTACCTCTACCTCACTCCTGGTTCTCTTTTCAGCCACCAGGAGCAAAGACTATACCCCGTACCTCGGAGTATGGAGGAGCATGTGACAGTGTTCGTGCACTGTGATTGGCCCAGTGCTGTTTCAAGGCTCAGAAGCCAGTCTTCAGGAGCTTTCACCGGTCTTCCGGTCCTTGTCCTGAAAGCCGAACAGAGCGGCGGAGTGAAGGAAAGGGGAGTCCGTCTTGCTGGGTGGGGTATTATAGGGAACATGTCACTTTGCCCAATTGGTAGAGGTCTTCATTGACGTTTCTTGTGAGCAGCTGCAGGATCTGTGAAGACGGAAGCATACAATCTGATCCAGGAGTATCCAACGCCCAGTGCACAGTATACAGAGGTCAGCATCAGAGGGATGAATGGTAGATGCTGCTGCCAGAGGGTTAACGGGTAAATGATCTCACATAGCAGTTCCAGCGGGACCAAACCCCAGAGGTAGAGTGTCTCCATACAGCCCAGGAGACGGCCTTCTTTCCTGCAACAAGACCAAGAAAAGAGGATTGCAAGAAAAGCTAGCCAATAAAATTCCAGGCAGATCTAGAGTTGCATTAAGTTTGTCATTTACATTCATTATATGTTTTTTCTAAAGCAATGTTAAGTGCCAGCATATGACCTGGGGTCATCCTTTTGCACCCCCTGTACAGAAACGCTCAGACTGGGAGCAGAAGCAGCAGCAGCAGCATGAGGAACCAATCGGTTGTCCTACAATACTCATGTGCTAACAAGGGTCATGCTGATAGGGGCAAGCATAGCTAAACAGTGTGCTGCTTCTCCTTTCACAGTCCATTCACAGGAGGGGGAGGGGGAGGGGACAAGACCTGCAAGGGTTACAGACCTGCAGGAGACAGAAATCAGATCTCCTGGCCTGCAAGACAGGACTGTGCTATGTGGCAGATCTCTGCAAATCTCAGGACTGTATGTACAGAAATACAAATCCTTAGGCAAGTAAAACAGCTCAGATATACAGATTTAGCTATTTGATTGGAGTTCAGTGTTAAAGGAAATCTGTAATAAAATGAATGTCAAGGCAGTCATTGACAACGTGCTTATTAAAATGCCAGCCGCCTGGCTGTCTCTGAATGTAATATTTTCTAAGTCACTGACCAGGAACAAGTGTGCTGCAAGTAAAAGTTAGAACTCCTCATCTACACACCTCCGGATGTTCATATCCTCAAAGTATTAATGATACTAATATCTCCCATATTTCCCAGTGCATACCCCTCATATTTAACATTATCCCCATCTCTCATATCCCCCAATACATGACCCTCCTATCCCCCAATACATGAGCCTCATATCCCCCAATACATGAGCCTCATATCTCCGATATCCCCCAATACATGACCCTCATATCTCCCATACCCCCAGTACATTCCCCCCTCATATCTAACATAACCCCCATCTCTCATATCCCCCAATACATGACCCTCATATCTCCCATACCCCCAGTACATGCCTCTCATATCCCCCAATACATGACCATCATATGTCCCATATCCCCCAGTACATGCTCCTCATATCTAACATAACCCCCCATCTCTCATATCCTTCAATACCTGCCATATCCCCCAGTACATGCCACTCATTTCCCTCAATGCATGACCCTCATATCTCCCATAACCCCAGTACATGCCCCTCATATCTAACATAACCCCCCCAATACATAACCCCCATCTCTCATATCCAAAACATGACCCTCATATCTCCCATACCCCCAGTACATTCCCCCTCATATCTAACATAACCCCCATCTCTCATATCCCCCAATACATGACCCTACATATCCCCCAATACATGACCCTCATATCTCCCATACCCCCAGTACATGCCTCTCATATCCCCCAATACATGACCCCCCATATCTCTCCCATACCCCCAGTACATGCCTCTCATATCCCCCAATACATGACCCCCATATCTCCCATACCCCCAGTACATGCCTCTCATATCCCCCAATACATGACCATCATATGTCCCATATCCCCCATACATGCTCCTCATATCTAACATAACCCCCCATCTCTCATATCCTTCAATACCTGCCATATCCCCCAGTACATGCCACTCATTTCCCTCAATGCATGACCCTCATATCTCCCATAACCCCAGTACATGCCCCTCATATCTAACATAACCCCCCCAATACATAACCCCCATCTCTCATATCCAAAACATGACCCTCATATCTCCCATATCCCTAGTACATGACCCTTATAACTAACAAAATTAACCCCCAATACATTAGCCTCATATCTAACCTAAACCCTAGTACATGACCTTCATATCTAGCATAACACCCAATACATAACCCTCATCGCCTATATCCCCCAAAACATGACCCTCATCTCCTATATCCCCCCCAATACATGACCCTCATCTCTTATATCCCCCAAAACAAGACCCTCATCTCTTATATCCCCCCAATACATGACCCTCATCTCCTATATCCCCCCCCAATACAAGACCCTCATCTCCTTATATCCCCCAATACATGACCCTCATCTCCTATATCCCTCCCCAGTACATGACCATCATTTCCTATATCCCCCAATACATGAGCTTCATATCTCTCATAGTCCCCAGTACAAGACCTTCATATCTAGCATAACATTCAGTACAAAGACCCTCATCTCCCACATCCCCCAATACAAAGACCCTCATCTCCCACATCCCCCAATACAAAGACCCTCATCTCCCACATCCCCCAATACAAAGACCCTCATCTCCCACATCCCCCAATACAAAGACCCTCATCTCCCACATCCCCCAATACAAAGACCCTCATCTCCCACATCCCCCAATACAAAGACCCTCATCTCCCACATCCCCCAATACACATCCCCCAAAAGACCCTCATCTCCCACATCCCCCAATACAAGACCCCTCCCACATCCCCCAATCCCACATCCCACCCCCAATACAAAGTCCCACATAATGACCCCCTCCCACATCCCCCAATACAAAGACCCTCATCTCCCACATCCCCCAACAAAGACCCTCATCTCCCACATCCCCCAATACAAAGACCCTCACCTCCCACATCCCCCAATACAAGAGCCTAATGTCCCTGATCTCTATGCTTAGAAGAAGTACAAAAAAAATTAAAAATAGAAATGTTGTTTTCCTGCTGCACAGGGTGTAATGTAAGCAGGTAGTTGGGAAATAAGAAGGGGAAGGGTGCTGGCTGGACTCCCACAGAAGTCACCCGCTCTGCGCCCCGATATATTTGGGGTTCACCTAATTAACTATCAGTGAATAAAAGTCAGTGGATTACCTGAAAAGTGCCTTCAGCGAGCCGACACTGAACACCGTGAATATCGCCATTAAAAGTATCTTGAGAGGCAGCTCTAAAAGACATGGAGGAAAAAGTCTGAATTATCGTGATTACTCTATATAGAATGTCACTACAACAGAATAGGACACAATGTGTACATCACATCACTACTAAAGGATCGAACATATCTCTACTACAGGATCGAACATATCTCTACTACAGGATCGAACAACATCCATACATCACATCACTACTGCAGGATCGAACAACATATCTCTACTACAGGATCGAACAACATCCATACAGTTGTGTTCAAAATAATAGCAGTCAGACATCACTAACCGGATCAATCACTGTTTTTGGTAGAAATGATATTTCTACATGGCAAATAATTTCCTAGCAGGTGTAGTAGAGTAATAGAAATCCAACAGACCCAACAGTCATGACATGCATGCTGCTGATTCTGTGTCATTGAATCACTCATTGAAAGGGGCATGTTCAAAATAATAGCAGTGTGGAGTTCTATTAGTGAGGTCATTCATTCTTTGAAAAATAGGTGGCAATTATTGCCCTTATTTAAGGAAGGAAGGCAGCAAATGTTGTACATGCTGGTTACAGTGCATTTCTCTCTGAAATTCTGAGGAAAATGGGTCGTTCCAGACATTGTTCAGAAGAACAGCGTACCTTGATTAAAAAGTTGCTTGGAGAGGGGAAAACATATAAAAAAGTGCAGAAAATGATCGGCTGCTCAGCTAAAATGATCGCAAATGCTTTAAAATGGCAACCAAAACCTGAAAGACGTGGAAAGAAAGCGAAAAACTACCATTGGAATGGATAGAAGAATAGCCAAAATGGCGCGGACTCAGCCAACAATCAGCTCCAGGAAGATGAAAGAAGGTGTAAAGTTCCCTGTGAGGACTGTTACAATTAGAAGACGCCTATGTGAAGCCAAGCTATCTGCAAGAAGTCCCCGCAAAGTCCCACTGTTGGAAAAAAGACATGTGCTGAAGAGGTTACAATTTGCCAAAGAGCACATTGACTGGCCTAAAGAGAAATGGCGCAACATTTTGTGGACTGATGAAAGTAAGATTGTTCTTTTTGGGTCTAGTGGGCGGAGACAGTTTGTCAGACGACCCCCAAACACTGAATTCAAGCCACAGTACACTGTGAAGACAGTGAAGCATGGTGGTGCAAGCATCATGATATGGGGATATTTCTCATACTACGGTGTTGGGCCTATTTATCGCATACCAGGGATCATGGATCAGTTTGAATACATCAGAATACTTGAAGAGGTCATGCTGCCTTATGCTGAAGAGGAAATGCCCTTGAAATGGGTGTTCCAACAAGACAACGACCCCAAACACACCAGTAAACGTGCAACATCTTTGTTCCAGACCAACAAGATTGACGTTATGGAGTGGCCAGCCCAATCCCCGGATCTTAATCCAATAGAAAACTTGTGGGGTGACACCAAAAATGCCGTTTCTGAGGCAAAACCAAGAAATAGAGAAGAACTGTGGAATGTCGTCCAATCATCCTGGGCTGGAATACCTGATCACAGGGGCCAGAAGTTGGGTGACTCCATGCAACACAGATGTACAGCAGTTCTCAGAAACAGTGCGACTACAACCAAATATTCATGAAGTCATTCAAAGGAAAGCAAAATCTTCAAACATTTTTCAGTTTATATAGTGAATGTTTGAGTTTGTAAAGAAGAATACAAACACTGCGATTTTTTTTGAACCGTCTAATATTCACTTTTCTTCAATTTTTTTTAGAGGAACAACACAAATTTGATGTATTTTTCTTCATGTTTTGATTTGGAATAGAATGTGTCGTGTTCCCAATGCATTTGTGTGGATGGAAATAAAGCTATTAGAAGATTTTCAGCTTTATTCACTTTTTTCAACACACTGCTATTATTTTGAACACAACTGTACATCACATCACTACTACAGGATCAAACATCCATACAACATATCTCTACTACAGGATCGAACATCCATACAACGTACCTCTACTACAGGATCGAACATCCATACAACGTACCTCTACTACAGGATCGAACATCCATACAACATATCTCTACTACACTACATCGAACATCCATACAACGTATCTCTACTACAGGATCGAACATCCATACATCACATCACTACTACAGGATCGAACAACATCTATACAATATATATCTCTACTACTGGACTGAATACAACCCGAACAACAAAACATTACTACATTGTCAAATATGTCATCTTGAAGTCAGAAAGTGAATATAGGGACGATAGCCAAATAGGGAACAATAATCTCCAGGCCCCAACAAATATGTCAGGACGCTCTGAATGACGCTTGTGAACGCGAGCGCAATGTCATTAAGAATTTGAATCATCGCAATTCTGCTAAAATGTCTGTGGATGCAAAGATGGCTCAGTCTACACCTTACATTAACATTTTATACACATTATTTTTCCCAGGTGCATTTGTCCCCCTGAACATGTTGGGGGCTGCACGTGGAGGCCCCTCCCCTATATTTCCTATGTTAACCACTCCAAGACACCACTGTGTTTTAGCCATACATTATTTTACATAAACGTTGACGGTGTGTGCCTGCTGTGCTGGATCACATACATGTACCTGATCAAGGATTTCCGGGTAGGGGGCGCGCCCCCCCCCCCCCCCCAACACCCTGGCTGTTCTCTCATTCACTACAGCACAAGCCGATCTGTCATTCTGGCAATAAATCATTGGCCAGGACGTGCTGAAGAAAGTCCTGTGTTGTAAGCACTGAGATGTCTACAGACAGTTGCAATGTGCTGGTTATTTTTCTCCCTGCCAAGCAGGGAGTAAAAACAGCACATTGCTTAGTAAAAGCAGCACACAGTACGCACAATAAACATGCTTATGCACACAGTTACCCTTTGATCGCCCTAAATGTTAACCCCTTCCCACCAGTGTCATTAGTACAGTGACAGTGTACATTAGTAGCACTGATCACTGTATCAGTGTCACTGGTGAGGTCACAGTCCCACTACAGGTCAATGATCGCCACCATTACGATTAAAACAAAAAAAAAAATTATATATATATATACTTTCACGGAAACCAATTAATATATGCTTAATGGGATTTTATTTTACCAAAGACATGTAGCAGAATACATTTTGGCCTAAATTCATGAAGAAATTTGATTTATTTTTATTTTATAGCAGAAAGTAAAAAATTGTTTGTTTTTTCTGTCTTTTTTAGTTTATATAATAAAAAACAAAAAAACCAGTGGTGATCAAATACCACTTGTGTGAAAAAAATTATATTTCTTTGTGGGACAGTGTTGCATGACTGCGCAATTGACAGTTAAAATAAATCACGGCCTGGCCATGAAGAGCTAAATCTTAGGGATCTTAAGTTTAAATAATGTGGTGCATCCTGTAAATAGTACAATGGAACCCTCTAGCTCTGTATTTATATATATACACGCAGGATATATACTGTAATTTCGTTTAGCCAGGTTTATGACTTATACACCTTTCACATGTGGCACAGCCAAGAAGACATGATTACTTCCTGAATCTCCTCCCAGCTCTTTGGCTGAAGGTGATGATGCAGATTCAATGCCCGGTTGAAAGCAGAGACCTACTGCACTAGGGCGATGACTTGCTTAGTCATTTGTGTCACCTCTCTAGATGTACGGTTTAAAAAATGTGTGTAAATCACAAGGATGGCTGAACAGAATTACAACACCTTAAAGCTGAACTTCAGGAATTAACATTCCTGCAAACTTACATTGGTCCACCTTGACTCAATGTAGGCATTTTAGATTTAGTGGTCCTCCTGGAGATGAAACTCATGTTATAGCCTAGTCCTGACCATGATAATAGAGCAGCCTTTTACCTTGTGCTGTGAAGAGCAGAGGGAAGAGGGACAAGTGTCCGGTTGTTGCCAAAATCAGAAATATCCCAGCATCCTTTGCACTGCTGACCGCTAGTATGCTGAAAGAAAAGACACAGATATTTCATATTAAAAGGGTTGCCAGCGCTGTGAATCAATGGCAGGCCTTTTATATATCTTACTCACTACAACAGTGATAAACCCTTAAAATTATATCTACATACACATATATACACACATACCTACCTCTCTCTCTCTCTCTCTCTCTCTCTCTACTCTCTCTCTCTCCTCTCTCTCTCTCTCTATCTCTATCTATCTATATATCTATCTATATATATATATATATATATATATATATATACATACACACACACACACACATATATACACACACACAGTGGGGATCGAACGTTTGGGCACCCCAGCTAAAAATTTGTATTAATGTGCATAAAGAAGTCAAGGAAAGATGGAAAAATCTCCAAAAGGCATTAAATTACAGATTAGACATTCTTATAATAGGTCAACAAAAGTTTGATTTTATTTCCATCATTTACACTTTCAAAATAACAGAAAACAAAAAAATGGCGTCTGCAAAAGTTTGGGCAACCAATACATGACCCTCATATCCCCCAATACATGACCCTCATATCCCCCAAACCCCCAGTACATGCTCCTCATATCTAACATAACCCCCCATCTCTCATATCCTTCAATACCTGCCATATCCCCCAGTACATGCCACTCATTTCCCTCAATACATGACCCTCATATCTCCCATAACCCCAGTACATGCCCCTCATATCTAACATACCCCCCCCCAATACATAACCCCCATCTCTCATATCCAAAACATGACCCTCATATCTCCCATATCCCTAGTACATGACCCTTATATCTAACAAAATTAACCCCCAATACATTAGCCTCATATCTAACCTAAACCCTAGTACATGACCTTCATACCTAGCATAACACCCAATACATAACCCTCATATCCTATATCCCCCAAAACATGACCCTCATCTCCTATATCCCCCCAATACATGACCATCATTTCCTATATCCCCCAATACAAGACCCTCATCTCTTATATCCCCCAATACATGACCATCATTTCCTATATCCCCCAATACAAGACCCTCATCTCTTATATCCCCCCAATACATGACCCTCATCTCCTATATCCCTCCCCAGTACATGACCATCATTTCCTATATCCCCCAATACTTGAGCCTCATATCTCATATTCCCCAATACATGAGCTTCATATTTCTCATATTCCCCAGTACAAGACCTTCATATCTAGCATAACATCCAATACAAAGACCCTCATCTCCCACATCCCCCAATACAAAGACCCTCATCTCCCACATCCCCCAATACCAAGACCCTCATCTCCCACATCCCCAAATACAAAGACCCTCATCTCCCACATCCCCCAATACAAAAAACCCTCATCTCCCACATAAAGAAGCCAAGGAAAGATGGACAAATCTCCAAAAGGCATCAAATTACAGATTAGACATTCTTATAATATGTCAACAAAAGTTAGATTTTATTTCCATCATTTACACTTTCAAAATAACAGAAAACAAAAAAATGGCGTCTGCAAAAGTTTGTGCACCCTGCAGAATTTATAGCATGCACTGCCCCCTTTGCAAAGCTGAGACCTGCCAGTGTCATGGATTGTTCTCAATCATCGTCTGGGAAGACCAGGTGATGTCAATCTCAAAGGTTTTAAATGCCCAGACTCATCTGACCTCGCCCCAACAATCAGCACCATGGGTTCTTCTAAGCAGTTGTCTAGAAAACTGAAACTGAAAATAGTTGACGCTCACAAAGCTGGAGAAGGCTATAAGAAGATAGCAAAGCGTTTTCAGATGTCAATATCCTCTGTTCGGAATGTAATTAAGAAATGGCAGTCATCAGGAACAGTGGAAGTTAAAGCAAGATCTGGAAGACCAAGAAAAAATATCAGACAGAACAGCTCGCAGGATTGTGAGAAAAACAATTCAAAACCCACGTTTGACTGCACGATCCCTCCAGAAAGATCTGGCAGACACTGGAGTTGTGGTACACTATTCCACTATAAAGAGATACTTGTACAAATATGGTCTTCATGGAAGAGTCATCAGAAGAAAACCTCTTCTACGTCCTCACCACAAAAATCATCGTTTGAACTTTGCAAATGAACATATAGACAAGCCTGATGCATTTTGGAAACAAGTTCTGTGGACCGATGAGGTTAAAATTGAACTTTTTGGCCGGAACGAGCAAAGGTACGTTTGGAGAAGAAGGGGCACAGAATTTAATGAAAAGAACCTCTGTCCAACTGTTAAGCATGGGGTTGGATCAATCATGCTTTGGGGTTGTGTTGCAGCCAGTGGCACAGGGAACATCTCACGAGTAGAAGGAAAAATGGATTCAATAAAATTTCAGCAAATTTTGAATGGTAACTTGACGCCATCTGTGAAAAAGCTGAAGTTAAAGAGAGGATGGCTCCTACAAAATGGATAATGATCCTAAACACACCTCAAAATCCACGGGGGATTACATCAAGAGGCGTAAACTGAAGGTTTTGCCATGGCATCTCCTGACCTCAACATAATTGAAAATCTATGGATAGACCTTAAAAGAGCAGTGCGTGACAGACAGCCCAGAAATCTCAAAGAACTGGAAGACTTTTGTAAGGAAGAATGGGCAAAGATACCTCAAATAAGACTTGAAAGACTCTTGGCTGGCTACAAAAAGCGTTTACAAGCTGTGATACTTGCCAAAGGGGGCAGTACAAGATATTAACTCTGCAGGGTGCCCAAACTTTTGCAGACGCCATTTTTTTGTTTTCTGTTATTTTGAAAGTGTAAATGATGGAAATAAAATCTAACTTTTGTTGACATATTATAAGAATGTCTAATCTGTAATTTGATGCCTTTTGGAGATTTTTCCATCTTTCCTTGGCTTCTTTATGCACATTAATACAAATTTTTAGCTTGGGTGCCCAAACGTTTGAGTGTGAGTGTGAGTGTGTGTGTGAGAGTGTGGGGGTGTGTGTGTGAGAGTGTGTGTGTGTGTGTGTGTGTGTGTGTGTGTGTGTGTGTGTGTGTGTGAGGGGGGTGAGGGGGTGAGTGTGAGTGTGAGTGTGGGTGTGAGTGTGTGTGTGTGTATACAGTTGCAAGAAAAAGTATGTGAACCCCCTGGGATTACGTGGAGTTTTGCATGAATTGGGCATAAAATGTGCTCTGAACATCATCTAAGTCACAACAATAGAAGAACACAGTCTGCTGAAATTAATACTACACAAACATTAGATGTTGCCATGGTTTAATTGCACATAACATGTAAACATTCACAGTGCAGGGAGGAAAAAGTATGTGAACCTTTGGACTTAATAATTGGTTGACCCTTCTTTGGCAGCAATAACCTCAACCAAACGTTTCCTGTAGTTGCAGATCAGACCTGCACAATGATCTGGAGTCATTTTGGACCACTCCTCTTCACAAAACTGTTTCAGTGTAGCAATATTCTTGGGATGTCTGGTGTGAATCGCTCTCTTAAGGTCATGCCACAGCATTTCAATGGGGTTGAGGTCAGGACTCTGACTGGGCCACTCCAGAAGGCGTATTCTGTGCTGTTGCAGCCATTGTTTTGTTGAATTACTTGTATGCTTTGGGTCATTGTCCTTTTGCATCACCCATCCTCTGCGGAGCTTCAGATGGTCGTACATTTTCCTGCAAAATGTCTTGATAAACTCTGGAATTCATTTTCCCATCAATGACAACAATCCGTCCAGGCCCTGAGGCAGCAAAGCAGCCCCAAACCATGATGCTCCCTCCGCCATGTTTTACAGTGGGGATGAGGTTTTGATGTTGGTGTGCTGTGCCTTTTTTTTCTCCACACATAGTGTTGTGTGTTCTTCCCAAACAACTCCATCTTGGTTTCATCTGTCCACAGTATATTTTGCCAGTAGTGCTGTGGAACATCCAGGTGCTCTTTTGCAAACTTCAAAACGTGCTGCAATATTCTTTTTGGACAGCAATGGCTTCCTCTGTGGTGTCCTCCCATGTACTCCATTCTTGTTTAATGTTTTCCTTATTGTAGATGTGTCAACAAAAATGTTAGCATGTGCCAGAGATTTCTGTAAGTCTTTAGCTGACACTCTGGGATGCTTCTCATGCAGCATTCTGCGCTGTGCTCTTGCAGTCATTTTTACAGGATGACCACGCCTAGGGAGAGTAGCAACAGTGCTAAACTTTCTCCATTTGTAGACAGTCTGTCTTACCGTGGACACATGAACATCAAGGCTTTTGGAGATACTTTTGTAACCCTTTCCAGCTTCATGCAAGTCAACAATTCTTGATCGTAGGTCTTCTGAGAGCTCTTTTCTGCGAGGCATGGTTCACATCAGTGCTCCTTGAAACCAGTAAACCAAAAACAGGTGTGTGTTTTTTAAGGGCAGGACAGCTGTCAGCAACACATCCAATGTCATCACACTGATTGGAGTCAAGGTTGGCTCACTCCTGGCTCCAATTAGCTCTGGGAGAAGTCATTAAGCTAGGGCCTCACATACTTTTTCCTCCCTGCACTGTGAATGTTTATATGTTATGTGCAATTAAACCATGGCAACATCTAATGTTTGTGTAGCATTATGTTCAGCAGACTGTGTTCTTCTATTGTTGTGACTTAGATGACGTTCAGAGCACATTTTATGCCCAATTCATGCAAAACTCCACGTAATCCCAAGGGGTTCACATACTTTTTCTTGCAACTGTGTGTGTGTGTATGTATATATATATATATATATATATATATATATATATATATATATATATATATATATATTTTTTTTTTTTTTTTTTTTTTTTTTCTCCTACCTATATCTATCTATAAATTTCTACCAATATCTCTACCTATATATATATCAAACTTTCCCACAGACTAAATAATATACACTGTTTTGGGTTATTTTTACTAAAGAAATACACTATGGTCTATGTAACATAAATGTAGGATTCTGATAGCTGAGATGTGATCAGTAGAAATATGTCATTGTATATCTAGCTTAGTTCCATGTTATTAAAGTTAAGTGTTCAGTATTCAGTCAGGGACATATATATTCACCAATTAGCATCTGAAAGGACAGAGCAGCTTCTAGGCTGGAGGTGACACCTAGATGTCAATAAAACATTGTCACCTATGGAGCCAGACTACAGAGTCTCTGATTGTATTGTGTTGCAGTGTCTATATATGCTCAGTCAAGTTCATTGCCTATCTGTATGCAATTGCACTGCGTGTTGGCAGATTGTAAAGTAGCAGATCTGCCAAACGGAGATCTGTGTGTGTGTGTGGTGGCCCAGCAGACCAGTCTGCGGATAAAATGTTGGGTGGTGGCAAGCTACCGTTTGTGGTGTGTCTGGTGTGGGGGTGTGTAGATAGTGGAAGAGTGATTAAGACCGTGGTACTAGCTTGTAGGATAGCTGGAAGAAAACTAGAAGGGTGTGCCAATTGCGAGACTGCTCCCCAACCCTTAGCATGCACCAGATTGTATATAAGATTCGTATCTGCCTGTGTGTGGTCAGCCAGCTGGATTGGAGTCTCCCTCTAGTGGTGGCCAGAGGTAGTGTGGGCTGTGAAAGTGTATCACGGCTGATCTTTTATGCTCAAAGTAAGTCCCCCTCATTTCCTCTTTAGTCACGGCTGGACGTGCACGCCTCGGTTAGCTAGTCGCTGTGGGCGTGTGCGTGGGTTTGGATCCGCGATAGTCTAAATTTATGCAGAAAGATTATTGATTTGCTAAATTTTATAATAGCAATAAAAAAAAAGTGAGTTTTTTTTCAAAATTTTCTTGATTTAGCAAGAAATCGAAAACCCAGTGGTGATCAAATACCACCAAAAGAAAGCTCTATACCTGTACAAACAAAATGCTAAAAATTTAATTTGGGCACAGTCGTGCATGACCATGCAATGGCTGAAAGCTGGCCTGGGCAGGGAAAGAGCGGAAGTGTCACACACACACGTTTGGCCTTTCATTCTATGTTAAACTAAACGGATTTTACCCGTTTACCAAAACGGTTGTTTTACAAGGTAAGGGTTCATACATACTTTAATTTGCACAACCAATCAGGCAGCTCCGTGCAATACATGGCTCTTGGTACATTTAAAAGATATTGAGCAAGCAGACTGTAATGTGTATTGCCAGCATAAGTGTGTAAGAAGGGAGAAGATACAACTTCTATTATATATAAAGCACCTTTACAAGAAACCTCTACCCAGCCCATCCAACCCTGAAATACAAGATCCATACAAGGCCAGCAGCAGAGTTGTTAGCACAGAGATATCTCACCTTAATGGAAGGATGGCCAGGAGGATGGCTTTCTCATGTACGTGCCAGCCAAACATAAAGGACCCAAGGGCGCACAGGACCAGACAGCGGAGGAAACCGGCAGGCCCGCGGGGTCTCATCCACAAGCGGAGAACAGACGGCTGGGAAACAACAGGATGAATGCAGTCAATTTATGGATTACAAGAACTTTAAAATCAACTCTTACTACTAATCAGATAAAATACAAATATGGACAAAATGTTTTCGGACGCTGTTAGACATTGTAATCCAAAACCAAAAGGCATTAATATTAAACCCCCCACCCATTTGCAGCTATAAGAGCCTCCGCTCTTCTGGGGAGGAATTCCACCACATTTTGGAAATTCTGTGGAAGTTTCTTCCAATCGGTGGGGTCAGGTACGGACGTTGGATGAGAAGACCTGGATCACAATCCAAGCTGGCTCAAAGGTGTTCAGTAGGGGTCATGGCTCTGTACAGGAAACTCCAGTTCCTCCACACCAAACTCATCAAATCATGTCTTTATGGAGATGTTGGCTGAGAAGAGCCAAAAAATTTCAGGCAGGATCAACAGATATTTTTTGCACTTTTAACAAAACAAACACTTTCAATGATATATGTATTTACTTTCACAGGGATGCCTGGGACATGTAGTTCCGGGCATCGGGCGAGTAGCTATTTTCAACATTTAGCCCTGCTGCGGACAAGCAGCAGGGTTCAACTGTCACGTAAAAGCATTTGGACAACAGCGCTGCTGCTCGATTGCCTTCACACAGTCCACCATGGTGCCAGCCTCCACCCCCCTGCACGTGAACCCCCCACGCTCACCAAGTCTCCTGGGCTTCGCTTGCCCATATGCGGGCCCGGCGGCTAGAGGGGAGGGAGGAGAGAAAACACGTCTGCCCCCCTCTCCTTCTTGTTCTGACCCAGAAGTGATGTTTGATGTCACTTCCAGGTCCCCATTCACAGATTCCCAGCCATTGAGGCTGGGAAAGAATGTAATGCAGTGTGATATACACTACATTACATTCAGGGGAGCAGGGGGGAGACATGCAGGGTCTTTTAGACCCTGGATGTCTCATTAAGGAGAACCTTTCACCAAAAAATCATCACATAGGAGACTTTTTGTCCTCTATGTGATGTAATTAAAGTTAAGAAAACAAAAAAAAAAGTTTTAATAGTAAAAAAAAAAACAAAAAAAAAAACAAAGCACATAACATCCCCCACATATACACACGCACAAAAGTAAAAGTGCGTGCTGAGGCGCCTACGCATGAAAATGATAATTTCAATACATATGTTATATATCGTCGCGCACGCCAGAATGAGAGCAATAATTCTAGCATGAGACCTCCTCCATACACTATACTGATGACCTGTAAGGGGCTTTAAAAGGGCCACCTATAGAAAATATAGGGTACTGAAGTTTGTCACCATTTCACGAGCACATGGAAATTTAAGGTTTGACATGTTGGATATTTACTCGGTGGAACCTCATCTTTTATATTTTACCAAAAATAGGGCAATTTATTGCTTTTTTGTGCCCTAAAATTAATTTAAGTGTATTTTTTTACCAAAATTTTGCATTTCCTAGACCTTTGCAATAATATCGTGCGACATACAAAATTGGAACTACCACTATTTTATTCTCTAGGGTCTGTGCCTTCAGAAATATATAATGTTTGGGGGTTGTGTGTAATCATCAAACCTAAAATTATTTTTTAGATGTGTGCAAAAAAAAACAAAAAAAAAAAAACAACAAAATGGCTCTGGTATCAAAAAGGATAAGCCCGACACTCCCCTTTCCCAATCAGTGCTCATTACACTGCACGGTCTCTCCCCTCCCTGCTAGTTCCCGGATACGGTGCTGGAGACAGGCAGGGAGAGGGGGAGGAGACATACAGCCAGGGGCGGACTGACCATTTGGAAACTGGGCACTGCCCGAGGGCCCGGGGTCAGTAGGGGGCCCCATGAGATGCCCCTGGTACCTTTTTCATAGGCTTTTTTGAGTTTGGGCAAGGACACAGGGGCCCCATGATCCCCTATTGCCTGGGGGCCCCATGAGTTGTCAGTCTGCCCCTGCATACAGCGCAATATTAGAAAAAAAAAATTAAACATTTAAGTCACCAAAGAGCCCCTTTTGATTTCAACTGTCCCAGACATTCCTAACAGCACCTCAGATTTAAATACGGTTTTGGTTAAAAAAATTTTTTTTTTTAAATTTTTTATCAGTAGATTGTCAGGAGGGACAAATAGATTGAAAGACCGATTTAGTCCCTGGACAAGTAGATCTTTTCAAAAATGTCCACACCCGCTTTTAGTATATACAGTATATGTACATATGTTCTAATGTACGTGTATTGCACTGTATTCGTCAGGGCTGTTAGAAACCACGGGCCCCTTACAGCAAACCTGACAGCTCCCCCTCCAAAAAACCCCACAGTATACTATGGTTCAGTTATGAATAACACAGTGAGAGATCGGTACTGATCACCCGTTTTGTTCATTCAGGAAAGGAAGGGGCTGGTAAATGTGACATTTTGTGCTTGCGGCTTCTGTTGAGAAGGAGAAGAAGGAAGCTGGCAGAACTGGGGAGGTGGAGGCACACAGGGGGCCTGGGCAACATGGGGAAACATATGATGCACAGGGAGGGTGATGGGGGTGTTTGGGTAATTACTGTAACGATTCAGTCTATGGTTCCCTCTGCAGTAGCTGAAAGCCATCGGGAAGGAGAGAAGAAGCCGCCAGACACTTCAGCTGCTGCAGAGTTAGCCATACAGGGGATCATTTTTTTTACCAAAAAGAGTAAAATCTTTATTGAATGAAAAATAAAACAGGAATTTAACAGTATAAATTATTGCGTTATATAAAGATTTTATAAAAATAGTAGAAAACCATTAAAAAAAAAAAAAAAACTAAAGAAAATCAAAATGGTGACAATGTAAATAAGATACCAAGCAGGGCATGGAAATAATGACCTGTACAAAGTGTATAACCAATTACTGCAGGGGCGGTACGGCCAGTGACTACGTCCCAACATAACAGACCCATCTCATCTAGGCGCAAGTTACCGTGGATTGTAACCAACGATCCCATATTTTATTATATTTGTTGGGACATCCTCTATGAACATATATCAAATTTCTTCAAGGGTAGAGTGTTATTAACATCAGCCATCCACTCTTCCAAAGTTGGAGGAAGTGCTTTCATCCACTGACGGGCTACCAATTTCCTAGCACTAAACAACGCTTTGTGCAAAAAAAGTAGTCAAATGCCTATCAGTCTCTGAAGTGGAAATTATTCCCAACAAGCATGGCTTTGGATCCAAGGGTACAGGAGAACCAATATGGTCATTGTAACGGAACCAAACTCCAACTACACTAGGCTATTTCCGTTAGACTCCCGCTTCCCTGTCCGAACACAGATCCACGGACACCACCGCTGACCATACAGAGGAGACACACCAGACTTGTATGAAAGACAGGAAATGGACTGCTTTATTTTAACACAGACACAAGATATAAACATTCAAGGGAACAACCCCCCTCCCTGCATAAGGACACAGGGCGGGGCAAACCAAATTTAGCAACCAGAAACACATCCCAACAGGAGGGCTGCTGGAAACACCCCCCACCAAGTCAATACACAAACACATAATAGAACAATGGGACCATATGGCAGTAAACAATGAACAACCCCCACACCCCACCTATACATGTTTACACAATATCAGGACACTTCATCCTGTACCCCTAACAGGCACAGGGTGACTTACACATAAGAGGGATATGGGGAGCTGAGACAGGGGTCTCCTCACCTCTCCAAAGTGAGCTGGGTTCCATGGGTCCCCCACCCAAAGTCACTCCCGTCACAGTCATGTAAGAATTGGACTACCCGGGCCCAAAATCCATTTACACATGGGCAATGCCAAACCAAGTGGAGACACGTACCCAGGGACACATGGCATTTAGGACAATAGGGATTCCTGTCAGTTTCAAATTGTGCTAGACGAGTTGTTGTGAGATATGCCCTGTGTATCATGTAAAGTTGGGTAAGGCGATCAGGCAACTTAGGGCAGACCTGCTTACAGTTATCTAGAACATCCTCCAATTCATCATCATATATAACCCCAGTGTCTGTCACCAGGCGAGATTTAAGAGAGTAGGCCAAATCAGATGCCTCTGGGGTGAGCAGAAGATCATATAAAGAAGAAATCAGTTTACAGGGTTCTTCTCCATATACCACATCCAATAATGATAGTGACATGAGGGATGAGAAACCACTAGGGAATTGGGACACTAGAGCATGTTGTACCTGAATAGCATAAAATTTGGGAGGGAAAACTCCCGCTTCAGGACCTCAAATGACCTTAATGCTCCATTTGATATTACATGAGAGAGAAGGTATACACCTCTAGAGGTCCACAACTTATGGTCAGGAATAGTGAGAAGTTCAGGCAACAATCGATTGGACCAGAGTGGGGTATCTATATGAAATTGTGGGGATATATCTTAGAAATGGAAAGATCCCAGATTCTCCTATCATGAAAGGCTATTCTTTTGGAGAAGGGTTATGCGGTTGATCCCCGAACTCCTCTAAAAATATCACAAAATGGCTGCAACTCAGGTGGAATTTCCAGGTCCGATACTAAAGCACGAAACTTTCCCTCTCAGTTTTTCGATATGGTAGAGGTGGGAAAGCTGGGCCGCCAAGTAATATAGATCAAAATCTGGAAAAGTTGAACCCCCCCAGAGTAGTAGGGTTTTTGAGGACGCGCCAAGCCAGTTTATGTCTACTTCCACCCCAGACAAAAGATTTTAGGATCGTGTCCATAGTCTTAAAATATCTTAATGGTATATAGACTGGAGAGCGCCAGAGTATATATAGAATTTTTGGTAACAAGTCCATTTTTATCAACCCAATTCTACCCATTACCCCAAGTGGCAATTTGGCTTTAATAAGCAAAAAAAGGGGTTCTACATTTAGGGCAATATAGTCAGCAGGTAATCTAGATACTTGTATACCCAAATATTAGATGGTATTGACACATACTAATGGAATAGGGGCTTGTATAGCAGGAGTAGGGAAGGAATCTATAGGAAGAATGTGAGATTTATCATTAATTTTGAGGCCAGAAAAATCTCCAAATTGTTCTATAAGGTATAAAATTTGCAACAGGGATGAGTCAGAATCAGCAAGGTACAATATCATATCAGCATAAAGTCCAATCTTTTCAACTAGTTTCTCCTCTGTGTAGTCCCCACACTCCAGGTGCCGATCGGATTTTTATGGCAAGAGGTTCGGCCACCAAAGCATATAGTGGTGGCGAGAGTGGACATCCCCAACGGGTACCTCTAGAGAGAGAAAACGTCTCGGATGTCCACCCTTTAGCAAAACTCTCATGCCTGAGGATCTGAATACAATATAGAGATCCATTTAATAAATTTAGAGCCAAAACCAAAATATTTGTAGACAGTGCCATAAAGTATATCCATTCAGCTGAATCAAAAGCCTTGGTGGCATCCAAAGAAACCACAACTCTCGTACCAACATGATTGTGGGTAGCTTGCAGATTCATAAACAGTCTCCTGGTATTAAATGCGGTATTTTTAAGGGGCATAAAGCCTGTTTGGTCTGGATGCACTAAGGAGGTAATAACCGTGCTCAGGCGCATCGCCAAAACCTTGGCAAGGATCTTAATATCAGTTTGCAGTAGTGATCTAGGATGATATGAATCCGGCATACTCAAATCCTTGCCTGGCTTGATTGGACACAGCTGATCACATGACCGAGCCGACATCTTCGGCTCTTTCCGTAGATCGGTGATCCACGGTGTCCAAGGGACACAGCGCACTGCCGATCTCCGCGCTTCGGGAGCCTCGCATGCGCGGTTAGAATGGGAGGACGTCATAAGACATCCTCCCAGAACGAGAGAACCACCTTGCCATATTACTATATGGCGGGTGGGAGGAGGATAAAGAGTCCCTAAAAATGAGAAAAAATGGCTTTGAAATGACAGAGCTCAATTCTTTAAGGACCCGTGGGTGTATGCCATCCGGTCCAGGTGCTTTATTAATCTTTATTCTGTCTAAATATTTTTGGATCATATCAATTGTGAGCCAATGTGGATCATCTGGAGCTGTGTCATTACCATGCCCATTATGGACAAGAGCTCCCCCATGCTCCTTTGTATACACAGAGCTGAAGAAGGTGTTTAATAAATTTGCCTTCTCTTTGTCCCCAGTCGCCTACTCTAGATTATTTTGTAAAGGGCCTACATGCTCAGACCGGACCTTTTTACTATTAATATGTGCAGTGGGGAGCCCTCTGTGAAACAGCAGGAAATGACAAACGACCCCCCCCCCCCCATTCAAAGATGGTGGTGCAGGGTATCCACAGTGCAGAATTGGCTCAAACAAAGACAGAGACAGAGTCTGGCTACCGTGTTTGGACTCTGGATACTGGCTACTGTATTTGTAGCTTCTGACGTTTATTATTCAAAAAAATAAAACAAACATGCAATCCTATAAGAAAATATGCTCTATAACCTACATGAGTGGTCTCTAAGCTGCAGCCCTTTGTTTGCCTTTGTCTAGCCCTTGGGGCACTATCCCTCCCACTGAAACAAACGGTAAGGCACCATTTCTTGCACTGACACCAACAATGGGGCACTATTCCTCCCAATGACACCAAAGATGCGACACCATCAATGGGGCGCTATTCCTCCCACTGACACCAAAGATGCGGCACCATTCCTTACCCTGACACCAACAATGAGGTACCATTCCTTCCACTAACACCAATGATAGGGCACTATTCCTCCCATTTACATGATGGGGTGCTCTACCTCCCACTGACAATAAGGATGGGGCACTATTCACCATACTGATACCAACAATGGGACAATATTCCTCCCACTGACACCAGGGATGGGGCACAATTCCTCCCACTGACACCAGGGATGGGGCACTATTCCTCCCACTGACACCAGGGATGGGGCACTATTCCTCCCACTGACACCAGGGATGGGGCACTATTCCTCCCACTGACACCAGGGATGGGGCACTATTCCTCCCACTGACACCAGGGATGGGGCACTATTCCTCCCACTGACACCAGGGATGGGGCACTATTCCTCCCCCACCAGGGATGACACCAGGGATGGGGCACTATTCCTCCCACTGACACCAGGGATGGGGCACTATTCCTCCCACTGACACCAGGGATGGGGCACTATTCCTCCCACTGACACCAGGGATGGGGCACTATTCCTCCCACTGACACCAGGGATGGGGCACTATTCCTCCCACTGACACCAGGGATGGGGCACTATTCCTCCCACTGACACCAGGGATGGGGCACTATTCCTCCCACTGACACCAGGGATGGGGCACTATTCCTCCCACTGACACCAGGGATGGGGCACTATTCCTCCCACTGATACCAGGGATGGGGCACTATTCCTCCCACTGATACCAGGGATGGGGCACTATTCCTCCCACTGATACCAGGGATGGGGCACTATTCCTCCCACTGATACCAGGGATGGGGCACTATTCCTCCCACTGATACCAGGGATGGGGCACTATTCCTCCCACTGATACCAGGGATGGGGCACTATTCCTCCCACTGATACCAGGGATGGGGCACTATTCCTCCCACTGATACCAGGGATGGGGCACTATTCCTCCCACTGATACCAGGGATGGGGCACTATTCCTCCCACTGATACCAGGGATGGGGCACTATTCCTCCCACTGATACCAGGGATGGGGCACTATTCCTCCCACTGATACCAGGGATGGGCACTATTCCTCCCACTGATACCAGGGATGGGGATACCAGGGATGGGGCACTATTCCTACCCCACTGATACCAGGGATGGGGCACTATTCCTCCCACTGATACCAGGGATGGGGCACTATTCCTCCCACTGATACCAGGGATGGGGCACTATTCCTCCCACTGATACCAGGGATGGGGCACACTATTCCTCCCACACTGCACTATACCAGGGATGGGGCACTATTCCTCCCACTGATACCAGGGATGGGGCACTATTCCTCCCACTGATACCAGGGATGGGGCACTATTCCTCCCACTGATACCAGGGATGGGGCACTATTCCTCCCACTGATACCAGGGATGGGGCACTATTCTCCCACTGATACCAGGGATGGGGCACTATTCCTTTCACTTCTATCAACAATTATTTGTCCCAACAATACCAATGACGGGGAAACCATTCCGCCTATGAAATAACCACAAGACTTATGCACTTTCCTTTTTTTTTACCTCGCACCACTGCCACCAAGGAAGCTTTGTTTACTCCCTTTGACCAATAGCCTCGGGGCAATTCCTTGATACCAGGGGACGCCGGAGCATCTTCCTCATTTCCCTCGGGCCACATTCCAGCCCTTTGTTTAGAAAGTTTGGGGACCCCTGATCTATACTGAAGCTTTGTTTTACTCCGTTTACTACCATTTTACCATCTTACCCAGCACTTTTGACTGCTGGCAGATTTATAAAAAGACGTATGACTGGGTTGTGACTTAGCAGCTCTGCCATTTTTCCCCATTATTCATTGGTTGTCATCATTTAAAACAAAATCTTTCATCAACCCGTTCAATTCAAACACAGCAGATGGCAAAATAAAAAGTGACCTCCTGTGAAAACCATATGTCAAAATGATCAGTGGATCCTGATCCACAGGCAATGAATTATATGTAACTCTTGACTCCTCCTGTAAAATCTGCCCCCCCACCTTCATCCCTGCCTGATGCTCATCCTAGTGATGGGTACGGTTGCTGAATAATAGGGAAGCCGGCGGTACTTATTTGTACAAGTCAACATTTACAGAAAACGGTATGGATACCTTCATCGCCATATATATATATATACCCCCAAACTTGTAAAATCGGAACTCCTAATCTTGATCCTGATTCTCGGTCAGTGTCTCTGGAGCACTAAAGCCCCGGGCTCAGTTATCCTGAATTATACTGTGTATATAGCCCCTAGTATGATGGCTGAGCTGGTGGAACGAGGACAACAGAGCAGCTCAGTGGCCATCTTTCTATTCCTTACCAGGATGGATAGCAGGGTACAGATCAAAGTGGCCAGTGGCGTGACAGATGGAAGGATGCTGTGCTCAAACTCCTGAACCAACCCGCCCGTCATGGATCCTGTCCGGATGGCAGCTGGGTCCAGCAGATGCATCTTGACACCTGGATTACAAACATTTTTTTGAAGGGTCAGAACTTCCATAATCAATATGCCAGTGTTAGACATTGAGATGACGTTTGTAACTCCAAACACTAAAATCTTGTATGATGTAATGTCATTTCAAAAGTAATTTTCAATATTTTAAAAGCTTCAGCTTTCAATAAAACAATCCTTGGTGATCCTGCCTTAAAAGTTCTTGTGTAGGCAGTTTGTTATAGGGTGACAACGCTCTGTCCCCACCTCCTAATTATGCTCCTAAGTTGTCATCCTTTCAGACTTCCAATGAAGGCCATAGCCGTTTCAATACACTATGCAGGCATGGTCCATTGTTGTCACTGTTGGCAAACTCGCCCTTAGAAATGCCAAGCAGGCATTTTTTTATTTATTTCAGGTACTTATATAGCGCCGTCAATTTACGCAGCGCTTTACATATATATTGTACATTCACATCAGTCCCTAACCCTCAAGGGGTGTACAATCTAAGGTCCCTAACTCACATACTAGGGCCAATTTAGACAGGAGCCAATTCACCTACCAGCGTGTCTTTGGAGTGTGGGAGGAAACCGGAGTACCCGAAGGAAACCCACGCAGGCACAGGGAGAACATGCAAACTCCACGCAGGAGGTGCCGTGGCTGGGATTCGAACCAACGACCCTAGTGCTGCCAGGCGGAAGTGCTAACCATTTAGCCATTGTGCTGCTCAGGCATCACTAGAAAGATCCCCCAAACACACTTGTGCCAGTGTGCGGTAACCATTATGTTGGCTACAAGAGCGTAGATCTCATTGGTGACCTGAATACTGAGGAGTGAGGTATGTGTGCGAGAGTGCAGATCTCATTGGTGACATGGATACTGAGGAGTGAGGTATGTGTGCGAGAGTGCAGATCTCATTGGTGACATGGATACTGAGGAGTGAGGTATGTGTGCGAGAGTGCAGATCTCACTGGTGACCTGGATACTGGGGAGTGAGGTATGTGTGTGAGAGTGCAGATCTCACTGGTGACCTGGATACTGGGGAGTGAGGTATGTGTACTGGGGTTCAGATCTCATTGGTGACCTGGATACTGGGGAGTGAGGTATGTGTGCGAGAGTGCAGATCTCACTGGTGACATGGATACTGAATGAGTTACGTGTACTGGGGTGCAGATCTCATTGGTGACATGGATACTGGGGAGTGAAATCTCACTATTGGCATGGATATTTGGAAGTGAACTGTGTGTACTGGAGTGAATATCTTAGTGGTGGTGGTGGTGGGGGGGGGGCATGAATACTGGGGAGAGAGCAGTGTGTAGTGGAGTGAATATCTCACTGGTGACAAGGATACTGGTTAGTGAGCTGCGTGTACTGGGGTTCAGATCTCACCGGAGACATGAATACTGGGGGGAGAGCTGCATGTACTGGGGTTCAGATCTCACCGGAGACATGAATACTGGGGGGGAGAGCTGCATGTACTGGGGTTCAGATCTCACCGGAAACATGAATACTGGGGGGAGAACTGCATGTACTGGGGTTCAGATCTCACCGGAGACAAATACGGGGGGGAGAGCTGGGTGTACTGGGGTTCAGATCTCACCAGAGACATGAATACTGGGGGGAGAGCTGCGTGTACTGGGGTTCAGATTCAGATCTCACCGGACTGGGGACATCTCAATACATGGGGGGACAGCTGTGTGTACTGGGGTTCAGATCTCACCAGAGACATGAATACTGGGGGGAATGCGTGTGGGGGGAGACTGACATGAATACTGTACTGTACTGGGGTTCAGATCTCACCGGAGGAGACATGAATACTGGGGGAGAGCTGTGTGTACTGGGGTTCAGATCTCACCAGAGACATGAATACTGGGGGGGACAGCTGCGTGTACTGGGGTTCAGATCTCACCTGGGGAGACATGAATACACCTGAGGGGGGACGGGGGGAGAGCTGTGTGTACTGGGGTTCACATCTCACTGGAGACATGAATACTGGGGGGGGGAGAGCTGCGTGTACTGGGGTTCAGATCTCACCGGAGACATGAATACTGGGGGGAGAGCTGTGTGTACTGGGGTTCAGATCTCACCGGAGACATGAATACTGGGGGGACAGCTGTGTGTACTGGGGTTCAGATCTCACCGGAGACATGAATACTGGGGGGACAGCTGTGTGTACTGGGGTTCAGATCCCAACAGGATTTTGGCAGAGATATTGGTGGTCATGTAATGTAGACCACATCCTTTTTTTTTTTTTTTTTTGGAGGGGGCAGGATTCAGTTCCATATTCTGTGATGTGACTTCCTGCATATCCCGCTGCTTAGTGATGTCACTACAGAGGAGTATACACTGATCATTGTGTAAGCTGTGTGGGTTTAGTGTTGACAATTTAGAAACGTTGAAATCCTTACCGATGATAGAAAGCACTTTATCTGCTGCATTGTACAATGCCCAGAAATTTGGAGCCCAGTAGGCATGGCAGAGACCTCTCTTGAAGGGAAAAAGGCGAGAAAGGACTTGAGGAAGTTGACCCTTAAAAAAAATGTGTACAGGACCATTACTTTCATCACGAATAAACATCATCATCTTATCGCCTAAAAAACAGATCTTGTCAGCATCTCAGAATAAAAACATTCCATTAGGTTTTGTACCGTCACTATCAGATGAGTGCTTGTTATAGGTTGCTCACTGACCTACTGTCTTCCTCCGCCAACATGTACACCTCCTTAAAATGAAGGTCCTTACACGTGAATGATTTACCTTTTAATGGATTCCGTTTAGCAAGTCATGTGATTCATACCCCCACACCCCCCACTGCACAGTTCAGCAGGTGACACCACTATTTCCTGGTTTGGATTTGCAGCTTCCTGTGTCACCTGAACACCTCTAGCCTGCTCACTGAACAGTGAAGGAGAATGAACACCTCTATCCATAAAGCTGCTAGAACAGCCAGGCCAATCACCTGAATCCAATAGAAAATCGATGGAAAAAACTAAAGATCAGAGTCCATAGAAGAGGCCCGAGGAACCTTCAAGATTTGAAGCCTGTATGTGTGGAAGAATGGGCCAAAATCACACCTGAGCAATGCATGCGACTAGTTTCTTGAAGCGGTCATTACCAACAAATGATTTTGTATGAAATATTAAATAAATTTTAGTTAGCGTGTTCAATACTTTTTCCCCGTGTCATTCCATTTTATTACACATTATTTCTGAACTCCCGTTATATTGTAAAGCGCTGAGCAAACGGTTGGCTCTATATAAATCCTGTATAATAATAATAACTTATTTGTTTTGGCTTCTTTGTATGCATGGATTGCTACTCATGAGGTGAAAATTTCATGTCAACAGCAGCTTTAAATTTACTGATAAAAAATGGTGACGTGTTTAATGATTATTTTACATGCTGTATTTAAAGCAACACTAAAGTACGTATTTTTTTTCATAAAACAGATACAACCTACATTTATTTGCTCTTTTTTCTATTCTGAAACCGTTTTTTTTGTACATGCCCCAGTCTATACTGAAACAGTCTCCATTCTATAGCTTTCGCCTATGCCACAGGGACCTACAGTGGGGCAAAATAGTATTTAGTCAGCCACCAATTGTGCAAGTTCTCCCACTTAAAAAGATGAGAGAGGCCTGTAATTGGCATCATAGGTAGACCTCAACTATGAGAGACAAAATGAGAAAAAAAATCCAGACAATCACATTGGCTGATTTGGAAAGAATTTATTTGCAAATTATGGTGGAAAATAAGTATTTGGCCACCTACAAACAAGCAAGATTTCTGGCTCTCACAGACCTGTACCTTCTTCTTTATAGAGGCTCCTCTGTCCTGCACTCATTACTTGTATCAATGGCACCTATTTGAACTTGTTATCAGTATAAAAGACACCTGTCCACAACCTCAAACAGTCACACTCCAAACTCCACTATGGTGAAGACCAAAGAGCTGTTGAAGGAAACCAGAAACAAAATTGTAGACCTGCACCAGGCTGGGAAGACTGAATCTGCAATAGGCAAGCAGCTTGGTGTGAACAAATCAACTGTGGGAGCAATAATTAGAAAATGGAAGACATACAAGACCACTGATAATCTCCCTCGATGTGGGGCTCCACGCAAGATCTCACCCCGTGGGGTCAAAATGATCACAAGAACGGTGAGCAAAAATGCCAGGACCACACGAGGGGACCTAGTGAATGACCTGCAGAGAGCTGGGACTAACGTAACAAGGGCTACCATCAGTAACACACTATGCCGCCAGGGACTCAGATCCTGCAGTGCCAGACGTGTCCCCCTGCTTAAGCCAGTACATGTCCGGGCCCGTCTGAAGCTTGCTAGAGAGCATTTGGATGATCCAGAAGAGGATTGGGAGAATGTCTGATGGTCAGATGAAACCAAAATAGAACTGTTTGGTAGAAACACAACTCGTCGTGTTTGGAGGAGAGAGAATGCTGAGTTGCATCCAAAGAACACCATACCTACTGTGAAGCATGGGGGTGGCCACATCATGCGTTGGGGCTGTTTCTCCACAAAGGGACCAGGACGACTGATTCATGTACAGGACAGAATGGATGGGGCCATGTATCGTGAGATTTTGAGTGCAAACCTCCTTCCATCAGCAAGGGCATTGAAGATGAAACGTGGCTGGGTCTTCCAACATGACAATGATCCCAAACATACCACCTGGGCAACAAAGGAGTGGCTTCGTAAGAAGCATTTCAAGGTCCTGGAGTGGCCTAGCCAGTCTCCAGATCTCAACCCCATAGAAAACCTTTGGTGGGAGTTGAAAGTCCGTGTTGCCGAGCAACAGCCCCAAAACATCACTGCTCTAGAGGAGATCTGCATGGAGGATGGGCCAACATACCAGCAACAGTGTGTGCCAACCTTGTGAAGACTTACAGGAAACGTTTGACCTCTGTCATTGCCAACAAAGGATATATAACAAAGTATTGAGATGAACTTTTCATATTGACCAAATACTTATTTTCCACCATAATTTGCAAATAAATTCTTTCCAAATCAGCCAATGTGATTGTCTGGATTTTTTTTTCATTTTGTCTCTCATAGTTGAGGTCTACCTATGATGCCAATTACAGGCCTCTCTCATGTTTTTAAGTGGGAGAACTTGCACAATTGGTGGCTAACTAAATACTTTTTTGCCCCACTGTATAAAGGTCCTGTAGGAGTCCCCTCTTCCTTCACATTAAAAAGTGTATATAAAGACATAACTTTGTCTTTTTAATTTTGGGTTGAGTAAGGAATGTGTAGAATCTGTTCCGATTCTTTAAAACAAGCTCTCACTGACCTCTGTAGCTTGAGGCACTCTAGGGAAATTCATCCTCAAAGCTGAGAGGACTTCAGTGCTTCTATTGTGACATTTGAGGATGAATTACTCCACAGAGCCTGCAGCTACAGAGGTCAGTGTGGGCTTGTTTCAAAGCTCATTTACTTCTCTAAACACTGGGATGTGCATAGCCTGGCTACAGTTTTACATGTAAGGAGGGTCATAAAAATTCATACCATGTACACAAAAGGTCCAAATGAAACTGTGAAGACGAAGAGCACAATAACAGCCAAAGAGAAGAGTCGCAGAATGCTGAAACTTCTCCATTTTAAAGATCCATCTACAGAACAAAAACACATAAGTGTCAGAAAAGACAACAGAAACCAATTTTCAAGCAGTTAAATCTGCCAATAAAATCCTTAATTTTTCCACGTATAGACCACATTCTTTCAGTTTCCCTCCTAGCTAAGTAGTTTTGTCCTAAAGTTGGAAGATTTATGTTTTTTTTAGCACAATAATATATATTTTTTTTTTTTATCAGGTACATCTTATCAGTCACATCAGCCACCCACATTTGGGGTAATAGGGGAAAGCGCCTTCCACCACCTTACCCTTTAACCCCAAACATTAAATCTACTGATCTGATGAACTCCGGAAGGGCAAAATATTGACAAAATCCAAGACTCGTGTGTATTCTTCCTTGAAGCTTGGTGTGCTGTATTTCTTCAAGATCTTTGCAGTGTAAGACCTTTTCTCTGTGCAGAAGCTTCCTATAATAAAGACCGGTCACTGCTGCTCTCTCTCTGGGTGACTGGTCTGGTCTCCGCCCCCCTCCTTTACTTTTCTGCAGGTAGGCTGTAGTAGGCATACTGGGCCCCTTCCACAGCTCTAATCTCTGCACAGGCTTTGTACAGAATAGGGTGATGCTACTGCTAAAGTAGTATCCTTGCCAGCTTCGGGTGACCACAAAGTAAAGTGTTTATCCTTTGTGGGCACTGAGTCATATACTCCAACTGCACAGTCGCGTCCCGCCGACTCAGCTGCACAGTCGCGTCCCGCCGACTCCAACTGCAACACCGCGTCCCGCCGACTCCAACTGCAACACCGCGTCCCGCCGACTCCAACTGCAACACCGCGTCCCGCCGACTCCAACTGCAACACCGCGTCCCGCCGACTCCAATTGCAACACCGCGTCCCGCCGACTCCAACTGCAACACCGCGTCCCGCCGACTACAATTGCAACACCGCGTACCCGCCGACTACAATTGCAACACCGCGTCCCATTGACTACAATTGCAACACCGCGTCCCATTGACTACAATTGCAAAAACCCCACTACAACCGAAAAACGTTATTATAATTGAAAATATATATTTTAAAAAAAAAAACACCGCGTCCCATTGACTACAATTGCAACACCGCATCCCATTGACTACAATTGCAAAATCGCCCCTACTGATTTCAAAGCAAAAACGTTACATTTCTATATGAAGTTTACCCAAAAGAAACCTCCCATATGCTATCATTTAAAAAAAAAAAGTCCATTTTGGTTTCAGTTTACGGCCAAGTGCGTCCTGAATTTAAGTTGGTTTCGGTCCCAGAATTTTCGTGTCGGTGCTCCACTAGATAAAATATCAAGCAGCTACCTCAGCATCTGACTAATTTACCCCAAATTTTACTTCGCCATCTTCTTTACTCTGTTCACCTGTGTGGAGCATGGAAAGGCTTCAATGCCCCTGGGTACATTTCTAATATCTCTTCATTGAAGTTTGTCCCAAGAGTTAGGACTCCGCCCACCTCCCATGTGACAATTAAGACATAAAGGGCCAATCACCTTGCACCAGGGTGCTGGTCACATAGTGCCTCTATATCCATAAGTACAAAAAGCGCTTTTTTTTAAGAGCCCTGTAAGCAAATGGTTAATCAGGGCCACAGGAGTCATAAGGGAATCTGCTGAGGTCAGGGGGGCACCTTTTTTTTAAGTAGCCCAATTCGCCAAAACCACTTTGTCATGCATTTTGAGGCAATTTTTAAAACTGAAAATACATTCCTTTATAAATTTTCATCCCCCATTAAAGCGGAGCATCCCCCATGAGTAATTCAATAAAAATAAGTAATTCATCCCCCCTACAGTAAATCCCCCATGTAATGCTCCCCCATTTTAAAATACTGTGTCATTCACTTACCTGTCCTCGGTTCCTCTCGCCCGCGGTGTGGTCTACACCAGTCCCCCTCCGTATCTTCTTTCCCTGGCATCTTCGATCGGCGTCTGGCACATGCGCAAATACGTAGAGGGGGACAGAGCTCATAGGAAACGATTTTCATGCTACACCGGTCTTCAGGGCGGACTGTGAGAGGAGCCTAGCGGGAGCCTAGCTCCGTGGGCCGGATTTGTCCGAATGGGCCTGTAGTTTGCCCATTCTGCCCTATTGCCTGTCACCATGTGCTCCGGAAGACCGCATGGGGTGAAAAAGGAGCCGCATGCGGCTCTCCGGGCTTGCAGACACCCGGCCTAGGCCAGGGGTAGGCAACCTGAGAGCCGCAGGACTACAATTTCCATCTTGCCTCTGCAAGTCATAGCTGTATCTGTCAGTTTTGTAATCTTTGCAATGCCTCATGGGAAATGTAGTTCCACAACAGCTAGAGAGCCACAGGTTGCCTACCCCTGGCCTAGGCGATCGCAGCGGAAGTGGGAGCGGGTACTTGCCAAATTTGGGTTCCCGCTCCCCAAATGTGCCACTCCTTAATGGGGAGCGGGGGACAAAGGCTTAAATCGGAACTTACCCTTTTGGGTGGAGCTCCGCTTTAAAGGTTAAAGGATCGCCCCCTAGCCCCCTTACTGGCATCACATATTCACTTTTCTTCCCTGCATCAATAAGTTCAGCCACTGCAAAAAAAAAAAAAAAAAGCCCTATGCAAGCTTCATAGCAAAAATGTCAGAGCTTACACAGGGCTATGGTTATGGCCTACCTCCTTGCCCCCATGTGACAGGGCTTGGCCACTCACAAGGCATCACTTCATGTTGGAGGGGAACGAGCCAACCCACACCCAGAAAAGCCAGGTATGACACTTTGCTTCCAGAGGCCAAGTTTGAGCTGCTTGGGAAGAGGGGAATTAAGTGACCCTTTAGCAGCTCACGGGTATCAAACTGGCTGCCCTCCAAACTACAAGTCCCATGATGCACTGCAAGACTGCCCGTTACACAGCATGACTCCCAAAGGCAGAGGCATGATGGGACTTGTAGTTTCACAACAGCTTGAGGGCCGCCAGTTTGACACCCTCCACCTTGCATTGGCAGAAGAATATGGGATGCCTCCCTAATAGTGTAAAGCCAACCGCAGTTAGAAGTATTTCCACAACAGAAAAAGCGATGCAAAAAAACAAAAAAAACCCCAAAAAAACAAGTGCAACACGTCTTTTTCATAAAAGGGTTGAAATTCAGACACTGACCTGCGTTATTGGCAGTGAAGCAGTACGATCTTAACAGATAGATGCCATAGGCTGGGGCGATGTACAGATAAATGTGCTTGAAGTTCAGCAACACAGCAAAGAGGAAGGCGCTCTCCAGATGTCTCTTCTGTGGGGAGATTTAAGGGTTGAGTTCCTGTAAAAATGATCACCCCACTGGCTCCAATTATGTACAAAAATGCTTCATTCACATGTGCGACTAGAGGGCAGTAAAACCAGGCAGCAGGGCCACGGCTTTACTGCCCCCCAACCATCCGCCTGAACCTGAGCATGCAAGGACTGTATACGTGACATGGCCGCAATGCTGGGCTTCGCACTAAACTAAAAATTAGTGTATTTTGGTTTTGTGTTGCCCTAGGTAAGACTAAAATCGGGCACCCCCCATCTAAATTTGTCCCTCCCCTTGCTGTTTAAGATCCACCTCTTCAGGACAGGACCATGATAGAGGGCAGTGTGACATGGTGGGGGGCAGCATGACGGGGGGGCCACAGGACAGGAGGAGGGCAGCATGACGGGGGGATATCAGAACAGGAGTAGGTTATTGGGACAGGTAGGGGGGGTAGCAGAACAAGAAGAAGGCAGCGTGACAGGGGGAGGGCAGCATGATGGGGGGCGGCGTGATGGGTGGGGAGGTAGAGGGACAGGTGGTGGGGTAGCCTGATGGGGTGCATGGGACAGGATGGGGGGCAGCGGGACAGGAGGAGCGCAGGGGGACAGGAGGAGGAGCGCAGGGGGACAGGAGGAGGAGCGCAGGGGGACAGGAGGAAGAGCGCAGGGGACAGGAGGAAGAGCGCAGAGGGACAGGTGAGGGGGCAGCATGACTGGGGGCATGGGACAGGATCGGGCAGTGGGACAGGAGGACTGCAGAGGGCCAGGTAGGGGGCAGCATGACTGGGGGCATGGGACAGGAGGACTGCAGAGGGACAGGTGGGGAGCAGCGTGACGGGGGGCATGGGACAGGATCGGGGCAGTGGGACAGGATTGGGGCAGTGGGACAAGAGGAGCGCACAAAGGGACAGGATCGGGGCAGTGGGACAGGAGGAGCACAGAGGGACAGGAGGAGCGCAAAGGGACAATGTGGGGGAAAGGAGGGAGGAACAGGTGGGGGGCAGGGTGACAGGTGGAGGGGCAATGGTACGGGGGAGGAAAGTGGGACAGGTGGGGGGCAGTGTGTTGGCGAGACAGTGAGACAGGAGTGGGGAAGCAGCAGTCCTCCAAGCTCTTACCTGTCCAGCAGCGGCTCCTCCAGATGATGTCAGGATCACTCCAGGAGGGGTGCCTGTGTTCCATCTCCCCTAGGATCTCCAGCGGTGGCTGAAAAGAGTGGGGGGCTCCTCCACCCTGACCTCTTCCTCCTCCGCTGGCACTTCCTGTCCATCCTGCACATCCCGGCGCCCACTGACAGAGGGCCCCAGCCCTCACGTGCTCCGGGGATCCGCCCACCACTCCGCTCTCCGCTGCAACCAGTCCCTTGACCCGGGTGACCCTCGTGTGTCGGCTTGGCTGTACCCTCACCCATGACAGCCCTTGTTTGCCTCATGGCAGATACGCCGCTTGACATGGCAAATCCCAGAACAGCTGCCCCCGGAGGAAGATTTCCCCTTTCATTCTGTTTTGGTGGTACCTGCAAAGTTTTTGATTTCCCTTCACTTTCTGTCTCAGTAACTGGGACAAATAGAGAAGGTGAATCTCCCCAGGCAACCAAAAAACCAGACAGAGGGTCCAACGCTTTGATAGTTTGTCCAAAACTAATAAAAAAAAAAAAAAAGTTTTGGCTTGAAATCTACCGTACATTAATAAAGCTTCCTGCGGCATGTGCACCCCTGGCTTGTTTTTGAGGGCCTGTTCACATCTTAAATTGCTTTAGTAGCGCTGGAGCCACTACATGTGTTATTGTGCTTTTTATCCTCATTGTTCATTGCGGGGCACTGCAGTGCCCTCTGGTAGACATGTGCAGTCGGTTTATTTCCGAATCAAAATTCTGATGAAATTTTCGATATTTGGATGTATGAGAAAGATTTTAAACTAATCCAAAATGTCGAAATGAAAATTCATCCAAAATTCGAGCTGAAGTCAAAAATGAAATTGAATTCAAAATATAAAACATATTGCTGACTGTTGCTAATTTCCTTCAAAGAGTATGTATTAGTGTTAGAATATAGCCGTCTTCAGAAATTTGAAAAAGAATATAACAAAAAAGAACAGAAAAAAAAAAAGGTAGAAAATAAAAGATTAGAATAAAATAGAATAGAAAAAGTATTAGAATAGAAAAAAGTAGAATAAAACAGAAAAGAATAGAATAGAAAATAAAAGGTTAGGATAAAATAGAATAGAAAATAAAGTAGTAGAACAGAAAATAATAGAGTAAAACAGAAAAGAATAGAATAAAAAATAAAAATAGAATTTAGCCGTCTTCTAAAATTCAAATTTCAAAAAGAATAGAATAAAATAGAAAAGAAAAGAATACAATGGAATTAGAATAGAAAAGAATAGCGTAAACAGAAAAGAACATAAAATAACAAAATAGGAAAGAATAGAACAGAAAATAAAATAGAATTTAGCCATCTTTTCCGAAATTCAAATTTCAAAAAGAATAGAATGGAGTAATATAGAAAAGAAAAGAATACAATGGAATTGGAATATAAAAGAATAGAGTAAACAGAAAAGAATAGAACATAAAATAAAATAGAAAAAAAAATAATAAAATAGAAAATAAAAGTAGAATTTAGCCGTCTTCCGAAATTCAAATTTCAAAAAGAATAGAATGGAATAAAATAGAAAAAGAAAAGATTATTCTTTTCTATTCAAATTCCATTGTAATCTTTTCTTTTCTATTTTATTCCATTCTATTCTTTTTGAAATTTGAATTTCAGAAGACTGTAAATTATATTTTATTTGCTATTCTTTTCTATTTTGTTATTTTATTTTCTATTCTTTTCTGTTTATTCTTTTCTATTCAAATTCCATTGTAAACAGAAAAGAATAGAACATAAAATAACAAAATAGAAAAGAATAGAAAATAAAATATAATTTAGCAGTCTTCTGAAATTCAAATTTCAAGAAGAATAGAACGGAATAAAACAATAGAACAGAAAATAGAATAGAATAAAATAGAACAAAAAATAAAGGAATATAAAAAAAAAAAAGAAGAACCAAAGGAAATAGAAAAGAACAGAAAGTAAAAGAATAGAATTGAAAAGGATAGAGTAAAACAGAACAGAAAATAAAGGAATAGAAGAAGAAAAAAAAAAAAAAAAAAAAGGAGTAGAAAAGAAAAATAGAATAATTAGAAAAGACCAGAATATAATAGAATAGAAAGAATATAGCCGTCTTCCAAAATCTGAATTTGGAATAGAAAAGAACCAGCTATTCTTCACAATGAATAACTTGGATCGATTTGATATTTTCGATTTCAATTCGATTTCAACTCCAGCACTTCAAATCCCTTGGAAAAACTTGAATCTAGTCAAAAACTAACAAACAAAATGAACTTTGGCCATGAATGCAACTAAACGTAATTAGTAACTTAACGAATCAGTCTGAAACTAAACAAAATGTTTCCGTTCTGCACATGTCCACCCTCTGTAGATGCATTGGGCCCCCAACGCCCCACAGCGTGCTGTAATGATGGTGTAAATGGGCCCTAAAAGCTCAGACTCCAGGACGGTCAGGTCCAGTGATATCAGCACCAGGATGACAGTACCTTTGAAAGCCACTCAGCAATGGAAGCCGCCCCCTCCCTTATTTCTACCCCCACAGGTTCACTTTACGAGATTTGCAGCTGCTGGCTGGAGCATGAAGAGCCACACTCTACTTGTCAGCGTACACACACCTCAATGCCATTTACCTGAAATAAACGTGCGACAGACAGAAGCATGATACCCGAGAGGAAACCATTGTACTGGAAGTGGATGTCTAACATGAAATTCAGGAAAGTGAACTGAATTACTGGGAAAACAAGTCATCTGCTTAGATTTTGCATTCCTGGATTCCTCATCTCCCCCAGCAACATGCTAATGAAATAAAACCTGTTTTCATTACATACCTTGTCATCACTGGGTCTCTGTGCTTCTCTATGCAATGCAAGTTCCAAGGAGCAGGGCCCTCCTAACCCTCTTGTATTGAACTGCATCGTCTCCCTTTATATTGTAAAGCGCTGAGCAAACTGAAAGCAATGAATGTCTTTTGGATTGAGTGGTGGTACTGCTAATTTTATCTATCTCTATATATATCTATCTATCTCTATATATCTATATCTATATCTACACACATATACATACAGTTGCAAGAAAAAGTATGTGAACCCCTTGGGATTACGTGGAGTTTTGCATGAATTGGGCATAAAATGTGCTCTGAATGTCATCTAGGTCACAACAATAGAAGAACACAGTCTGCTGAACATAATACTACACAAACATTAGATGTTGCCATGGTTTAATTGCACATAACATGTAAACATTCACAGTGCAGGGAGGAAAAAGTCTGTGAGGCCCTAGCTTAATGACTTCTGCCAGAGCTAATTGGAGCCAGGAGTGAGCCAACCTTGACTCCAATCAGTGTGATGATATTGGATGTGTTGCTGACAGCTGTCCTGCCCTTAAAAAACACACACCTGTTTTGGGTTTACTGGTTTCAAAAAGCACTGTCTGATGTGAACCATGCCTCGCAGAAAAGAGCTCTCAGAAGACCTACGATCAAGAATTGTTGACTTGCATGAAGCTGGAAAGGGTTACAAAAGTATCTCCAAAAGCCTTGATGTTCATGTGTCCATGGTAAGACAGACTGTCTACAAATGGAGAAAGTTTAGCACTGTTGCTACTCTCCCTAGGCGTGGTCGTCCTGTAAAAATGACTGCAAGAGCACAGCGCAGAATGCTGCATGAGGTAAAGAAGAATCCCAGAGTGTCAGCTAAAGACCTACAGAAATCTCTGGCACATGCTAACATTTTTGTTGACACATCTACAATAAGGAAAACATTAAACAAGAATGGAGTACATGGGAGGACACCACGGAGGAAGCCATTGCTGTCCAAAAAGAAGATTGCAGCACGTTTGAAGTTTGCAAAAGAGCACCTGGATGTTCCACAGCACTACTGGCAAAATATACTGTGGACAGAGGAAACCAAGATTGAGTTGTTTGGGAAGAACACACAACACTATGTGTGGAGAAAAAAAGGCACAGCACACCAACATCAAAACCTCATCCCCACTGTGAAACATGGCGGAGGGAGCATAATGGTTTGGGGCCGCTTTGCTGCCTCAGGGCCTGGACGGATTGTTGTCATTGATGGGAAAATGAATTCCAGAGTTTATCAAGACATTTTGCAGGAAAACGTACGACCATCTGTCCGCCAACTGAAGCTCTGCAGAGGATGGGTGATGCAACAAGACAATGACCCAAAGCATACAAGTAATTCAACAAAACAATGGCTGCAACAGCACAGAATACGCCTTCTGGAGTGGCCCAGCCAGAGTCCTGACCTCAACCCGATTGAAATGCTGTGGCATGACCTTAAGAGAGCGATTCACACCAGACATCCCAAGAATATTGCTACACTGAAACAGTTTCGTGAAGAGGAGTGGTCCAAAATGACTCCAGATCGTTGTGCAGGTCTGATCTGCAACTACAGGAAACGTTTGGTTGAGGTTATTGCTGCCAAAGGAGGGTCAACCAGTTATTAAGTCCAAAGGTTCACATACTTTTTCCTCCCTGCACTGTGAATGTTTACATGTTATGTGCAATTAAACCATGGCAACATCTGTTTGTGTAGTATTATGTTCAGCAGACTGTGTTCTATTGTGACTTAGATGACGTTCAAAGCACATTTTATGCCCAATTCATGCAAAACTCCACGTAATCCCAAGGGGTTCACATACTTTTTGTTTCAACTGTATATACATACACATATATATATATATACTATATAATTCCTGTATAATAATAACTATGCAGGCAGACCATGGCTGGTGGAAAAGGCCGGCAGGGTGTAGTACATAGCTTCCTGTGACCATCACAGCACCCTGCCTCAGTACTCCTCCATACAGCCCACAGCCCGGATGCAAGCAGTGGGAGGAGTTATGCAAATTTAAAAATGCTTCAATGGGTGGATGTCAGTGTGGAGGAGTATGCGTTCCTAGGTATGGGTAATGCTCAAGTAAGCTGCGTAGCCTGAAAGAACTGAATTGGATATACTATAATAATGAAATCTTACAATTGTAATAAGGGATGCACTGATACCCGTTTTTTTTTTTTTTTTTTTTATGGGGGAGTACAACTGCCGATACTTTCGGTCACGTACTCACCGATATCGATTACCGATACTTTGCAGTGCGATTTGTGTACATACAAAAATGTATGGACGCAAATTACACCACAAAGAATACCATGCGATTTGAACAGGAATGCGGTTCCGGTCCAAATCGCATGCGGTTTACCCACTGCTCCTGTGTGAACCCAGGTTTGTCATAGCTGGAAGTTACACAGGAGTGGCGCAGGGAGGTTTCCCACAGCAGGGAGTGGGAGAGTAGAAAGAAAAAAAAAAAAAAAGAAAAACGAAAGAAAAAAAAAAAAAAAAGAAAAAACGAAAGAAGAAAAAAAAAAAAGAAAAAACGAAAGAAAAAAAGAAAAAACGAAAGAAAAAAGAAAAAACGAAAGAAAAAAGAAAAAACGAAAGAAAAAAAAAAACGAAAGAAAAAAAGAAAAGAAAAAAAGAAAAAGAAAGAAAAAAGAAAGAGTAAAAAAAGAAAAGAAAAGAAAAAAAAAAGAAAGAAAAAAAAGAAAGAAGAAAAAAAAAAAAAAGAAAGAAAAAAAAAACACAAATGCACCAAATAAACAGAACGGTTATTTGGAAAGATCCTGGGTGTATCTTTTTCCATTCTGTAATGTAATAGTTATTGTTAATTTGGAACCACTGATCAATATTAGGATAGGATTTGACTGTCCAGGACACAGCAATAACAAAGGATCCGGAGGATGGAGATACAGCATGCAGCAGCGCATCCAACCTCCCCAGATGAGTCAAGTGATGTGAAGTCTGGCGGAAAGGAGGGGAGGTCGGGGACACGGGCTGCCTCTTCTAAAGCGGGGAACTGCTAATCACATCCCTTAATACAAAGGACAGGGCCTCTTTATGAAATAAGCCCAGTTGGTTGCAGCAATCCGTCACACACGGTGACAAAAGATCCACGGCGAAAACAATACCAGTGTTAAATGAAAAGGATACGGTCCACAATGAGCAATCCAAAATTCCACAGCAACAGGACGGAGAGGATAAAAGTCGGTCGCTCCAGGACATCTCTGCGATCCGTCTTCCCGTCTATGCTCCGACAGCACCTGGATCCACACAACAAAGTGATACGGCCGAACAGGCACCCTCATTGTACAAATGTATTCACACAGCAGGTAAAAAGGGGATTTCTACCAAAAACTAAATATTTCAAACTTAGGTGGACATTCGTATATCTCAAGGTAACACCCCGATTCCAGGAAACAATGCAGCTATGGTGATATCAAAAAAGATTGCAGTACTGACTCTAAAAGGGATATAAAACCCAAAAAACAAAAATGGAATACATTACAGTTTACCAATCCTTAAAAGTTACATAGTTCGTCTGTCTGAATAAAGACAAAAGTCCATCCAGTTCATCCATTAAAAATAAATAAATGTTTTTTTTCAGCTTAATTGCTTTTGCTGTGTCTTATCTCTTTTTTGTTTTTTTTTTTGTTTTTGGTTTTTTTTTTCCCCATCTCTTCTAACATTCTGCTAAATCTTTGTTTCAGTACTGCTTGGACCTGAAGAAGGGGACATTCCCCGAAAGCTTGTCCTCAAAATTATATGTTAGTGCAAATAAAAAAAGTATCACGGACAGTACTCAATTGTTCCTGTCACAAGGGATGAACACCATCTCTTAGGATAGCATGGGCAGTGACAGGTGCTCTTCATGAGGAGATCTATTGATGTCTCCTCTGGCCTTGAAAGCATCTGATCAAACCAAGATCCTATACCCACAGTTGATCCAGAGGAAGGCAAAAAAAACCTGCAGGGAAAACCGGATCCCCCGAGAGCAATCAGATATTCCCTGGATCAACTCTACCTGTAAATGTTATATCCAGTTATATTCTGTGTATCCAAGAAGGAATCCAGGACTTGAACCACTTCCAGACCGGACACTTTCACCCCCTTCCTGTCCAGGCCAATTTTCAGCTTTCAGCGCTGTCACACTTTGAATGACAATTGCGCGTTCATGCAACACTGTACTCATATGAATTTAGCATTTTTTTGAGACAGATAAAGCTTTATTTTGGTGGTATTTATTCACCACTGGGATTTTTTTTTTTTTTTTTTGCTATGTAAAATGAAAAAGTCCAAAATTTTGAAAAAAAAATTGTTTTTCTTATAAAATTTTGCAAATATTTCATCATAAATCTTGGCCAAATTTTATTCCGTTATCTTTTTAGTAAAAAAAAAAAAAAAATTAGTTTATAACCAAAAATTATAATTTTGAAACTTTTTTTTAATTTTATTTTTTATATTTATTTTTTTTTATATACTGTCACCCTAGCAGTACAGTGTCACCATGGTGACACTGTACTACTTGGGGGAGGTGATGAAGATTTTTTTTTCTTTACACGGATTGCTTTTACACCCATAAAGGCTGTAAAAGCAATCATTTCTCCTCTCTGGCTGCATTCTTGCAGCCATTGAGAACTACTGTGTGATTTGTGATTGGTCACAGCTTGTCACATGGTACAAGGCTGTTGTGAATGGCCTTGTACCTTGTGACCTCTGTGATCATTCACAGATTTCACACGTAGTAAGCAATGATGTCAGAAGTGACATCTTGCTTACTACTCTGCATGTGATCACTGATTGGCCAATCAGTGATCACATGATCAGGACCTCACACAGAGGTCACGTCCGACGATCAGTGTTCCACTGTGTCCAGAGGACACAGCGGGCACCGGATCGCAGTGCTGCGTGCTCCCAGGGAGCGCGCACAAGCAAGGGGCGGGGAGGCCATTTATAAACGGCCACCCGACCCTGCAATGCCACCGTCCGGCCGTTTATATACAACGACCGGAGGGAGATGGTTAAGGAAACTTTGTTGCAGAATCCTACCCCTTTATGCTCTGGAAAAAAAAAAGCTCCTTGTTGTCTACAGAATGAATCTGAATAGGAGTGACTTTCCTTTAATAAAGCAGCTGATGCACTCTCTGTTACAAAATGAGGAAAGTTGCAGTGTCAGCATCCTTTTACTCTTTTGGGGGTATTTCAGCAAAAATTATATTTTTTTTATACTGCAGAGGATGCCTAAAATCTGACTTATCTTAAAGCAAGACTTTACTCTCTCAATCAACTTTGACTATTTTTAATCCTCATGCTGCTAATGTTAGCAAATGGATAGGGGGGTATATTTACTTGTTTTAAACTTTTATTTTACATTTCTTCAGTTACGTCCTGGTTTCCAGGCCTAGGCCAACTGATCTCGTACATTCCAGGAGTCTTCAGGAGTGGAGGAGGGGTTTTCTCAGCTAAGCACACCCTCCTGCCTGAGCTAAGGACAGGTGGATTCTAGGAAGTCAATTCTAAATGAATAATCTGCCCTTATTCAAGATGGCCGCGGCTAGAATTCTAGGAGGTGTTTTTCAAAGTGAGTTCTCACCAAAACACAGCATGAAGATTGTAAGCTCCAAGGATCAGGGCCCTCCTAACCCTCTTGTTTTGAACTGTATTGTCTCCCTTTATATTGTAAAGCGCTGAGCAAACTGTTGGCGCTATATAAATCCTGTATAATAATAATAATAATAATAATAAAGACATGGATGGATGGGAGTCTGCATTGAATATTAAAAATGAATTAAAGTGGTCCTCAAGGAATTTTTACCTTCATGCACTCTATGCGTGAAGGTAAAAAACCTTTTGTTTGCAGCATGCCCCCCCCCCCCCCCCCCCCCCCAGCCTCCCCTAATACTCACCTAAGCCCCCTCTCCATCCAGAGATGTGTACTGGAGTCTCAGCTATCCCGGGACTCCCTCTTCTTATAGGCTTAGGCAGAAGTGGGAGTCATTGGCTCCCACTGCTGTCAATCACAGGTCAGTGAGCCAATGAGGAGAGAGGGGGCAAGGCCAAGCCACGGCTCCGTGCAGTGGGTGCCCCCATAGCACACTTCACCCAGAAAATTGTTGCAATTACAAATGTTTCAGCATTCTCATGTTTGTTTCTTTTGTTTGTATTGGTATGACACAAGAAGTGGAGAACCAAAAAGCCAAATCTGACACATTCCACTCAAAACTCCAAAAATGGACTGGACAAAATAATGGCTCTCTCAAAATTGTAAGATATAATTGCATTCCAAGTTTGTGATGTTCCTGTCAATTGTAATTAAACTCACCTGTATCAATTAACAGGAGCTGACAATATATAAATCACACCGACAACTAGTTAAATCGGTGAAAAATTGACTCAACCTTTCTGTTGTGTGTCTGTGTGGCATATGGAGCGTGGAGAAGATAAAAGAGCAACAAAGAAGAGGATATGAGAACAAAAATTGTGGAAAAGCATGGACAATCTCAAGGTTACAAGTCCATCTCCAGAGATCTTAATGTTCCTGCGTCCACTGTGTGCAACAATGTCAAGAAGTTTACGATCAAAAATTGCAACAAAGGATTGTTGGAATGGTGGATAAAGAACCTCAATCAACTTCCAGACAAATTCAAGCTGACCTCCAGGCACAGGGTACAACTCTGTCAGCTCGCACTATACGTCGCCATCTGAATGAAATTGACTTAACCTTTCTGTTGTGTGTCTCTGTGTGCCACATGGAGCATGGAGAAGAAAAAGAGCAGCAAAGAATTGTCTGAGACTTTGAGAACAAAAATTGTGGAAAAGCATGGACAATCTCAAGGTTGCAAGTCCATCTCCGGAGACCTTAATGTTCCTGTGTCCACTGTGCGCAACAATGTCAAGAAGTTTACAGCCCGTGGCACTGTAGCTAATCTCCCTGGATGTGGTGGATGAAAGAGGAAAACTTGATCAAAAATTGCAAGGAAGGATTGTTTCAATGGGGGATAAAGGACTTTGATCAACTTTCAGACAAATTCAAGCTGACCTCCAGGCACAGGGTACAACTGTGTCCACTCGCACTATACATCGCCATCTGGATGAAATTGACTCAACCTTTCTGTTGTGTGCCTCTGTGTACCACATGGAGCATGGAGAAGAAAAAGAGCAGCAAAGAATTGTCTGAGAATTTGAGAACAAAAATTGTGGAAAAGCATGGACAATCTCCAGGTTACAAATCCATCTCCAGAGATCTTAATGTTCCTGTGTCCACTGTGCGCAACAATGTCAAAAAGTTTACAGCCCATGTCACTGTAGCTAATCTCCCTGGATAGGAACGAACATGTGCTGACAATATAGAAATCACACCAGCAACCATTAAAATGGTGAAGAATTGACTCAACCCATTTTGTGTCTTTGTGTGCCCCATGGAGCATGGAGAAGAGAAAGAGCAGCAAAGAATTGTCTGAGAATTTGAGAACAAAAAAAATTGTAGAAAAGCATGGACAATCTCAAGATTACAAGTTCATCTCCAGAGACCTTAATGTTCCTGTGTCCACTGTGCGCAACATTGTCAAGAAGTTTACAGCCCATGGCATTGTAGCTAATCTCCCTGGATGTGGATGAAAGAGGAAAAATGATAAAAAATTGCAAGGAAGGATTGTTTGAACGGGGGATAAAGGACTTCGATCAACTTCCAGACAAATTCAAGCTGACCTTCAGGCACAGGGTACAACTGTGTCCGCTCGCACTATACGTCACCATCTGGATGAAAATGACTCAACCTTTCTGTTGTGTGTCTCTGTGTACCACATGGAGCATGGAGAAGAAAAAGAGCAGCAAAGAATTGTCTGAGAATTTGAGAACAAAAATTGTGGAAAAGCATGGAAAATCTCCAGGTTACAAATCCATCTCCAGAGATCTTAATGTTCCTGTGTCCACTGTGCGCAACAATGTCAAGAAGTTTACAGCCCATGGCACTGTAGCTAATCTCCATGGATGTGAACGAAAGAGAAAAACATGATCAACAATTGCAACGAAGGATTGTTGGAATGGTGGATAAAGGACCTCGATCAACTTCCAGACAAATTCAAGCTGACCTTCAGGCACAGGGTACAACAGTGTCCGCTCGCACTATACGTCACCATCTGGATGAAATTGACTCAACCTTTCTGTTGTGTATCTCTGTGTGCCACATGGAGCATGGAGAAGAGAAAGAGCAGCAAAGAATTGTCTGAGAATTTGAGAACAAAAAATTGTAGAAAAGCATGGACAATCTCAAGGTTACAAGTCCATCTCCAGAGATCTTAATGTTCCTGTGTCCACTGTGCGCAACATTGTCAAGAAGTTTACAGCCCATGGCACTGTAGCTAATCTCAATGTGTGCTAAACCCCTGTTTTGTAACGCATATTGTTAGACCGGTTAATTTGGTTTGTTTGCAGGCTGGCTGGCAAGTTAGAGCTGAGAATTTTTCTTGTTTGACATGCGTCACCCTTCCATGTGCTCCTTGCTGTGAAGGCCAGTTATAGACTGGGGCAGTGGCCATGTTTTGTACTGTAGCTAATCTCCCTGGACGTGGACGAAAGAGAAAAACTTGATCAAAGATTGCAAGGAAGGATTGTTGGAATGGTGGCTAAGGAACCTCTATCAACTTCCAGAAAAATTCAAGCTGACCTTCAGGCACAGGGTACAACTGTGTCAGCTCTCACTATACGTCACCATCTGAATGAAAAGGGACGCTAGGGTAGGTGACCCAGGAGGACCCCACTGCTGACACAGAAACATAAAAAGCCAGATTGGAGTTTGCCAAAAAAAAACTTACCTGAGGAAGCCAAAGTCCTTTTGGGAGAACGTGCTTTGGACAGATGAAAATAACAGCTATTTAATAAAGCCCATTATTCTGTTGAGGCCTTTAAAGAAAAGAATCCAGTCCCTACAGTCACATATGGTGGAGGTTCCCTGAAGTTTTGGGGTTGCTTTGCTGCTTCAGGCACTGGATGTCTTGATGGTGTGCATGGCATTATGAAACCTGAAGACTACCAAAGAATTCTGGGGTGCAATGTAGGGCCCAGAGTCGGGAAGTTGGGTCTCCATCAGAGGTCTTGGGTCATACAGCAGGACAATGACCCAAAGCACAAGTCAAAAAGCCCCCAGAAATATTTTCAGAGAAAGCGCTGGAGAGTATTGAACTGGCCAGCAATGAGTCCAGATCTCAATCCAATAGATCTCCTGTAGAGAGATCTCAAAACAGGAGTTGGGAAAAGGAACCCTTCCAATCTGAAGGACCTGGAGCAGTTGGTGAAAGAAGTGGTCCAAAATTCCAGTAGAGGGGTGTAAGAAACTCATTGATGGGTACAGGAAACCATTGACTTGTTATTTTTTCCAAGGGGTGTGCTACCAAATGATAACCACTTGCCTACAGGGCACTTATACTCCCTTCCTGCCCAGGCCAATTTTCAGCTTTCAGCGCTGTTGCACTTTGAATGACAATAGCGCGGTCATGCAACACTGTACCCATATTGAAATTTTTATCATTTTTTTTTTCACACAAATAGGAGCTTTCTTTTGGTGGTATGTAATCACCACTGGGGTGTTTTATTTGTTGCGCTATAAACAAAAAAAGAGCAAAAAATGTGAAAAAAAAAAAAGTTTTTCTTTGTATCTATTATAAAATTTTGCAAACAGGTAATTTTTTTCCTTCACTGATGCACATTGATGAGGCTGCGCTGATAGGTGGCACTGATGGGCACTGATAGGCAGCAATGAGCGGCACTGCTGGGAAGCACTGATGGGCTTGAAAAAAAAAAAAAAAATAAGTTTTTGTTTCTATTATAAAATTTTGCAAACAGGTAATTCTTCTCCTTCATTGATGTGCATTGATGAGGCTGCACGGATATGGGCACTAATGATGCTGCACGGATAGGCAGCACTGATGATGCTGCACTGATAGGCAGCACTGATGATGCTGCACGGATAGGCAGCACTGATGATGGCACGGATAGGCAGATGATGATGCTACACGGATAGGCAGCACTGATGATGCTGCACGGATAGGCAGCACTGATGATGCTGCACGGATAGGCAGCACTGATGATGCTGCACGGATAGGCAGCACTGATGGGCACTGATGATGCTGCACGGAATAGGCGGCACTGATGGGCACTGATGATGCTGCACGGATAGGCAGCACTGATGGGCACTGATAGGCAGCACTGATGATGAGGCTGCACGGATAGGCAGCACTGATGGGCACTGGTGATGCTGCACGGATAGGCGGCACTGATGAGGCTGCACAGATAGGCAGCACTGATTATTATTATTTATTATTATTATTACTACGAGTTTATATAGCGCCAAAGGGTTTGCTCAGCGCTGTACAATAGGGGGGACAATACATGGCACAGTACAACAACAACAAACAACGTACGAGGGGTAAGAGGGCCCTACTTACGAGCTTACAATAGGAGGGAGGGGGTAAAGGTACAGTAGGATGAGTGGCTGAGGGGGATGATGAAGTGGTGGGAGGAATGAGGGAGGATGGCCGTTAGGCAGGGTGGGGTAGGCTTCCCTGAAGAGATGGGTTTTTGAGGGAGCGCACTGAATGTGAATAGGGAAGGAGACAGTCTGATGGATGGGCAGTGAGTTCCAGAGGATGGGGGAGGACCTGGAGAAGCCCTGCAGTCGTGCATGGGAGGAGGAGACCAGGGAGCAGGATAGAAGGCAGAGGAGCTGAGGGTGGCACTGATGATGCTGCACGGATAGGCAGCACTGATGGGCACTGATGATGCTGCACGGATAGGCAGCACTGATGGACACTGATGATGCTGCACGGATAGGCAGCACTGATGGACGACACTAATGATGCTGCACTGATATGCAGCAATGATGGGCACTGCCTGCTGGCACCGCTGGGCATTGACTGGTTGCACTGCTGGGCACAGGTGGGTGGCACTGCTGGGCACTGATCATCAGTGCCGATCTCTTCTCTGACAATTGCTGGTTATCTGTAGTACTTTCCTCACGCTGTGACAGTGTGAGGAAAGTGCAGCTGATAACCGGCAACTGTATTTACCTGGTGACTTGCTGAGTCATTGAATACAGCTGATCACGTGGTAAAAAGACCGCTGTGATTGGCCGTTTACCACATCACGTGATCAGCTGTGTCCTTAGAACACAGCGATAACGGAGATTGCTGGGGGCGCGAGGGAGGACGTCATATGACGCCCTCCCAGAAATGGACAACCGCGCTGTAGCCATCGTTCAGCTATAGCGCAGTTGGAAAGTGGTTAAATTGAGGGTGCCAGTAATTTTGTCCAGTCCACTTTTGGGGGTTTTGGGTGGAATGTGTCAGATTTGGCTTTTTGTTTCTCCACTTTTTTTGTGCCACACCAACACAAACAAAAGAAATAAACACGAGAATGCCTAAAAATTTGTAATTGCAACAATTTTCAGGGCGAAGTGGTGCGTTATCTGACATAAATGCCGGGGTGCCAGTATTTTTGGCCATGATGTTCAGCAAACAATATCCATACCTGGAGTTCAGTACAGACGGATGAGGTATCGGGGCGTACCAGGGGTGGACTGACAACTCATGGGGCCCCCGGGCAATAGGGGATCATGGGGCCCCTGTGTCCTTGCCCACACTCAAAACGCCTATGAAAAAAGGTACCAGGGGCATCTCATGGGGCCCCCTACTGACCCCGAGCCCTCGGGCAATGCCCGAGTTTCCAAATGGTCAGTCCACCCCTGGGGCATACTTACTGTTTGGCAGCATATATAAAGAGGAGATCAGTGAGGATTACGGAGAGTCTCTGGAACAGGATGGTTTCCTGGCTGGCATAGTTGAGGTTTTCCACTTTCAGCATTTCCGGGTCAAAGAGCCGGGCGACATATGACAGGCCGTACTCAAACCAGGCGAAAAAGGGAGGGTAGTCCAATGTCCATTCAGAGGTTGCCTATGAAATGGGTACAACATTGCATTAGTTATCTCCAGATTTTATTTGATTTGCTTTTGAATAACCTGGCCCAGCTATCCTAAAAATGCAGCTTTCGCTGCAATATCGCCCTCTTCTCCAGTGTTGTCCCCTGCAGGCACTTCACTCCACTGCCAGTCCTCTTCTTTCAATGACAGCTACTGTCATTCCAGCCACTTCCTGTATACCCAGGCTGTCATGGACACACCCCTCCAGGGTGCACCATCATGTCAGCCTGGACTGTACAACACTGCAGAGAGATACATAGACCTGTCAGTGTCAGTCTCTGCATGACTGGAGAGCGCCCAGTGCCGTTGAAGATGAAATAGACACCAGGACATCACGTGCCCAGCTTGAAGACCCTTGGAAATAAGGCCTCTATAATGCAAACAAAAAATAAATAAAAAAGGAAGGGGATGCATGGGGAGGACAAGGGGAAGGGTATTAACCACTTAAAGTCCAGGCACTTTCACCCCCTTCCAGTCCAGGCCAATTTTCAGCTTTCAGCGCTGTCACACTTTGAATGACAATTGCACGGTCATGCAACACTGTACCCATACGAATTTTTCAGTATTTTTTTTTGAGACAGATAAAACTTTATTTTGGTGGTATTTATGCACCACTGGGATTTTATTTTTTTGCTATATAAATGAAAGTCCACAAATTTTGGGAGAAAAAAAAAAAAAAAAAAGGGTTTCTTATAAAATTTTGCAAATAAATAATCTTTCTTCATAAATCTTGGCCAAAAATGTATTCATCTATCTTTTTAGTAAAAAAAAAAAAAAAAAAAAAAAAAAAAAGTATAACCAAAAAAAAAAAACATTTTTATTTTTTTTATAATTTGTTTAGTGTCACTCTAGCAGTACAAACCCTTATAAAAAAATAAATATCTTTTTTTCTTGGCCAAAAATATTCATTTTTTTTTACATTTTTAACCAAAAATTATTTTTTCAAATATTATTATTTTTGTTTTTTTATTTATTATTTGTTTGTTTTTTAAATACTGTCACTCTAGCAGTACAATGTCACCATAGTTTTTCTTATAAAATTTTGCAAATAATCTTTCTTCATAAATCTTGGCCAAAATTTATTCAGCAATCTTTGTAGTAAAAAAAAAAAAATAAAATAAAAAAAATAACCCAAATTAATTTATAACCAAAAATTATAATTTTTCCAAATTTTTTTTTTTACATTATATTTTTTTAAATTCTTATTTATTTTTGTTTAACATACTGTCACCCTAGCAGTACAATGTCACCATAGTGACTACTACTGTACTACTTGTGGGGGGGGTGATGAAGATTTTTTTTTTTCTTTTTTTACACCGATTGCTTTTACACCCAATAAAGGCTGTAAAAGCAATCATTTCTCCTCTCTGGCTGCATTCCTGCAGCCATTGAGAAATACTGTGTGAACTGTGATTGGTCACAGCTTGTAGCATGGTACAAGGCTGTTGTGAATAGCCCGGTACCATGTGATCTCTGTGATCATTCACATATTTCACAAGTAGAAAGCAATGATGTCAGAAGTGACATCTTGCTTACTACTATTCATATGATCACTGATTGGCCAATCAGTGATCACATGATCAGGACCTCACACAGAGATCCCGTACAGCGATCTGTGTTCCGCTGTGTCCGGAAGACACAGAGGGCACCGATCGCGGTGCCGCGTGCTCCCAGGCAATGGTTGGGGGGGGGACGTTTAGAAACGTCCACCCGCATCGGCAGCGCTCCTGTCCGGCCGTTTATCGACATGGGCCGGACGGGAAGAGGTTAAAGAAAACAATCCCGACCCACTAAAATGCCAAGAAATTGTATCTCATGCAATTTGTTGCATTGTGTGTAATGTAAAATATATAAAAAAAATCCAACAAAAAGGGAGTGCCTCACAATGCACACAGCCATAGCCTAGAGCCAGATCGGTCACAAGGAAACCTAGGCAGGAGCTTAGGACCCGGTAGGTGTCTGGAGGGCCCACTTATAGTTCTGCATTAAACCAAGGAGATAACCCAATTGGTCAAAGCCGGCACCTGCCTATATCTTCCTATGGGAGGATGTACTAGATGTCTAGGTGGTGTCTACAGGGCCATTCAAAGGGGCCATCTTTTTTTCAATGTCCATCAAAGGGACGGGGGTGGGGCTGTACCTTCTACAACAGGGGGTCATCATACTTTCTAAACGAAGGGCCAGTTGACTGTCCTTCAGACTTCAGGGGGGGGCCACTGGGTGTAGAAATTTTACTGGGTCGTTGGTTGGGAGTAAACTGTGCATCTTTGGCATCAGGGGGAAGAATAGTGCACCATTGTTGGTGTCAATGGGAGAAATCATGCCCATATGTCAGTAACAGGAATTATGCCCCTTTGTTGGTGTTGGTGGGAGGAATGGTGTCCGGCATCATTGGCGAGGTAAAAGTGATCCAAGGGCCAGATAAAAGCAAGTAAAGGGCCACATTCGATCCCCAGGCCGCAGTTTGGAGGCCACTGCTCTAGAAGCTGGAAATCATTGTAGGAGGCACAGCTACACCAGTGATCTCCACTTGCTGCTGAGTCCCAAGCACAGCGGAAATCATGCCCAAATGTCAGTAACAGAAATTATGCCCCTTTGTTGGTGTTGGTGGGAGGAATGGTGTCCGGCATCATTGGCGAGGTAAAAGTGATCCAAGGGCTGGATAAAAGCAAGCAAAGGGCCACATTCAACCCCCAGGCCGCAGTTTGGAGACCACTGCTCTAGAAGCTGGAAATCATTGTAGGAGGCACAGCTACACCAGTGATCTCCACTTGCTGCTGAGTCCCATGCAGAGAGGCGCATGCACCGTTCAGAGATTTTTTCAGTGAATGCGAAGCATTCTCTGATTGGATGAGGTGGAGAGGCGGACAGTTACATCATGATCTCCACCTCATTCAATAAGAAAACGTTTTGCTTTCACTGAGAGAATGAAAAAGCGTTCTCTGAAGGGCGCCCGTGCCTATTTATACACTGACACTAATTGCAATTTAAAAAGCCACAGATGTGGGACATTACCTCTAATTGGCATTGTAACCCGTATGTGTCACCTTGTGTGTCTGTACCAAGGCCAAACATTCCAGGGGGCGGAGACTTCTGATCCGGGGGGCGGAGACTTCTGATTCGGGCCATTTGGGTGATTTCTGTTATCATTATGATTTAAAAAGGAGCCAAAACAACTATTTGATAATAAATGGCTTCATATGATCATCATCCTTCAATAAAAGAGCATTTTGTGGCATGATCAGTTTCATATTTTCAATATCAATGCCAGAATGTAACGATTTCTGCCAGGGGGTTCAAACTTTTGAGCACAACTGTATATGTAGTTCAGTGTGTGTATGTGTGTTGGGTAGGGGAGGACAGTATGTGTGTGAGTTCAGTGTGTGTATGTGTGGGGTGGGTAGGGGAGGACATGTATGTGTCATATATGTGAGTTCAGTGTGTGTATGTGTGGGGTGGGTAGGGGAGGACATGTATGTGTCATATATGTGAGTTCAGTGTGTTTATGGGGTGTCATGTATGTGTCATATATGTGAGTTCAGTGTGTGTATGTGTGGGTGGGTAGGGGAGGACATGTATGTGTCATATATGTGAGTTCAGTGTGTGTATGTGTGGGGTGGGTAGGGGAGGACATGTATGTGTCATATATGTGAGTTCAGTGTGTGTATGTGTGGGTGGGTAAGGGGGAGGACATGTATGTGTCATATATGTGAGTTCAGTGTGTGTATGTGTGGGATGGGTAGGGGAGGACATGTATGTGTCATATATGTGAGTTCAGTGTGTGTATGTGTGGGATGGGTAGGGGAGGACATGTATGTGTCATATATGTGAGTTCAGTGTGTGTATGTGTGGGGTGGGTAGGGGAGGACATGTATGTGTCATATATGTGAGTTCAGCGTTGTGTGTATGTGTGGGACGATGGGGTAGGGAGGACATGTATGTGTCATATATGTGAGTTCAGCGTGTGTATGTGTGGGACAGGTAGGGGAGGACATGTATGTGTCATATATGTGAGTTCAGTGTGTGTATGTGTGTGGGTGGGTAGGGGAGGACATGTATGTGTCATATATGTGAGTTCAGTGTGTGTATGTGTGGGGTGGGTAGGGGGGACATGTATGCAGTGAGGTACTTGTTGTACTCCATGGGTAGGGGAGGCATGTATGTGTTATCCGTTTCAGTGTGTGTATGTGTGGGATGGGTAGGGGATGGACATGTATGTGTCATATTGTGAGATCAGTGTGCCATGTGTGGGATGCAGGGAGGACATGTATGTGTCATATATTGAGTTCAGTGTGTGTATGTGTGGGGTGGGGTCTGTATGTGTCATATCTGTGAGTTCAGCTTTGAGCAACCGGATTACAAAGTTGGTTTACATAGAGACCCCCCCGAGGTACGAGGCTTCTCTGGCACCTACCTCATAGTACCAGCGGGAGACGGGCAGACTGTGAGTGATGGCCAACCAGTTCCGATGAACTTCAAAGTCCGTGGAATGACTGCAGGAGACAAAAGAGACAATTACATGTCTGCTGGCTGAACCATTGTAGATCCACCCTCTTCTGAGCCTATACACCTGTACAGGGACTCTCAGATACCAGCAACTACCCGCTTTAAGTAATGAGACCTTATCACTGCAATGTATGCTGGGACTTGTAGTTCGGATTACCCTCCGACTTATCACTGCAATGTATGCTGGGACTTGTAGTTCGGATACCCCCGACTTATCACTGCAATGCATGCTGGGACTTGTAGTCCCGATTACCCTCCTACTTAGCAATTTATGCTGGGACTTATAGTCCTGAATACCCTCCTACTTAGCAATGCATGCTGGGACTTGTAGTCCTACAATACCCTCCTACTTAGCAATGCATGCTGGGACTTGTAGTCCTACAATAACCTCCTACCTAGCAATGCATGCTGGGACTTGTAGTCCTACAATAACCTCCTACCTAACAATGCATGCTGGGACTTGTACTCCTACAATAACCTCCTACCTAGCAATGCATGCTGGGACTTGTAGTCCCGAATACCCTCCTACTTAGCAATGCATGCTGGGACTTGTAGTCCGAATACCCTCCTACTTAGCAATGCATGCTGGGACTTGTAGTCCTACAATAACCTCCTACCTAGCAATGCATGCTGGGACTTGTAGTCCTGAATACCCTCCTACTTAGCAATGCATGCTGGGACTTGTAGTCCTACAATAACCTCCTACCTAGCAATGCATGCTGGCACTCATAGTCCCACACTAGCCTCCACTTAGGAATGCATGCTGGGACCTGTAGTTCTACAATAGCCTTCAACTTAGCAATGCATGCTGGGACCAGTAGTCTTGAATACCCTTCTACATAAGAATGCATGCTGGGACCTGTAGTCCTACAATCACCTCCTACTTCACAAAGCATGCTGGGACTTGTAGTTCTACAATACCCTCCCTCCCTCTGCCAGCTCTCCCACATGGTGTTCCTTCCATTGAAGCAATCCTCCTCGGCTCTTACTACGTCGGTATGAGCAGGCATTTCATCAGGGACACCCCCACAGCCAGGGTGACAAACCAGCCTCCGTCCCCGGATTGCCGGGTCCCCCTATCCATGCTTCCCCCTCTGGAGGCCGCCATCTTGCTGCACCCGGAACTGCCGGGCAGTGACAGTCAGAGACGCTACGTGCGGGCGTGGCCTCCCGCAGCTTGAAACAGCTGTGCCTGTCCATATTGGGCGGAGCGTGAAGAGAACCTGTCACCCATTGGAGGGTCATGGTACATGACGTCATGTCTTATTTCATGTGTTACTAGCTCATGTTATCTCCATTGTTACACCAGAGCAGTGCTGCCCTCTGTATTGTCGGAGATCAGGCCGTGTCACGTGGGGTGGAATGATATACTATGTCACATGACTCTGGGTGTATTGTCTGGGGTGTGTGGCGGGGGTCAGCCACCAGTAGATGGCGGTGCGGGCTGGCTGTGCCGCCATGGCAGGGACTACTTGTAGATTCAGGGCTGCAGTACGGAGCGAGAGCCGGATAAGCCTCTGGGTGCGCTTAGTCATAGACTTCTATTATATCCGCATTCAGAAAGTGCGCCACACCTGCAGGATAGAATAGATGTCTATTGCGACACACTGCGAACCCTCAGGACGGTTAGACCGCAGCAGATCGGTGTGAAAGCAGCCTTATAGGGGGCTCAGGACAGTAAGGGTTCACTTAAATTTGTATTTAGGGGGGTGGTAAAACCCCAAAGTTAAGACCAGGGCTGTTTTTCAGTGGGAATGCAGTTCTGGCACCTCTAGCACTAACGGCAGCACAGTGGCAAAATGGTTAGCACTTCCGCCGCCTGGCAGTACTCGGGTCATTGGTTCAAATCCCAACCACGGCACCACCTGCCTGGAGTTTGCATGTGCTCTCTGTGCCTGTGTGGGTTTCCTCTGGGTACTCTGGTTTCCTTCCACACTCCAAAGACATGCTGGTAGGTTAATTGGCTCTTGTCTAAATTGGCCCTAGTATGTGAATGTGAGTTATGCAGGCCATAGATGGGTTGAAAATCAGCCAATTTGTCGGCCGAAAAAAAAAAATATGCCGATGTTCGCACCGTTAGTGGGTTTATTGGTCGGCCGTTTTTTCGGGATTTTGAAACTTTTTTATCGGTGAAGTTGGAAAAAAATTGGCCGATTTTGCTGATCGGCCGATTTTCCCGGCAATCATGGGCAAATCGGCCGATCTTTTTACCAATAAAAAATCTGCGCATGAGCCGTGACCTGCAAGAAGAAAAAAAAAAGAAGAAAAAGAATTCCAGTCCGCTATTATATTTGACATGAAAAGGTATTGCGGTTGCAACAATGTATCTATTTGTATCCGAATAAAAACATCTGTATCCGAAATGGATACAAATAGATACATTGTTGCAACAGCAATACCTTTTCATGTCAAATATAATAGCGGAGCTCTTTGCAGGGACAGAAGTAATTAAATGCCGGCCGTAGACGGGACGAAAATTGGCCGATTTTTTTTAACCATTGGTGGTAACGTTGGCCTAATGAACGATCGTTTTTTTTTTTTTTTTTTTTTTAAACGGCCGGTTTTCGACCCGTCTATGGCCTGCATTAGGGACCTTAGATTTTACACCCCTTTGAGGGTTAGGGACTGATGCGAATGTACAATATATATGTGTAAAGCGCTGCGCAAATTGATGGCACTATATAAGTTCCATAAATAAATGTATGTAATGGCAAGGGGTGCTGGAGGGTCTATTGATGCTGGCTGCTGGGCCATCTATTGTTGCTGGAGGGGATCTCTTCTTTAAGTGGGGTCTATTGTTTCTGTTGGGGGTCTATTATTGCTGGGGCGGTTATTGTTGTAGATGGGATCTATTGTTGCTGGAGGGGGTCTATTGTTGCTGGGGCAGCTACTGTTGTAGATGGGATCTATCATTGCTGGAGGGGTCTTTTATTGCTGGGCAGTGTCTATTGTTGCTGGGGGCGGCTGTTGCTGTAGAGGGGATCTACTGTTGCTAGAGGGGGGTCTATGGTTGCCGGTGGGGAATCTATTGTTGCTGGGAGAGATTTACTGTTAAGGGAGATGTCTATTGATGATGGTTGCTGGGAGATTTGTTGTTGCTGTTGGGGGTCTATTATTGCGTGGGTGGTTATTGTTGTAGAGGGGATCTATTGTTGAAGGAGGGGGTCTATTGTTGCTGGGGCCGGCTACTGTTGTAGAGGGGACCTATTGTCGCTGGAGGGGGTCTGTTGTTGCTGGGCAGTGTCTATTGTTGCTGGGGGAGGCTATTTATGTAAAGGGGATCTATTGTTGCTAGAGGGGGTCTATTGTTGCTGGTGGGGAATCTATTGTTGCTGGGAGAGATTTACTGTTAAGGGAGAGGTCTATTGATGATGGTTGCTGGGAGATCTGTTGTTGCTGCTGGGGTTTATTATTGCTGGGGCAGTATTTTGTTATGGGGGGTCCAATGTTGCTGGGGGAAGGCGGCTATTGTTGTAGAGGGGTTCTGTTGTTGCTGGAGGGGGTGTATTGTTGTGGGGCAACATTTGTTGTAGAGGGGATCTATTGTTGCTTGAGGGGTATATTGTTGTGGGGGGAACTATTGTTGCTGGAGGGTCTATTGTTTTTGGCTAAAGGGGATCTACTTATCTTGTCGTCATTAACAAATTCTATACAAATTACTTATCACCACAAAAAGGGGTGTTACTGGCAGGTGGGTAGGGGGTGGATCCAAGGGACGGTGCTCGGAGGTGGGTAGAGGGTGGATCCAAGGGACGGTACTAGCAGGTGGGTATGGGGTGGATCCAAGGGACGGTGCTCAGAGGCGGGTAGGGGGTGGATCCAAGGGACGGTACTGGCAGAGGTGGGTAGGGGGTGGATCCAAGGGACGGTGCTCAGAGGTGGGTAGGGGGTGGATCCAAGGGACGGTGCTCAGAGGTGGGTAGGGGGTGGATCCAAGGGACAGTGCTCAGAGGTGGGTAGGGGGTGGATCCAAGGGACGGTACTGGCAGGTGGGTAGGGGGTGGATCCAAGGGACGGTGCTCAGAGGCGGATAGGGGGTGGATCCAAGGGACGGTGCTCGGAGGTGGGTAGGGGGGTGGATCCAAGAGACGGTGCTCGGAGGTAGGTAGGGGGTGGATCCAAGAGACGGTGCTCGGAGGTGGGTAGGGGTTGGATCCAAGAGACGGTGCTCGGAGGTGGGTAGAGGGCGGATCGAAGTGGTGATTCAGAAAGGGGGAGTTTTTCACCTATTCTCTGAGGAAAAAAAATCCCTGGTTAAGACATGTTTTTACCACCCCCACCCAACCATGCCCCCTTTAGCTGCATTGCGACATACACATGGAGGAGTGATACACCTTGTCATGGTTGGTGGGTGTAGCACCTGCCAAGCTTGACCCATTTGAGTGAATGAGGCCGCTCCACCAGTGCCCTGCAGCCTTGTGCCGTACAGCAAACAAGGGGTTACAGCAGGCAGCACCTGCTTTTGGCCCTTGTACCCCGCAGAAGCATATGGGGCGCTTGCAGATTGGCCCCATTTACTGGAATGGGTCGAAATTGGCAGGCGGTAGCGCCCACCAAAAGCAACAGGGGGGTTCATTGCTGCTGCGCCAGATGTGCCTCAGCAGCTAAAGGGGGTAAGGACTGGGGCTGGTAAAACCTCAACTCAACTTCAGGGTTTTACCACCACCCCCAACTTTATGTGTGAATGAGCCCTAAGTCTCCGGTCACACTGGATGCGAATTGGCATGTGATTTGCATGCTACGTCACGTCGCACCCTATTGTCCGCAATTACAATGGTCATATCAGTGCGGTTCACACCGATTTCTAAAGTAGTACATGCTCTACTATTGCTGCGATTTGCTGTGTCAGATGTCTTGCAAATCGCACCTGAAATCGGCATCTCATCTGACTTTGATATTGTACGACTTCACTGTAAGTTGCACGATTTCAAAGTCGGGTTTGGTGTGACACTATATCTAATCTCTGATCCCCGGACCCCGCATTCACTATATCTGATCTCCCAGGACCCCGCATTCACTATATCTGGTCTCCCAGGACCCCGCATTCACTATATCTGGTCTCCCAGGACCCTGCATTCACTATATCTGGTCTCCCAGGACCCCGCATTCACTATATCTAATCTCCCATCTGGACCCCAGGACCCCGCATTCACTATATCTGGTCTCCCAGGACCCCGCATTCACTATATCTGGTCTCCCAGGACCCCGCATTCACTATATCTGGTCTCCCAGGACCCCGCATTCACTATATCTGGTCTCCCAGGACCCTGCATTCACTATATCTGGTCTCCCAGGACCCCGCATTCACTATATCTAATCTCCCAGGACCCCGCATTTACTATATCTGGTCTCCCTGGACCCCGCATTCACTATATCTGGTCTCCCAGGACCCCGCATTCACTATATCCGGTCTCCCAGGACCCCGCATTCACTATATCCGGTCTCCCAGGACCCCGCATTCACTATATCTGGTCTCCCCGGACCCCGCATTCACTATATCTGGTCTCCCAGGATGCTGCATTCACTATATCTGATATCCCCGGACCCCGCATTCACTATATCCGGTCTCCCAGGACCCCGCATTCACTATATCTGGTCTCCCAGGACCCCGCATTCACTATATCCGGTCTCCCAGGACCCCGCATTCACTCACTATATCCGGTCTCCCAGGACCCCGCATTCACTATATCCGATCTCCCAGGACCCCGCATTCACTATATCCGGTCTCCCCGGACCCCGCATTCACTATATCCGGTCTCCCAGGACCCCGCATTCACTATATCCGGTCTCCCAGGACCCCGTATTCACTATATCCGGTCTCCCAGGACCCCGCATTCACTATATCCGGTCTCCCAGGACCCCGCATTCACTATATCCGGTCTCCCAGGACCCCGCATTCACTATATCTGGTCTCCCCGGACCCCGCATTCACTATATCTGGTCTCCCAGGACCCTGCATTCACTATATCTGATCCCCCAGGACCCTGCATTCGGTCACTATATCTGGTCTCCCAGGACCCTGCATTCACTATATCTGGTCTCCCAGGACCCTGCATTCACTATATCTGATCTCCCACAGGACAC